CTCAATTGGGTCAGTCAAAGTCTCCGTTTTTCCAACTCTTCAAGAGGAAGAAACAAGGCTCTGCTGGTTTTGCCGATAGTATGCTGAAGCTTGTTAGGACTTTGCCTAAGGTTTTGAAGTACTTACCCAGTGACAAAGCTCAAGATGCTCGTCTCTACATCTTGAGTTTACAGTTCTGGCTCGGAGGTTCTCCTGATAACCTCCAGAATTTTGTTAAGATGATTTCTGGCTCCTATGTCCCAGCTTTGAAAGATGTCAAAATCGAGTACTCGGATCCGGTTTTGTTCTTGGACACTGGAATTTGGCATCCACTTGCTCCTACCATGTACGATGATGTCAAGGAATACTGGAACTGGTATGACACTAGAAGGGACACCAATGACTCACTCAAGAGGAAAGATGCAACCGTTGTCGGTTTGGTCTTGCAGAGGAGTCACATTGTGACCGGTGATGATAGCCACTATGTGGCTGTTATCATGGAGCTTGAGGCTAGAGGCGCCAAGGTTGTTCCTATTTTCGCTGGAGGGTTGGATTTCTCTGGCCCCGTTGAGAAATATTTTGTTGATCCCGTCACCAAACTGCCCATCATAAACTCTGCTGTCTCCTTGACCGGCTTTGCTCTAGTTGGTGGACCTGCAAGGCAAGATCATCCGAGGGCTATCGAAGCCCTGAAGAAGCTCGATGTGCCTTACCTTGTGGCAGTACCACTGGTGTTTCAGACGACAGAGGAATGGCTAAACAGCACACTTGGTCTGCATCCCATCCAGGTGGCACTGCAGGTAGCCCTCCCTGAGCTTGATGGAGCTATGGAGCCAATCGTTTTCGCTGGTCGTGACCCTAGAACAGGTTAGTCCACTTATGAACATATTCCATATTCCAGAATTGTCATTACAAGTGTGGGAATGTTTTCTTATGGAAGAGGTTTAAACATTACTGCAGGGAAATCACATGCTCTCCACAAGAGAGTGGAGCAACTCTGCATCAGGGCGATTCGATGGGGTGAGCTCAAAAGAAAAACTAAGGTATTGTATTACCACTCATCCTTAGTGAAATTACATTCCTTTATGACTTTCCTGACAAGACAACAATGTGATGTATGTTTTCATGAATCATCAACTCTGGCTCATTGCAGACAGAGAAGAAACTGGCGATCACTGTCTTCAGTTTCCCACCTGATAAAGGAAATGTAGGGACTGCAGCTTACCTCAACGTCTTTGCTTCCATCTACTCGGTCTTGAAAGATCTCAAGAGAGATGGCTACAATGTTGAGGGCCTTCCTGAGAATGCGGAGACGCTTATCGAAGAAATCATTCATGACAAGGAGGCTCAATTTAGCAGTCCTAATCTCAATGTAGCTTACAAAATGGGAGTCCGCGAGTACCAAGAGCTCACTCCGTATGCCAATGCCTTGGAAGAAAACTGGGGAAAGCCTCCAGGGAACCTGAACTCAGACGGGGAGAATCTTCTAGTGTTTGGCAAAGAGTACGGTAACGTTTTCATTGGCGTCCAACCGACATTTGGGTATGAAGGTGATCCCATGAGGCTTCTTTTCTCCAAATCAGCAAGTCCTCATCATGGTTTTGCTGCTTACTACTCTTATGTGGAAAAGATCTTCAAAGCTGATGCTGTTCTTCATTTTGGAACACATGGTTCCCTCGAGTTTATGCCCGGGAAGCAAGTGGGAATGAGCGATGCTTGTTTTCCAGACAGTCTTATCGGGAACATTCCCAATGTCTACTACTATGCAGCCAACAACCCCTCTGAAGCTACCATCGCAAAGAGGAGAAGTTACGCCAACACCATTAGTTATTTGACTCCTCCAGCTGAGAATGCTGGTCTATACAAAGGGCTGAAGCAGTTGAGTGAGCTGATATCATCGTACCAGTCTCTGAAGGACACGGGGAGAGGTCCACAGATTGTAAGTTCCATCATCAGCACTGCTAAGCAGTGCAATCTTGATAAGGATGTGGACCTTCCAGATGAAGGGGCGGATTTGTCTACTAAAGAAAGAGATTCTGTGGTTGGGAAAGTGTATTCCAAGATTATGGAGATTGAGTCAAGGCTCTTGCCGTGTGGGCTTCATGTCATTGGAGAGCCTCCATCCGCCATGGAAGCTGTGGCCACATTGGTCAACATTGCTGCTCTAGATCGCCCGGAGGATGAGATTTCATCTCTTCCTTCTATATTAGCTGAGTGTGTTGGAAGGGAGATAGAGGATGTTTACAGAGGAAGTGACAAGGGAATCTTGAGCGATGTTGAGCTTCTCAAGCAGATCACCGATGCCTCCCGTGGTGCGGTTTCCGCCTTTGTGGAGAAAACGACAAACAGCAAAGGACAGGTGGTTGATGTGTCTGACAAGCTTACCTCCATTCTCGGGTTTGGAATCAATGAGCCATGGGTTGAGTATTTGTCCAACACAAAGTTTTACCGGGCGAATAGAGATAAGCTCAGAGCAGTGTTTGCTTTCCTTGGAGAGTGCCTGAAGTTGGTGGTCATGGACAACGAACTGGGGAGTCTAATGCAAGCTTTGGAAGGGAAGTACGTTGAGCCAGGCCCCGGAGGTGATCCTATTAGAAACCCCAAGGTCTTACCAACCGGTAAAAACATCCATGCCTTAGATCCTCAGGCTATTCCTACAACTGCGGCAATGGCAAGTGCCAAGATTGTGGTAGACAGGCTGGTAGAGAGACAGAAGCTCGAAAACGATGGGAAATATCCCGAGACAATCGCGCTTGTTCTCTGGGGAACTGACAACATCAAGACATATGGGGAGTCTCTCGGGCAGGTTCTCTGGATGGTTGGTGTGAGACCAATTGCTGATACTTTTGGAAGAGTGAACCGAGTGGAGCCTGTGAGCTTAGAAGAGCTAGGAAGGCCTAGGATCGATGTAGTTGTTAACTGCTCTGGTGTCTTCCGTGATCTTTTTATCAACCAGGTAAATAGATTAAAGCATTCACTCTTCTTTCATGTAGATTCTTGTTGGTTAGCCTCTAATGGTGCTTCTTTCTTGAACTTTTTTAACAGATGAACCTTCTTGACCGTGCAATCAAGATGGTGGCTGAGCTAGATGAGCCAGTAGAACAAAACTTCGTGAGGAAGCACGCGTTGGAACAAGCAGAGACCCTTGGCATTGATATTAGGGAGGCAGCTACACGAGTTTTCTCAAACGCCTCAGGATCATACTCATCCAACATCAATCTTGCTGTTGAGAACTCTTCATGGAACGATGAGAAACAGCTTCAGGACATGTATCTGAGCCGTAAATCGTTTGCTTTTGATAGTGATGCACCTGGAGCAGGAATGGCTGAGAAGAAGCAGGTCTTTGAGATGGCTCTTAGCACTGCAGAAGTCACGTTCCAGAACCTGGATTCTTCAGAGATTTCCTTGACTGATGTGAGCCACTACTTCGACTCTGACCCCACAAACCTGGTTCAGAGTTTGAGGAAGGATAAGAAGAAACCAAGCGCCTACATTGCTGACACAACAACTGCAAACGCACAGGTGAGTGAAGTTTCTCTATATTCTTACTGCACTAATGTCTATGAACTATAGTGTTTTGGTTGGAGTTCAGTTCATATTACCGGGCAAGAACACATTCCTTACAGTATATATTGAATGTGGCAGGTGAGGACTCTATCTGAGACAGTGAGGCTGGACGCAAGAACAAAGCTGCTGAATCCAAAGTGGTACGAAGGAATGATGTCAAGTGGATATGAAGGAGTTCGGGAGATAGAGAAGAGACTGACCAACACTGTTGGATGGAGTGCAACATCCGGTCAAGTAGACAACTGGGTCTACGAGGAGGCGAACACAACTTTCATCAAAGACGAGGAGATGCTTAACCGTCTCATGAACACTAATCCCAATTCCTTTAGGAAAATGCTTCAGACTTTCTTGGAGGCCAACGGTCGTGGCTACTGGGACACTTCGGAAGAAAACATCGAGAAGCTCAAGGACTTGTACTCGCAGGTGGAAGACAAGATCGAAGGCATCGATAGATAAATAATGGGAAGCCTATCTTCTTGTAAATGAACTCAAAAACTTTTACATCTTTTTTTTTTGTGTATTATTCTACCAACGACATCATCTCTCTGTGAATAAGAGAATGTTTTGTTTTGGCTGACATTTTCTGACTTTATATGAATGTTGTGGAGTTTTCTTCTTTCATCTCTTTTCTCATATTATGTGGAACAAAACTCACTCTTCTTCATATCTATCCTCCCATTATGCATATTCAGTTTAAATTGGAAGGATGATGAGCAATGGTTTTACTAATCAGAGAAGAAGGCGATGCCACTGACCACAAATTCAACACTCAACACAGGCACCAGTTTGCTTACAAGAGAGAAGAACAAGTTCGTAATGCTTGCGTTACAGGCAAGAGTACGTGGCATTAAAGAAATCTTGAAAAACAGGAAATAGGAAAGCTCAGCTCTGGTCCAACACACCAGCCATGAGTATGTGGGAAGTGGAATGGAGTCATTGTGATCATATTAGTACAGTCCACTGCTCAATTAGACATTGCATTGTCTTGTCGATAGTATGGCCATAAATTAACCATATGATATGAACGAGGGAATTATATTAGTAGAACTAAGAAGTAAGAAGAATGACTATGATTGAAGAAATTATATTGATTAGAGGGACATGATTGTAGACCATATATACTACTGGTATAAAATGAAATAATGTTGTAAGTAATACGCCCAAAATAATAATAAAAGATTAAGGAGTGACAGAAAACAAAATAAAAATGGAAACATGAAATTACTAAACAAGAGAGGAGAATTTAAAGAAAAATTAGAAAAGATACAGTTGGTTTATGTCTCTTAATAAAGAAAAAAATATGTGTCCAGACATATATTCAACATTTCAGTAGATTCCTTTTAAGTTTTAATTACTTTCTCTAATCTCTATCTATCACATCAGCATCACCAGTAGTGTCATCACTTATCACCCAACACAAACTCTTCATATCCGCATTGCGAAGAAAACTATCGATGGCTTCCTCATCCTCCTCCTCACCTTCACCTCTACCCGCAGTGTCCGTGACGCGGGAGGAGTTCAATGCTTTCCACAAGTGTGACAGAGCCCTTTTCACCCGTCTTGTCGTAACTCTAAGGCGAGACATTAGCCAGTCTCTTCAGGTCATGAGCTTTCTCCTCTATCTCGAGAAAAGTGGTCTCATCAGCAACCTAATCGTGAATCTAGTCTCTTTACCTGACTATTTCACCATCTCCGTGGCTGAAGAAGTCATGATGTGTCTGAATTGCTTGTCCTACGAAGGCTTCTCAACCTTTTTAGCCAACTCCGGGACAAACATCAACTCCTCTACCATACCTTTGATCACGCGGATGACTAGAGGGTACTTTACCCTCCAAGTCATCCACGAGGACCGCGAAAACATTCTCCTTGCGATGAAGAAGTACCTGACCAGCATATGCTACCCAGCTTTTGAGGATATATGCGCACGCGCTGAGATGAATAATAAGGAGAGTGCAGAGATGGAAAAGGCTATGGACGAGAAGATGAAGCAGCTGGGGATTAACAGGGTTGTTCATAAGCCTGAATCTAGCTGCAGCCAGTTCTTAAGTGAACAACAAGGAGCAAGCAAGGTCGGTGCATTCTCTGTGGATGAGCAAGCAAGGGAAGACGGCAGGACTGTCTTCCTCACATTTTCTAAAGGATACCCAATTTCTGAAGCAGAAGTGCATGCCTATTTCACCAGGTACGGAACTGATCATTAGTATATATTAATTTGAGCTATGCATGCACATGCATATACATAGTGGAGAGTGCTTAAATGGTATAGTGTACATATGTGTGTTTGGTGTTGAAGGAGATTTGGGGAGATAATAGAAGCGATAATCATGCCTGGAGGGGAAGGGAATGAGCAGGCCCTGTATGCAAAGATGGTGTTACACTCTGCAGCCCTGATTCCGGAGATTGTAAGCGATGCGGTCACCAGGACCAAATACACCATCAACGGAAAACATGTTTGGGCTCGAAAGTACATTCCTAGATCCTCCCTTAATAATCTTTCCCCATCCAATGGAGTCTCTCTCTAGTTTTTCCTAATACTTCTTGTTTGATCTTGAGGGTCATCAGTTGTGTGTTGTTGTTACCTTTATCAATTCCTTGCAACTTTTATTTCTTATTCAATATTATGTTGTAGCTGCGACTTTTTTCAATTTTGCATGGACTCTTTATTATTTCGGTCGTCACCTTTGAGTACTTCTCTCATTTTTAATAATTTTATTTTTCTCAGCTATATATCTATTACAGGAGATGAACGGTTTTTGTTGGTAAAAATATTAAATGTTATATCGTTCGAAGCAATACAGCAAAATATTTAAGATGTTTAGAACAAATGAAACACTAAAATATCATTTGTAAAAGAAACATCTTGGCTTCTTGCGTCTGAGATAAATTATACTTGTTAGCTATATATTTTGTCTTATGCACACACTTTACTAACAAGTGAATTTTTAGTTTTTTTTCTTCCGATATAACAACACTAAACTGAAACTAAAGCGAAAGAAATCTGGTTGGAGTGGGGAGAAGCAATAAAGAAGCAGGCGCATAAACGCAGAGGGAGATTGGTGGTCTGTAACAAACTTAATTCTAACTCCTAAACTCATTCTCAAAGTTTATATTAATGAGCTACATTATCACTTTACATCGTGAAGAAGAGTTGCAACTTGTAACCATAATAAAGAATATGAATATGCTTTCGACACGGCAGAGGATGGCCGCTCACAAGGACGTCCGGGCCAAGTTATACACAGTAATCACGATCTCCGTACAAATCAGTATAACGATTAGCCACTCCAGAAAATTTGATTTCCTGTTCTGAAGTATTCCTAGAAGGAGACTAACGTTGTGCTGCAAATTCCACATAAACCAAATCACCAATAAGTATATTTTCGACAAAATGACTAAACTGAGATCCATCATGACAAAGATAGTGTAAATGGTAATAATACCTCTACAATCTTCAGCTTATAATCAAGGCTTGCAAATCTCCTTGTCAGTTCAAATTCAGCTCTCAGAAACTCCCATATCTGATCATATTTCGCATCCTTCCAAGCTATATCTAACCTGCAATTTTCCCAAAAAACTTAAGTCAAGTCAAACAATTATCCACAAAACTGGTCAAGACAGGCATAAATTCTTCTTCACTCTCTCTGACTTCTTTACCTCTCAAAAAGACGAAGCTTCAGAATCACATCAGCTAGATTAGAATTAGCCTTTCCAACCAACTGGAACAGCTTTCTCTTATCCATCGTAAACGTTCCTGTTCCCTCCAACCGACTGTTTATGTTAGTAAATTCTGCTAGTATACCATCAACCTACCAGAAACAGATTGCTCACCCACAGTTATTTCTTTTGACGAATTCATTTTTCACATTCCAGAATGTGTGTATGGATTTGACATAGTTACCTGCCGGTCATAGTGATCCAGGGCAATGCTCAGCCCCAGAACACTGCCTATGGTTCTGATCCCATCACTATTCAAGAACTGCAACATTATAAAATCCGGTCCTGGCTCCATCCATGTTTCCAAATTTAGATCCTCTCTTACCTCATATTCTGCAGTTTTACACAACCAAAAATATGAAACTAAGCACAACTGCAGGAGTTTTGAAACAGCACACATTCGAAAGAAGTGTAGCTCACCATCTATTTTCATTTCAGGAAGCAAACAGTAAGCATGCCTCTCCACCAATTTAAGATACTCATCAACCTCGTGTTCCCGTACATTAAATAAGACAATCGATCCATACTGATATACTACCATGTAGATACAATCAGTCCAACTTATACATCCAGCAGTAGTACCCTGAAACAACCTCATCCTTTTTTTTTATGGTGGTAACATAAGGAATCAACCAATAAAAATAAAATAAATAAAAAAGCCGGAATTTTGACTGGAAAATCAGATATCAATCCATAGAAGAATCATCATTTGAAAATGAGAAGGTACTATTGTCCAGCCAGAATTGATGTAAACCTTAGTACCTCAGCTTCACAAAACTGAATAGAGTTAAGATTCAACTTACGGTGGGGTCAGAATGATTGCCGAACTTGAGAACAGCACAGTTAGCCGTACGCGAAGTAGGTGGGATGAAGTTCTGCTTGTTCTGCTCAATTAAGCTTCTCAAATTAACGCTGCAAGCAATTACATCCACAAAGTAGTTCAGTCATCACTTGATAACATTTCTAAACACACATTGGCAAATACACCCACTTGTAAGCTTCTACATGAACCAACATATACAATGTGAAATCCACACATGTTTAATCAATGGAGGACAAAATTATCATATTCCTAATCCGAAACTGACTCCCACCATACCTAGTGGAGAAGAAATAAGCTCGTACAGGAATAGAAGGCTTTGCTGCCTCCTCTAAGCTTCCACGATTCTCATCATCAACTAGCGTTGGGCTCTGCTGCTGAACCAAATCGACAGACGCTGTCGTGGACGAAGAGATAGCCCTCACAGAGAAGAGAGAACCGTGGTTTCGGATTGCTCTAAAACCCCAAATCGGAGAATTGGAGATGGGTAGAACATTGGAGAAATAACGAGAGGGAGCAACAGAGAAGGACCGCAACGACAAGTGCAATGGAAGCGAAAGCGACGGCGATTTCTGCTTAGAGGTAAAGATCGAGAAGAGGATTGAACGGACGGGAGGGGCCACGGTTTTGACGTAGACGTCAATGGAGCGCATCATTTTGGTTTACACCAGAGTAAGACGGCGAAGAAGATGAATTTGATGAACAAAGACGGCTTCTCTCTGCCTACCTCGAGTGGAAAGAATTGCTGAATTTGTACTTCTTTTGACTTGAGTTTTGTGGTAAATGCGTGCCGTTTTGTTAATTTATGGACTAACTACGTGTTGTGTAATGAACACAAACGACCGCAAGCTAAAAGAAAAACGGCAATTGAGAGAATTTATGTTCATCCGGTAACCTAAGTTTGGGCCTTAGGTCTATCGCATATTTGGCCCAATCATTTTTTCGTTACCAAAATCATATTTTTTAGTAGAGTGCGCTCTACGCGCGTGGATTTAAGAAAAAAGGAAAAAACGTTTTTGGTTTTCCTTTTTTCTTTAGATATTTCCAAATTTTATTAAGATAATATATTTCCTTTTTTAAAATTCTCTATACACCGTTGGATCTAAAATATAACTGCATCTAATGGCTATCATAGAAAGCTGATATTTGTTTTATTTTTTTAACCGCAGGGTTCTCTCCTCTATATAAGATGAGGTCTTCTCTTTGCTGACATAAACAGAGACTCTTCACTCTACAGACCTGAAACAGAAAACAATATAGTAAGAGAGAGCGTTCGTTCGAACGTCTACTGGAGCAAACATGTCTCAACAGCGACTAGAGTAAACATATAATCATACTTAAATTTTTTTTTTTGATTTTTTAACTGAGTTAGTGCCTGATTCGCAAAGAGTTGAGTTAAATAGTCTGATTCTATTGATGGAAGGTCTTTGACAGTCCCAAATCAACACGTTTTCCTTGTCTTGTCCGCTTCAACTTCCGTTCCACAGAGTGGTAAAAATCTCCTTAAAAGTTTGATTTTTTTTTTTTTTCACTGTTAAACTCTGCTTGTGTTGTTGCTTCTTCTCTAGAATTTCTAGAGATTATGCTTTGTTCATAGATTCGGGGATGACGCACTATATGACGCAGCAACAACAACGATGGAATGGAATTTTACTATCCTTTTTCTTGATCTGTGAGTGATCTTAAAATCCTCTTTTTTCTTAACCTATTTGAAGTGAATCCTTATTCAGATGTGGAGTGGTTGAATATGCAGCTTCTGGAAAGTTATTATAGAGCAGTGGACGACAACACCTTATGCCCTGTAAGGTTTTACCATTATTCTTTCAGCACATGTGGATCATCCCAAAACCAGTTGGAGATCTTACATGTCCTCCAAAAGGTGAAACCTTTTTGTCTCGAATCTCCATCTGAAACTAATGAACCTGCACTCCTTTTTTTTTGGAATTATTTACTTTCATATATTTGTTCATTCTCAACTTACAATGATCATTAATTGTTTGAATCACTGCTGCAGTATGGTCAAATTGAAGTGTACAAGTGAAAAGATTATCTATTTTCTCAGCTCCAGAGTTTATATGCATCACGTTTCAGCTCAACTGGTTCCTATAGCTTTCCAGGTCTCTGTGTGTCGAAGGTAGATGGAATTTGGGTGGTGGTTCACTCGCTGCTGGGTTATTTAAGTTAACACTTACCTACTTGTCATTTTCTCATCTTTAATCCCACCAGTAATTTCAAAGATTTTAAGTGTTTTGCTATCTGATTGTAATGTTACAGGAGGCTTCTTCGTGAATCTATAGAGAATGGAGATATTGATTCAGGATGCTAACGGAAAGGCAACAATAAAGATCAGACTTCTAAGTTTGGTAACAGACTAAAACGTTCCAGCATTGTCCTGCTCTTCTTAAGGATAGTTTAGCCAGCGGTCTTAGAAATCCCCTGCCTGCGTAAGCAACTTTATTCATTATTTTATACTTTCCCTTTTTCTGCTCATGTGCACTTAACCAATTAGTCTTATATGCTTCAGGTAGATCCTTTGAAAGATTCTTCATAACAGATGTCATACTTGTTTTATAAGGAGAGCCTCCTTCCAACTATAAGCATGGCATTCCTTTCATTGATGGCAGGTAAGGTTTGTTAATTGGGTTGTGTTATATGAGCCTTACATTTACATAAGTATTTTCTTCCTTTCATGCGTGTTATCTTTTCAGAAATAGAGTTGCAGCATGTGAAGCATTACGTGGGAGATGGTGGGACAATGCAATGAGTAATTGAGTGAGGTATTTTTTCGTGTGAATCTTTTAAATGTTGGTTCAGTTTGTTTCGTTCTACTTGAGTGCCCTAACTTAGTCCCTATTTGAGTATTCATTTTCATGATAACACTTCCGAGTTGAGTTAAAAAGTTCCTTTGTCCGCTTCAAGTTCCGATCCATAGAGTTAGTTGAATCTGCTTAAACTCGTGTTTTAGTTCATTGTTACAATTTAGAGCGGAAAGAGACTCAGATTTATGTTCTTTTTTTGTTGCTACAGCATGGCCAAATTGTTTGAATCACTGCAGCATGGCCAAGTTGTTTTTGTAATAGATTGGAGCTGACACTCCAACAAAAATCATCACTGCTTCCCATGACAGGAATGTGTAAGTTTCAAGCTTTGATAATACTTAATACGAAATTTTAAATTAACTAGCCATGTGTTTCTGTAGTTTGGATAAACAGAGTTTGGAATGTTTCTTGAAGTTATGTGTGGAGGCTGAAAGGAGGTGAATTCAGTACCAACTCTCATATTAGCTAAATCTTTGTGTCCTATAGATTAGAAAAGGTAAATGTATCAGATCCTAAATCTACTGAGTTATTTAGCTTTATTGTCTTTGTAATATGCAGTTTACTTTTCTCATAATTTCTGCATCTTCTAATCCGTGTTTCCGTGTTTTGTTCAATACCCTTAGAGAAACAGTTTGCTGTTTGTCCAATAATTGACTCAATACGTCTTCCTTGTCCGCTTCAGCTGTCGATCCACAAGGTGAGTTGAATTTGCTTTTAAGTTTTTTTTTTAATCATTGATACTATTTAAATCGGAAAAGGACTAAGATTTTGTTTTTGTTGTTGCTTTTGTAGGAGAAGCTGGTTTACTTTCTCCGCATAATCGGAGATGGTGCATTATGACTCAACAACAACAATGAAAACTCTTTCTTTTTATCTGTAAGTGATCTCGATATTGTTTTCCTTACTTCTTTTTTCTACTGTTTGAAGGTTACTCTCAACCAATTATCATTTTTCAGATGTAGAGCTATTTGATGCCAGCCTACAAGAAGTTATCCTATAACTGTGGACAACACTAACAACACTTATGCACTGTAAGTATTTCCCAATACATGAATGCCATCTTCTTCTTCTACTCTTTTGATTTTTCAAAGTCTTCTTATGTACATATGCTTTTAACATGTTTCTGTAAGTATGTAACTGACATGTGTTACATTTTTATTTTAGTGTTGCTCTCAGTCCAAATGAAGTTTATATCTATAAATCATCTCAAAACCAGAGGGAGAGGTTACATGTCCTATAGCTTTCCAAGTCTCTGTTTTCAGTGGTGGCTTACTTGCTGCTGGGTTGTATTTGAGTAAACACTTACAGACTTATCATTTTTATATCTTAAAGCTCACCATTATATTCTAAACTTAATTTGTTTGGTATCTTATTGTCTTATTGCAGGAGATTTCCTTCAACTTTGGCGAATCTATAGAGAATGTAAATACTGATAAAGGATGCTTACACAAAGGCACAGCAAATATCAAACTTCTAAATTTGGTAACAGAATATAACACTTTTAAAAAAATTTGTGTATGTATATGTACATGGAACCACATAAGAGGTTTCTCACAGTGGCAAAAAAATGCAGATAGAAAGTAAATCATTATGTCATTGAAATTGATTGCCAGGGGACCTCTTTGAGATTGAAAGAAGAAATATGTTGAAGGTTTGGTGTAATCCCCAACTGTCGTTGAAGAATCAGTTTCTGAACAGGTAAAAGGCGCATTGGGTCAAGCCGCTACAACGTTGCAGCAGCTTCCTGATCTTATCCGGTGGTCTTAGAAGTCCCCTTAGTAAGCTACATTATTAATTATTTTTTACATAGTCATTTTCTGCTCACATGTGCACTGAACCAACTAGTGTTGTATGCTTCAGGTGGATCCTCAGGAAGATTCTTCATGATATCTTATCTAGACGATGATATACTTGTAAGTTTGTTGAATATTTGCTTAAGCCCATGCTTGAAAGCGATTATTCAAGTTCAAGTTGTTTAGATAAATGGAATCAATCAATCAGCCTTATGTTTTGGAGAAATTCTAGCTTTTGAGCCATTCGGTTCAGACAATACATTATATTACATTGGTTCAAAATGGGTACTTAGTAGGTGTTTGTGAGGACGAATGTTAGATCGATTACTTCGTTGTTGGATTGTTTGGTGGGGTGACTATGTAAATGAGTAATTTTGAACAGTTTCTATTTGATCCTTTTTACGTAGGAAATTATTTGATACATGGCATGAATGGAAATGGTTTGATACATGTCATGAACTGGTTTGTAGGCTTCATCTAATGTGGCCAATGTTGATGTGTGGAAGTGGAAGTTAGGCATTCTGTTGGCCAATGATAGCAAACAAGTAATTGTTTTCAGTAACAAAAGGGATCGAAAGGATTATGAGCAGATTTCAAATCTTGCCAAGAGAATGGGACTGTACCAGATATAGAAACTTGACCTTTATTTCGTCGATAACCTATTTTGTATCTTGCACTATGTGCTAACCTGATTCTTGTTTCATTGGATTTTTGGTTATAACATAACAGTGAGATTAACGGAAAAGAGGTTTTCGCAAGCAAGGTTCCTCTTCCCCATTACCGGCCAGATTTGGATGATAAGCGACCATAATGGGAGGTAACAGTGTCTGTCTCCCTTGGTTTACCAAAACCATAAGGCACAACTTATATTTGTAGTTTATTATGCTGAATTTTCCATGCATCTCATCGTGCAGGTGGTACTTCCTTTGAGTTTACTAATAAGGGTAGAAGGATTCTGCAGGAACACCTTGATAGACAGCAGCTAAGCTCAGGAAAGGCTAATGAAGGTGTAGCTGATTCTAAACCTCCTAAACAAAATTGAAGAACTTCCGGATGAAAGCTCTGATACGTTTCTTGATGGTTCTGTTTATGGAGAAGGTACTTCAGAGGAGAAGTATGTGGATGCGCATTGACAGGTATTACTGAATCACCTTTACCTCGTTCCTCTTATCTTTTCATCAAAGATTTTTTAATAAGCAATTGTTGTTTAGTTAAACAATAGGAATTCCCCCAGGGAAGGACAAAGAAAGACTTCTTCAAGCAGGTGAAATTTTAGAAAGAAAGACTTCTTCAAGCATGTGAAATTTTAGAGATGATAATCTCTGCATTGCTACTGCGAATGGAAATTCATTTTATTGTACGTCTTTTGACTGTTAAAATTTTCAGGTGCTTTGAACAATACACCTTGTTTGCTACCCTCCTGAATATCTCAAGCGTCTGCTCGACAGGTGAATTCATTATGCTAAAACCTATGGTACAATCTTTCTTGTGTGTTCTTGTAATTCCTTTCTTAACATCGACTCCTTAAACTGATTTGGTTGCATGATTACCGTTGCTGCAATGCCAGATATATCTATTTTGCTTTCTGGTGCATATTCTGATAGGTATAAAGCTTTCTTATTTGATACGCCCAACATTTCCCTCTATTTGCGCTTCAGAGAAGGGGAAGAGATGGGAGTCTGCTTCTGGGAGAATGCTATCACTTGTACCCCATATGCGTGTATGATGATGCTTTTGCAGAGTTTCAACTACCTGAACTTCTGAAGACTCCTTTAAACTCCCTCTGCCTGCAAATTAAAAATCTTCAGGTGGATAGCTTTGCAGAGTACTTGTCAGCTGCTGGAGTCTTTGGCTGTAAGTGAAAGATCCTTTATGGAGATTTCGCCAATCTTTGTGTTACTAGTAACAAGTTTGATTGATTGCCAGAATCTTTCTATACGGATAATTTGATTCTAATTGTCTAGAGACTAGTAAAAATAACTGTAAAAATATCATGCAGGTTCAAAATACTACGACTTTGAAAGAGTCCAAAACATGTGAATTCAAGAAGAAAAGGAACCAAAGTGCCTAAAGAGTAAAGATAGTGTAATATCGTTATTAGTTATTCCTCTTCTTCTCTATCAGTTCTTGGTTGCAGGAACCATTAGATCACCTCCTTTGCTGCAGGGTGAAGTCTTAGTCTTAGACCTCAATCCGAATATCTTTGAGAAGAAGTTGCGTCCTTCTTTGGTCTTCACAAGCTTGTCTAGATCTTGCTTCATGCTCATGCACTCTTTTTCAAGCTCGTAAACGCGTTCTCTCATCCCGTGCATTACCATATTTGCGTTTCCGATCTTGTGTCCTTCTAAAGCGCCGCTGCTCGAGTCATTGTTGTCGTCCGAGCCAAAGAACCATCCTGCTATAGATGTCCGAAGCCGCATCTGTTCAAAGAACAATACTTGTACTATGACACGCAATGGTAGACGCTCGTTTTGTGCTGCGTGTGTGCATGCCTCCAATGACAGTTTCTTGCAATTCATCAGCAGGCACAGTTGCTCTCGCTCCGACTCTGTCAGCCATGGATGAGCCTGTAGCTCCAATGTATTAGTTTGATACTTTATATTATACTTGGGAAGCAACTCATAGTTAAATCAATGACTTCGGATCTCAAAACATAACAAAGCTATATATATATATTTTTAAAAAAACTTTACCTTAATATATATATCGATTGCACGGTAGATACCATCATCCATTGGCCTCACATCTTCCGGGATTAGAGCACCAAGTGCTTGAAATTTGGATAGCTTCAAGTTCGCATCTGAGGCGACCTCTGCTAAGTAGCCGTCCATCAGACTAGCAACCTTCGTGACGGACTTGAGAGGATCAGATTCTCCCATAATCTGCTTCTCCTCGACGATACTCGAATCAAACATCAACATAAAATGATCCAGAATCCTCTGGACAGAGTCGATATCATAGAGTGTGTCAGCTGAGTATCCCATGTTTGGTATTAGCAGATCCTCTAGAGCAGCTTTGTCTAGCTGCTCACCAATTTTCTTCTCCAGATTCTCCTGAGTGACCTGACTGGCGTGCAGAACCATGGATGTCCTGAGAAGCCTGAGCAAGAATTTGGTGGATGTAACGCACTTTTCGTTAGGGAGAAGTTCAACGATTTCCTCAAGGAGACTTCTTTGATCTTCATGTGAGTAGTACATGTCATCTCCATAAGTAGTCCCTTCCTCTGAGGAAGAACCAGACTTCCTAGAACAACCGAGTAAAGGAAGGTTTCGTTTCGCGTAATGAGTAACAGATGCTGCTATAGTATCGGCTTTTACGCCTCTGGACGCAACTGTTTTGATGAACCTTTTGTACATTGGGAGATCGAGGAATGATGAAACATCGTTGAACCACCAGTTGTCGCTCGTGGCCTTTGTTTGTATTCCGTTCCAGAACGTAGTAGTAGTAGTAGGGGTTCCTTCTGAAAGTGAGATTGGCCAATTGAAAAAACTTGTCTTGTCCTCTGCACAAGCCTTCATGGCTAAAGAACCAATGCACCTAGAGACAATGTGAAGGTCTTCAGCCAGAGGTAACACTTTAGGTTGGCATGATTTCTCCAAGGCTTTGATGGAATCTTCCCAGTTCACGAAAACGTGATCGTTGAGGAAACTCTCGGTGAGATAGATGAGATTTGCATCTCCATAGTTTTCACTCATTTGGAGATATTCTGCTGCACATCTGAGACTGACTACGTTTTCAGGAGTGACCTCAATTCTTACACCATAACAGAAGTTGGCGACAAGCAAGAACGTTTCTGGTCCACCGGGAATGTCATGAAGCTGAGCAACAGAGGTCGTCTCGGAGGCTTTGCTAAACAGAGTTTCTAGATATCCACTTCTCGACAACAACGGAAACTGATGATGAAAACACAAGGCAAAGTGATCATATATGCAATCCAAAATATATTAAAAGAGTGAGTTCATTATTGGTTTATATAAGTAATGTACCTTATGGAGATGGAAGCTTTGTTCTGCGACATGGATCATTACATCAGGTTTAAGACCAGTGGAGCAAAGCCTGAATATCAGATTAGAAAACAGAGAAATGAGAGACATGTAGAGTATTGGTAAAAAAATGAATTGAAACCATCGAAGAAGAATGAGGACTAACCATGTGTGACCACTTAGATGAAAGACCTCAGATTTAGAACCCAGTTTTAAGGAAGCCATCTTGGTTTGTCCGCAAATACAAAAGTGGTGCAAAAGAACTGATCATGGAAACCAGAATAACATATAGTTTGATGCTTTTGTAAAGTGGGTATTGATATATCTCGTAGAAGTAGGAAGGGGAAGGGACCGAGTCTCAAGGAGAGATAGATACAGACGAAGCTCTTTTTTTCAACAGTTGGGTTAGCTATAGCTGTTACAACAAATTTCACACTAAAATTTTGCAGCTTTCGTTTTCCCTTTATTTTCTGTAACGCCTCCTCTCTCTCATTCATTCATTCATTCTTCTCTCTCTGTAACTTGTTAGTATTTCTGGTAAAAAAATCTGGCTCCATATGGTAAATTTATGAATACATTGGTTTACACTATTATTCAACAGTAATAAATGTAGAAGATATTTGACTTGGTCAAACAATTTAGTAGCTCTTCTAAAATTAAATGTGTGGTTTCACTCTAGTCAAAACTCACAAGGCCCATTAATGAGAGAGAGAGAGAGAGAGACCCATTCATGCATCGCCGCAAGGAAACGAATACAACTTAATCATCATAGACTAGAAAAGAGTCATGAACTAATAAAACCCTAAATAAGGAATCATATATTTAATCGGAATAAGCCGGCATGACCAGCACCCAATATCAAATCTACTAAAAAAGAAAGAACAATCCCCACCAGAACACGTAAGTATATTTTTCTTAAAACTTGTTTTGCTTTTCAATAAGCAAGCAATACAGTAGGTTACACCTTTCTTCTTAATTAGCACTAAAAAGAAATTGGATTTTTGAGTGAGACAACGGCCACAACTGTTTTTATTAGCCAGCAAAACTTTATGAAATCTTCTAAGAAAGACTTTAATTATTCATTGAAACTGTATATGTAGACTTGTACTAATATTTTCAAACGTTATTTTTTATAAAATATTATTTTTATCCATATACAAGTTCAATCGATTTTATATGATAATTTTTAAAAAAGGAAAAAAAGAAAAAAAAAAAAAAAAAAAAGAGAGAGGGTTGAATGTAAAAAAAAACACGGATGAGTCAAAGTGTGGGTATAAAGGCAAAGTTGCTCGGGCTGCAGGGGGTTGTGTTGTGTTGTGTCTTGTGTGGCCCTTGTCAAGTTTCGCATCTCTATCTCTCTCTCTCTCTTATTTGCTTCTCTCATATACAACTCTCTACTTTTTATTTTCCTGGAAACTGCATCATCATCATCATCATCATCATCATCATCATCCATCACTCTTCCTTCCTTCCTTCTTTTGCTAGATTCTTTCTCTCTCCCAATACGCTTCAAATCTGGACTTCTTCTGTCGGTGGATTTGCTTACCTTTCGCTTCTTTGATTACTCTTCCCTCTCTCTCTCTGGTCAGTCTTATTTTTACGTATCATCATTTCTGTATGTGTCTGTCTCATCCCAAAAAAATAATAACAGCAGCCAGCATCGATCTTGTTTTCACGTATTTTATTGGTTTACTTAGCTTCTTCTTCTTCTTTTTTGGATGGTTTGAATTCAATGATTTGTTCTCCACTATTAATACTTTCTGATTCCGTTTTTTTTTGTTTGTAATTCTAATCGTTGACTTCGTTTTCTTTTCATCATCCAATCCAGTTTGTTGATTGTTTTGTCCATTCTATGGGATTGACTTGTGTCTGGTGGATTCATTTGCGTCAATTAGGGTTTATTTAGATACTTGACAGAGATTTTTTAATGTTTTTACTTGATCTGAAATCTCTATTTGAATTCTTCTTTTTTTGGTTTTTTTTTCTTTTTCTTCTTTTTTTGGTTCTCATTAGATGGACTCATAATGGTATTGATCCTTGTAGGTGTGTTAGGTGGAGTTTAGCCTGAAAAAGGTAGTTCAAGTGAAAGTTTGGATATTTATTACCACCCTCGACTATGTCTGGAAACCAAGAGGTTTTTATTCTCCCTACTACTTATATAGCTAATATAATTGTTTCCGACATTATTAGAGCATTCCCATATTGATTGGTGTTTTCTCCTCTGTTTCGTTCAGCCTCGGATCCGACCACCTACTTGGAGTTGCAGTGATGTTCCTATCAAGAAGAGGAAGTACTTAGTGCAGCCGCAACTTCCGGAGATGGAAGAAGCCGTCTCAACACATTTTACACAACCTAACGAGCAAGGTGATGCTCCTTTACTACCATCTGTTTCTGTTGGAAATTCTGGTAAAGGGAAGACCATTGGGAACATTGTTTTTGATCAAAGTAGAGTGAAAGTTGAGAGGCCAAATTCTCCAATTCGCTCCAGTCCTTTGGTGGCAAGCTCTGATATCCCTTCCAACAGTTCTAACAAAATACTTGGCAGTTCACTCCAGTGTTCTCTGGGAACGCTTCCTGCACATCCTGCTGCTGTTGTTTCTTCAGTTCAAACTGGCACGAAAGCAGAAAAAACTGTTCTTAAGACTCATGACAATGTCAGGGAGACTAGTGACAAGGCTACTCTCAGAGGAGAGCTTCAAACAGAAGCATTCCATACTGTATCCTTACGGCTAGGTTGTAACACTAAAAACAGTTCTCCGTCTTGGGAGAATGAAGAGCGTACAGCACTGAATTTGTCATTAAGCAAGGGAGTCTGTGCCCCTCATAACACAGATTCTATTTCTATTTGTACCAAGTCTGGTTCTCAAAGTGGTGTGAACAGATCAAACTGGGATTTGAATACTACCATGGATGCTTGGGAAGATTCTCTAGATCGCTCGACTAGAGTTAAGACAACTGGTGCTTTCTTAAACAGTAATAGAAGCCTTCGTGGTATAGAGACATCAAGTTGTCGTGATAAGATTGTTATTGCAAAGTCTGTTTCTGAAAAACAGAAAGAAAGTGTTGGATTTATATCTCCTACAGTGACTTCAATGAAGTCTGATCATCAAGTTAATTCTACATGTTCACTTAGTCTAGGCCTCAGTTCATACCCTCCTCTTGAAAAATTACCTTCTGTACCAGCTACCATATCAGAGGCAAGAGCTGCTTGCACAAGTTCTTCCAGACCAACAATGACTGCTGTAAATGTGAACTCGGTAAACATTAGGACTGTGAAGTCAGAAATCATCGAAGAGATTGTTAGGCAGGAAACTAAGAGTGCTCAAGTTTGCCCAATCGGGATATCTAATAAAGGGGTGAAACAGGAGGTTGTTGGTAGATTCAGTCAAGGAAATAGTCCCTCATCTGGCATTTTGAAGCCAGTGGTTCCTATATCAATTAAGGCTGAGCCAAATACCTTCACTCAGTCGGAAGTTTTCAAAAGGAAAGATGGACCATTGAATCATCCTCAGACACCAAAACTGCAATCATATGGGGTCTCTGATTTACCTACAAGTTCTACGCCATATCAGAAGGATAAATATTTACCTAGTTCTAACGGTATCAGCAATGCACCAATGTCCTTGAAGGAAATGACAATAACACCAGCCGTTCAGAGTTATCCTGACTGTACATTAAAAGAAAATTCAGGCCAGAATAGCGGTGCAGCTAATAGTAAATTATGCGAAGTGCTGAGACATGGCGAAGTTCACACGACCAGTTCATGTTCTGGTCAGGTAGATCATAACCTCAATGAGTCAGGTGTAAATGTTACATCCTTGACTGAAGAGAAATTTCTAGATGATTGCAAGACCAGTATATCAAAAGAACTCCCTCGTAATTCTCGTGGAACTGATGAACTTTCTATAAGTGATGAAGAAAAGATTATTTCATCTGGTAAGGAGCGAGAGAAACAGTTATACAGTTATGGGGTTGAAACAGGTTGTGGTCATAATCTATCTAGCTTAATAAATAAGCAAGTTGGAAATAGAAATTTGTACGATGACGGGAAGGTCCCAGGACCAGCTGCCGTTTTCAGGGAAGGAAATGAGGTTGCACATGCTGAGTGTGGTGGTTCTGAAATTGAACACAGGAATGTTAATGTTCCATACCATGGCGACTTTCCGAATTCTATGTATATGGAAGAAAACGGGAGTCAACCTGCAGTTCCTGGTAATACAGGTAATAAACTTATTAAAGAATGCTCTACCTCATCATCTATAAATAAATTTAAGAAATATACTGTTGATGACTCATGTTTGAAATTAGTTGAAATGCCAAGCACTGAAGATCATATCAAGAGGCATACTCCAGAACGTCAAAGTAGAATATGTGATGGATCAGGTGAAAATGAAGGCCGGATAGTTCAGGATGCTGAAGGAATGTCTGGTGTCTCTACAGTGTCAGGCGGGATTGAATATCCTGAAATAGTAGATAACAGTAGTCCAGTTTCATACAAGGCAGATTTTTCTACTGTTGACAACGATCTTCCTGCTGAATGCAGTGACGGTAGTCAGAGTCGAATTATAAGCTTAGCTCAGGTTTCTGACAAATCTCCAAATAAGGCACTGGATGCTTCAGGCAGCTTTGTGTCAGTCCGAATGGAAAGAGATAGATTTCCTAATTTCCCAATTGAACCGCGGAAATATATTATGAGAGGGAGGTGATATTTCTGAGACTTTGTTTAAAATTATCCATCTTTTCTTTGTCTCATTCCCTATTGAGATCATTGTGTATTTAAATTTTCCATTATTGTTTCTTTTGCTAGTGATGAATTCTGCAAATACCCTCGTGAGAGGTACCATGGGAAGATTATGAGAGGCCCAAGGTTAAATTTCATGCCTGACAGAAGGAGATTACCTGATAACACAGAAAGCAATCTGCATGACCAGGACACAAAAAGTACTGTCCTGTCTAAGTTTTTCTATGGAAGAAAAAATGTCATTGTTTCTAGAATTCAATATGACTCTCATTTTGTGAATGCAGATTTTGAGTTTGATAATCATGGAAACACTCGTCGGGGTAGTGTGTTTATGAATAATTTTCAGAGAGGGAGACGGCCTGCAAATGATGAAGTAACACCTTATCCTCACTCCTTTCCGAGAAGAACCTCTAACTTTTCATATAATAGAGGACCAACGAATAAAGAGGATGCATCTGCATTTCACGGATTTAGAGATGGTGAAAAATTCACAAGGGGATTACAAAGCAACAACACAGAACCAATGTTTATGAATCACCAACGACCTTATCAAGGTCGGAATGGTTGTTTTGCTCGAGGACAAAAAAAGTTTTCTAACAATCCCAAACGAGGTTTTCCTGGATTTCGTTCACGGTCTCCAGGTAGATCAAGAGAACGATCAGATGGTCCATCCTCGTCTTTCAGGAATAGATCACAGGAAGAATTCAGTGGGCATACAGACTTTTCTCATCGGAGGTCACCCTCAGGTTATAAAATGGAGAGGATGAGCTCACCTGACCATTCTGGTTATTCAAGGGAAAGAGTTGTTAGAAGACACAATTCTCCACCTTTCTCACATAGACCATCAAATGCTGGAAGGGGACGGGGTTATGCGAGGGGCCGAGGTTATGCAAGGGGTCGAGGTTATGGAAGAGATGGCAACTCATTTAGGAAACCATCTGATCGTGTTGTATACAGAAACCATGGAAACTTTAACAACTTGGATCCTCGAGAAAGGGTCGTTTACAGTGATGATTTCTTTGAAGGTTCAATTCATTCTGAACGATATGGCATTGATGTTAATGCTGAGAGAAGACGGTTTGGTTATAGACATGATGGTACGAGCTCTTTTAGACCATCTTTTAACAATGATGGTTGTGCGCCTAGTAATGTAGAGAATGACCCTGATGCTGTGAGGTTCGGACAGGACCCTGATATTAAAAATGAAGAACCAGGGAGTTTAATGGAAACTGATGGGGAAAATAATAACTCAACTGAGAATGCATCTGAAAGAACTATGAATATGGAAGAGGAGGAAACTTCAAAGCAGAGTAAAATTTGGCAACGGGATGAGCTCGGTGGTGATGGTTTTTAGAATAAAGGTTAGTATTCAATTTACTTGAACCTGTAAGACCAGGAAGGTATAAGTGATGGTGAATCAGGTATCAAACGGAAGTTCTATGATTTTGCCACGTCCGAGACCAGTTAGTGGCTGATTATTGTGGACATTCCAATCACTGTTGCAAAGAGACAAACTGCTCTATCGTCCTTTAAAGTTTCAAAATTGGCCATTGCTTGGCTGTGTATATACAGCACTTCTGTTGCCTTTCTTTCTGCGATTCATATTCCGGCCTCTCTTCTGCTCTGTATCACTGTCCATGTTGAAGTTGCAATGGGTATACAACCTAAGGAAGATGGTGTAAATACCATGTGGGAATTTTCAAGGCTTCTCCACGCACAGTAATCCTCAGCTGGCTTAGGTAGAATGTCACTGTTCCAACAGATATGAATTACTAGTGTGTTAGAAGAGACACTTTTCTCTTGTTATACAGGGGTAGAGACTTTTCACCTATTTAGGCAGGAGAGACCTGCAGGTTTTGGTCTTGGTGAACAAGTCTCTTTGCCGAAGCATCAGAGTGTTCTACTCGAAATTGGACTTGCTAGAACGATAACAACCCCAATACATGGTTGATCTATAACTGTTATTGGTTTAGAACATTCACTTTTATCTGCTGAGAAGCGGATGATGGGTTCCTCCAATCTGCCTTTAGGCATGCCCTAGATGATTTATAGGTATCTTGGTGGTATTTGAAGTGCTAGCTAGCTACACCAAGCTTGCTTGAAATGTTGAACAGCCACTTAGCAGTTGATATAGACAAAAGGAGTGTGCGAAACAAGGGTTAGTAAGTTGAATATTATTGTGTTGGCCAATAATGTACAGTTGGTAGAACTGGATTCACTTGCCATGGACTAGAGCAAACTGGAAACGGCCAAAGGTACACCACCTATTTGAACCCAATGGTCTGTTGTTTGATGGTTCCTTATCTTTTTCCTCATTCCAAGTGAGTTTGGATTTCGAAGTTGCATCTCACCGTCCCTCTGAAGAAATCCTGGGAAGGGAGTCTGATTCATCTTGTTGCTTTTCCAGTGTAGGCATGTGAAAGGTTCATGGCACGGAGTTTTACCAGGTTTAATCAGTAGATGTTGTTGATGAGGGTTTGAAGTGTTTTGAACTGGAAGAGGAATCCATAATTTTTGATTGGGGAATGTGTGTGGGTGTTGGCTTTAGTTCATGAATCTATGTTTTATAGAGGCTGCTGATATTGTAAGAGTGACGAGGCTATAGCTACCAATCCATCAACATACAAGTCAGGATATTTTACAGAAGTGTAAAAGGTGCCTTTGTACTGAGTATTGTGAATACAAAAGAGTTGTATGTTTTAGTTGTGAAATTTGTGCGCTCATTAAACCAAACATGCCATATATTCTCATGTCTCCTCCACAAAGTAAAAAATATCAAAGTTTGTTTTGTGATGAGGTGTTCAGAATTTACGTTTTAGGCTAAATACTTTAACTTTGGGAAAACATGGCAGCAACAAAATGATGCAATTTGCAGCAACATTTACCTCATGGTTATTTTGCAGATGATCAAGTGTTATAGTCATTTGGTACATATACCCAAAACGTCACTTGGTTTGATTATCAATGAATCATAGTCTTGATAATTTGCAATTACTAATTCGAAGAAATATCAAGTAGTTGAGTCCAATTCAACAAGTTATCAACCACATAAATAAAAATATACAGCAAAGAATAAAAAAGAAAGATCAAAGTATACAGACAAAAGTAAGACCAAAGTATCAAATCAGTCCTCCATGAGATCAAACTGAGTTTGGTTTTCACCTCCTCTTGTTCTTGCTTCCCAAAAGCAGAGAAAAGTAGAACAAGATTCGAAAGAAGAAGCCCCAAGCGACCGTAACCCACAAGCAGTTCCATTTGGTGAGATCAGTAACGCCTTGCTGCTGCAAAATGTCATATCCTGTGGTCAAGCAAGTGGAGCTAGTGATCCTCATCCCAAGTGACTTGCTCATCGTTGCAAGAAGCCTTACTTTCATCCCCTGAGGCACGGCGACGAGAGGAGTGTTGTCGAATATCTGAACTCCTCTGACGAAACACTTTGTAGGGTCACCAAATTCGTTAAGGAGCACAGCTTCGTAAGGGTACTTGACTAAGGAGATGTAATGGAACCAGATCCAGTAGCCAGGGATACGATCTCGGTTGATGAAGAATCCACTAAAGAGCAAGAAATAGGCCAAGATGGCGACCACAATAGTGTAACCGAGCATCACATGTGGAACAACGCCAGATAAGAAGGTGACGAATGAGCTTCCTGCCCAGAAAGAGGCTAAGATGACTAGGAAGTAGAAGAGGAAACCCATGAGACCTCCATCTAAGCCCACTCCCCAGAACGTGATAGCTGCGAAAGCAAGCGAAAGGATGATCAAGGAAGGGAGGGCAACAAGGGAGTGGGAAAGCACATAGGAGGATCTTCGGTAAGCGTTGTAAGCGGTTTCTCTCATGAAAATGAAACGTTCTTGGAGGAAAACGGGAAGAGCATCTGCGCAGGTGTAGAATGTTGTGGACATTGCAAAGGCAAAGCATCCGAGACGTTCTTGGACTCCTTTGGGGGAGTTGTCTAGCTGCCAAAACATCGTGGCTAAGATGAATCCTGTGACTAGAACAGCTCCTAGGCGTATCCCGAATAGTTCAGGCTGTCTGCGAGAATTAGTCATGGACCGTTTGGCTAGAACCGCGAGTTCGACCCAAAACGGGTTTGCGAATGTAGGAATGGTGGAAACAGGGTTCGAGCCAGAGGCAGGAGTCGTTGTGGTCGCTCCGGAGACGAGCTTCCCTTTGGAGATGCTTGCGCTGATGGCTTCTTTTAAGGAAAGGCCGGTCTGAGTTCTTGGCTCTGCTGCTTTCCTCTGTCTAAAGCCTTTGTTGAATTCAACTAAACTTCTTGTTCCACCAGCTGATCCTTCCAGCTCACGGATCAAATCCAAAGCGAACTCGGTGCGGTTCTCGTGTTCAGGAATCGGGTGGCCAAACTCCGCGAAAAACCGCGGTAGCATGGCAGGGGATCCGCTGAATACGGTTTGGCCACGGGACAAGAAAAGAAGACGGTCAAGCAATCGAAGAAGACGGTAACTAGGCTGATGAAGAGTCATGATCACCATGCTTCCACTCTGAGCGATTCGTTTGAGAACCTTTATAACACTAAGAGCACTCGTCGAGTCCAAACCAGAGGTCGGCTCGTCGAGAAAAAGCAGAATCGGATCATGGATGATGTCAATTCCGATTGATACCCTCCGCCTCTCTCCTCCAGAGATCCCACGGTGACCTTCATCTCCGATCACCGTATTCGCAGCGTTTCTGAGTCCTAACTGATCAATCAAAGCTTGAACACGGAGACTCTTCTTGGATTTCGAAAGGCTTCGCGGGAGACGAAATTCGGCTGCGAACATTAAGGTTTCTTCAACTGTAAGCATGGGGAAGAGAAGATCGTCTTGCATGACGTAAGCTGAGATGGCTTTCTGCATTTTGGAATTGAGAACTTCTCCGTTTAGAGTTACGTTTCCTTTCAAGCTTCCTTTAGCGATCCGATTCGCTAAGGCATCGATCAGCGTCGATTTACCTGAGCCACTTGCCCCGAGCACAGCTAGTATCTCTCCGTCTCTAGCCTCACCGGAGATTCCGTTGAGGAGCGTCTTCGTCTTGGAAGAGAAGAGACCCCCCGACGGAGCTCCGGGATCAGAAGGGCTGCTGCGTCTCCACGTGAACTTACGGCGAACTTTGACGCTGTAAGTGAGATCGGTGAACGAGAGAACGAAAGGTACGGATTGGTCCGGCGAGGCGAGATCAACATCGACGTGGTGCTGGTCATGACCACGACGTGTCGTGTCGTCGACGTTTTGCAAGAGCTGTGCGAACGTTGGAGAAGAGGACGCACCTGAGACACCGTTGAGCTCCGGCGAGAAGAACGGTAACGTCATGTTGTCGTCTGCTGCTACCACACGGGACATTGCTTTCTTTGTGTGAAGCGGGAAAAAACTAACGGAGTTAAAACTACCCGTTAGCAGGAGAAGAAATTAATAGAGAAGGGTTTATACCAACGATTTAATTTCTATTTCTATTTATAGATAAGTTTCTCAATGTGGTTGGGCTGTATTAACATGTCTTTGATTTTTTTATTTATTTTTTATTTAAGGATTAATTTCAGAGATACGAGAAGAGTCAAAGTCAGAATGCTGATGCTTAATGTAGATGAACCTCCAAACCTAAACACAATTGCGAGTAAAAGTGTAAAACACAAAATGCCACATGTCCGTTTCTGTTTATTTCATTTGTTTTCGTATAGCACTCAAATGTAATTTTTTAGGCCACCGTTGCCGGATTTAGGCCACCATTCCCCCACCCACCTTTACAATGTGAACATTTCAGGATAATATATATATCTCGTAAGATAATAAAACCATGTATTACATTATAATACCTCAACTTCATTAGGTGGGATTTTTATTCTAATTAGTTTTATTTTTATAGGTAAGTTCATTTTTACACATCTTTCTTTGCCTTGTCCGAGACTTAACACTTTCTGCTTTGGTGACCCAGTTAGTGTCACTATTAAGAAGATCATCAATAACTACTACTCGGGTTAGAAGCTCCTTTAACCTTTATAGCTGGTCGTAACCATTGTCATTTAAAGCCATGATCCAAAGGATTTACCAGTCTCCAACTATCCATCATTTACAACAACCCTTTCATTCTAGAAGAAGAAACAAGAGACATAAACCAAATACTGAAGAAATAAAGAAAAGGTACAAGCGTATTAACATATCCAACGGTTTTGCTATAGACAAACCCACCATCCCAACCGCATCATAACTCCCAATACCAATCCAACCCATATATGACTGACTGACTGACCGACCGACCAGTCAAGCTGAAAAACCAGATTCTATCGCCTGTCTGATAGCTGACATGTCAAACTTGAAGCTCGTGAAACTGCTTTGAGCGACTACATCTTGAGAATGGTCGACTTCAGGCATTGCATTGTGGCTTTCCGTTGTTGCTGTCCTGAGTTCAGGCTTTGCATTGTGGCTTTCAATTGTTGTTGTCTTGAGTTCAGGTTTTCTATTGTGGCTTTCCACTGTTGTTGTCTTGAGTTCAGGTTTTCTATTGTGGCTTTCCACTATTGCTGTCCCGTTCCCTCCAACACTAGTCTTTGCATTCCACACGCAGAGTGCTGCATAAAGCATATGAAGTCAGATCTCTGCCAAAAGCCTCTCTTTTAATGAATGCTTGGTGAAAAAGACATCAAACCTTTTAGGGGCTTGTTAGGTCTCCGTGCTACAGGTGATGGATGTTTTAATATCCACGACTTCAATGACCTGCACAAGTTTGTAATCTCTATTGTTATACACCATTTACTAAAATCACCCAAAAATCTATGTGGATAAATAGAGAGCCACTACTCACGAAAGAAAAGGTGCCACCATGTACAATTTGAGGCCAGAAACTCCATGAGATATCACCTCATTATTTGCTGGCTGAAGATGATCAAGCCGATGCCATGCGATTTCCTACAAGTCATCCACAACAAATTAACATAAGAGACTCATCATACAGACGCAGCAAGATCACACTCACAAGGTTAATAGTAAGATACACACACTGATTTCCTTCTTTGTCTGTGGTGCAAAAACTGTATCCTCTGTCACCCCAGCAACTATGTATAGTCGTACTCTTTGCTGTCTGAATACAAACTCTATATATTCTTCTTTCTTGAGGAGTTTTGAGACATCAAATCCAGTTTCTTCTAAGACCTGTGTCAGGTATGAAAGAACAGTACGTAAGACAGCGGAAACAAGTTTGACAAAATATTCAATTTTTTCAACATTAACCCATAATCCAAGTCTATACAAACAATCAGCAGCAGAAATAAAGAATGTGAAATGGTAACTGCACCGGGAGAATAGCACTATACAACTACAAGTTGAGCTTTGACCATTTCTATAACAATGAAAAAGTAAAAAGATACAGAGAGCCTATAAAGTTGACCATTGACAGCAGCACTATTCTCCATTGCGATAGAACCTGTCTACTGGTGACCTAAGAATCTTTCCTTCCTCAATTCTATTAGCTCACATATGATTCTATTTCCAGTACCTAGACAGTGGAGTATGTGCTATGATCAAACTGTTAAACTAGAGTGAAAATAAGATACTGTGTTGTCCAGAGTAGAAGATAAAAGAGGTTATTTTTGCTATTATTTTACCTCAGTCATCTATACTTAAAAAAACTCATGGGCACATTATGTTGACACATGTTCATATGTCAACAACCATAAAGTAGAACCAAGGCATCCGCATAAGTGATCTTCTTCTAATTTCATAGTATTATTATGCAATTATGATCAATGAGTGGCGACTGTTGGAGCAATCAATTTTGCTACAAAAGTGAAAAATAAATGAACCACACAAGAGACATGAATTAGAAGAATGTATACTAACCTCACGGATGGCACAAGCATGGTCTTCTTCATCCTTGCTCTTCTTCCCGCGGGGAAAGCTCCAGCTCGATCCTTTCCATCCCTTCACCAACAAGCACTGCAAATAACAAAGATACAGAAACAGAAAGGGAAGCATGAACAAACAAGTAAACCTAAAACGTAAATAGAAAAAGTATCTGGAATCATAAAATATCACTCCAAAGGGGGTCTAACCCGTTCATATGTCTCATCCAGGATAATAGCCCCAGTGACGGGAACTCGACACTTGTAAGAAGTGAAGTCTTTAAATATGTCATCGATGTGAGTAACATAAGGTCTCAACACATCACAGCTGTTGAATACTAAGCCAAGTCAAGGAATAAAAAAAGATCCACAGGGAAGAACTGAAAACACAAAAGGGCGTCAGTCTGTTCGGAGCATATGAGATAATTAACGAGCATTGTACTAGTATCAGTGAAGATAAGAAAGTAAAGACTGAATAACAATGGATCAGAGAGTAAACGAAATTGAAGAAAGGATACAGAGCGAAGTAAACTCTTTCAAAGACAAGGACTTAAGCTTTGGATCATTCTCAACAGCATTATCTTCATAGTACCAATAAGCATACTCCACCAGAAACAAAATTCTCTCGAATGACTGTTGATCTTCTTCAGGAACATTCAAAACAAATCGACTGAAAACCAAAAAACCATCACAAAGCATCAGTTACCCAAATCAAATCGAGCCCATAGCTTTCACTCTCTACAATCTAAGAAAAGGCAAAAACAAAAAAAAAAAACTGGATTGAAAATAATACCTGCAGAGATCATCAAGAAGTTCCTTGGAAGGGAGGCAATTACCGATGTTCTTCGATGAACTCGACGATCGACGGAGACCCGACATTTTTAATTGTTTCCTTTGTTCTTGTTCTAGTAGTGAATTCTTCTTGCTTCTATTAAAACCCTAATACTGGACGAGAGGGGAGCACTCTCTCTCTCTATCTATATCTCTATCTATATATATACTGTAGCTATAAGCTTATGGTTCCTCCGATTGAAAGATCTCGTCGGTGAATCTGATCGCTCCGGAGAAGAATCTGGGAGGAGAGTGCGACGACGATTGTGTGTGTGTAATCTCTTAAAACAGGTGGGCCCTTCTTCGGCCCTTTATAGCTGAGAGGAAGTAAATGCGCTGCCGTGTCCTATTAGGGTGGATAATAATATCCGAGATCCGATCCATGTTTTCAATTTGGATCCTTTTTTTTATTTGTTGGACATTTTTATTTTTTAATTATATGATTTGTTTTCTTCTCTAAATTCATCATCCCCTATAATAATATTTAAATTATTTATTGTTAATAAATATATATATATAAATTCAATCGTCTATTTTCCTCAACTTCCTAAATAAATTTGTTAGCAACTTTTTATTCTTGGGTTAAAATATGGTAAATTATTCAAATATAAGAGAAGTAATAATATATTAATCGCGTGAGCAAATCGTCAAAGTAATCACCGAGTAAAAACTTTGACCGTGGCCGAGAGTCTTCTCATTTCAGTAATTCACAAAATTGAAAATTGGTATTCGTTCCCCGAGGAGATTTATTCCCGTAGTAGTAGACCAGAAGAAGATCGAACCGAGAACATGTCGTGGCTACGAACGGCCGTCAATAAGGCGGTGGAGGTCGGAAACCGCAAAAACATCACCCGAACCGTCAAGAACTATGCCGACTCCGTCGTCCAGCAGGCTGGCCAAGCCGTCGCTGAAGGAGCCAAATTGTTCCAAGACCGCATTGTAATTTCTCATTTCCTTTTTCTTATTCTCGATTCTAATTGGTGTTTAGTGCTAGATTCTAGTTTTGATTTTGTCGTCTTCACCCCATTTGTGAACTTATAGTGCATTTGTTACTGTTGCATTTACTTAAGGAATAGTATGAGAATGTTTCGGATTGCAACTTTTGCAGGGTGTTGGGGCCTATAAGAGTGTTAGTCAGACGATTCAGAGACTGGAAGAAGCTGCAGTTTCATATAGAGGTCATGAAAGGGCATTGCTGATTACTAGGTGGCTAAATGTGCTCAAGGAGATCGATAGAGCTACTGAAATTTCTGTAAAGGATAAACACACGACTTCAGAGGAACAACTTGCTTCTGATGAAGCTAAGAGACGTGAATGGGTAATTTTTTTGTATTCCATTTTTTTTTTCTTTAAGACGATAGAAAGAATTTTGCAAAGAAGTCGACAGTTCTCCCTCTTCGTAGATATCAAGACTACTACTTAAGTAGATGGTTATGATCTTTAGTGGTGCTGGGTTAAGACTCTTACATATTGCAGAACTGGTTCTGTAAAAGATAAAGAGGATGACGTTTATGAAGCATTTTATAATATCAAGAATATTACTCAAATAGAATAGTAGAAAAGATTGTTATCCTTAGTAATGTAAGGTAACATTTTTCTGTTAAAAGGGTTTGATGATCAGTGAGTTTCTAAATACTATTCTGCTTTTCATTTCATATGTTGTATTTATGACCTTTTTCCATCAGAATTCTTTCAGAAGATCCCTTTCCATGTGTAGGTGTTGTATTACGATCCAGATATAGGTGGTGAGCCACTAAATTTCCGTGATGTTTTTCTGCAAAGTCAAGCTCTGGAGGGCATCGTTCTGTCCATGGTATGGTATTCTTAGGCAACCTAAACTTTATCATTTGACGCCTATCTGATAAGTAATAATAAACAGTATCCTTTCTCTAAAATTTCCATTAGTTTGGATAAAAATATGTAAGGGGGGACTTGTAGCACCCTGAGAGATGCAGCATCGTTGATTCGTTTTCTCAGTATTAATTCAAGATTTTGAAATGTAAAGAAAATATATTGCTTGGCAAAACAAAGTAACGAACAAAAACCAGCTTAATAAGTAGACTCTTATATGTTCTGAGAACCTGTCATTGATCTCGTTTCTCGTAATGTTTTGCATATAGTACTATACCTATATTATTGGGTTATGTTTAAAATATGTACCGTCTATGGCGGTTAAAGGTTTGACTGTTTTATTACAGATTATTGAACCACCACATGACGAAGAGATTACTCTACTCCTGGAGATGTTTGGGTGAGTCGGCTGGCTTTCCAAATTGCATTGCCAAAATTTTGCTTCCAAAAAGAGTCTTAGACTATATCTTGGAAAACCGACACAATTGATTGTTTCCTACCTAATGCGAGTATTCATAGATCTAAACATTGTTTTCAGGCTTTGTCTAAATGGAGGAAAGGAAGTTCATGATGCTATAGTTAGCAGTATGCAGGATCTTGCTACAGTATTCTCAAGTTACAAAGATGAAGTTTTGGTATTTGCTTGATCACTGAAAAATCAGCATTATGTTAATTTATGGGCGTTTGGATCTTCTTCTAACTTGTGTATTCTTCTATGTTGCTTGGGTTGCCCTTGGACAGGTTAAGCAGGACGAATTGCTTCAGTTTGCCCAAAATGCTATCACAGGTTTAAAGATTAATGCTGAAATGCTGAGGTGATAATATTGATGTGCTTTTTGCTCTCATTTTTCTTCATGAATGAATGAATGGTTCATAGGGCATTGCTCATCTTGTATCAATATTTATTGAATTTATATTTCAGAATTGATGCTGAAGCTTCTAATCTGAGAAAAAAACTTGAAAAGATGAATGCCTCTCAAATTCCACAGCAGAGTGAAGATAAGGAACTTAGAGAGGCACCTTTTACAATAGAGGTGAGAGTCATTGTCTCCAAACCTTCTTTTTCTCCCGAAGCTCATTTAGGTAGTTCTGTTTTATAGACTTCTCATTTTGCAGGCTTTCAAAGAAACACTTGCGAAGATTCGTCTTTGCTCCAGATTAGAAGGTCTTCTAATTAGAAAGAGACAACTTAGCAACGGTGATTCACCAGATATACATGCTCAGAAAGTAAGTCTGTTAGCTTTATTAGTCTCAAATTATGCAAGTTATCGTTAATTATCATCTTGTTCTACCTGTTTGTGCTGATAGGGAATATTAAGAGTTTCATGTATTCCAAGAGAATATACAGTTCTTGACTTCTGAAAGAGAATGCTATTTATGGAAGATAATAGATATTTTTTCTTTGAACCAGGTCGACAAGCTCAAGGTGTTATTAGAATCTTTAGCAAATTCAACTTCCAAAGCCGAGAAGCGAATATCAGAGAACAGGTTAAGCTTATTATCTACTCCAGTTAGTTTCTTTTTATCTGCGATGAAGACCTTTTTTTTTATATGGCATGGTAAATTCCCCTGACCGGAAGAATAAGTTATAAGTTTCGTACTCTTTGTGTTACTATATGCATGTTCAGCAAATACAGCTGAGACAATGTGCAATTCTCTCCTTTCTCTTTTCTGATTAACTATAGCTTATGCGTATCAAATTTGAAATACGGGACTGCAAGACAAAGCTTGTCTTATTACCTCTTTGTGCTATTGAGCGGATGATTAGTCAGTGGAAGAAAAAATACCATCTATGGATACCAATTGTCCATTTTGTCTTTTCGCAGGCTTCAGAAAGAGGAGGCACTAAAAGCTCGTGTGGTGAAAGCAAATGAAACCGGTGAAAAGGAAAAGGTCTTTGTCTCCCGCTGTTTTACTTGTGCTTCTGATTATTGACTGTGAAACATACACTAATAGCTACAGCATTCTTTGGCATGTTCATCAGCTGCTGGTATTAAGGTTCTTTGAAATGATATTTTTGTGTATAGGAATTGGGTGAAGAAATTGCACAACTTGAGAAACAAAGAGATGAGCTGGAAGCCGAACTGAAGAAGGTATTTGAATCTTCCCTATTTATATGGTTTCTTGCTCTATTCTGGAAATTTACATACACACACTTAAAAAATGCGATATTTTTTCTTATCCACTTGATGTAATTGTATAAATGTAAACCGTATAAACGTAAACGAAATCTTTATATTCCAAATCAATAGCATGCTGTCTTAAGATTTAATTGATTCTATGTATGTAGCTATAATTATTGTGGTATGGAAGGTATATCAGTGAATATTCTCCATGTAGGTAAATATATCATTAGCTGCTGCTCAAGCGCGGTTCCGTAACGCGACAGAGGAGAGGGATCAATTTGGTGAAGCCAACAATCAGATAATTGCTCACCTGAAAACAAAGGTGGCATATTCTTTTAAATGAGTAGTTCTTATGCTTAATAATATCAATGTATAATAATTTGCTTCTGTTTTCTGTATGCAGGAGGATGACCTGTCTAAATCAGTTGTAGCTTGTAAGAAAGAAGCAGAAGTTATTAAGACGTGGATTAATTTTCTTGAGGATACATGGCTTCTTCGATGCTCGTATACGGAAACAAAGGATAATCAGACTTTGTATTTATATCTACTCTAGCTGCTTCTCTTAATACATCTTGGTTTGCTGAACGCCCGCAATAATTAATCCATTGGATACATATCTTAGGGACGAATTGGAGAAGCATGAGGATTATTTCTCGGATGTTGCCCTTAATACACTTTCTATGTATAAGGTAACCTCTGTACTTTAATCTAGTAATTGATAAATGACAGAGCTAACTCGAACATTCATATTGTTCAGAAGGAGGTGGCGCCTTTAATCAGTCGTATCGAAAATTATGTGGAAAATCTGAAGAATTTGGGTCCTGGGTAATTTTGCTGAATTGGGTTTCTATACTACATGACTTGGTTTCTGACTAATAACTCTAGTGGGAGTTGACGTTAGTGGTAGTGGTGACATTTTTGCATGTGGTGGTAACAGGTCGGAGAAGCCGCCAAATGCCGATCAGGGGGACAATCAGGTTTCAAACCCGAGGAAAATTCTGGAGCAGGAGTATATAGACTATGAGACCAAGGTAAGAATTGCTGCTTAGTAGGTCGTAATTCATTCAGACACAATTACTGGGATGAAATTTGACTTTGCACGGTTGTGTTTTGCTGCGTTTATATGTTTCTATTTTTTCGGGTGCTCGTCCTCATCACTAATATGGTTTTATCAAAAATTTAGATCATTACCACCTTCAGCATTGTGGACAACATGAAAGAACAATTCCAGGTTCTCCAAAGCAAACTGGATAAGTGAGTGGAAACATAAGTCTCTAACTATTTTGCAGTCGGTATAGTATACTAAATTTTGAAATCGTACATGATACCAGAAAGGACGACCAGCGTGTGAAAGAGCTATTTGATGACATGGAGAAAATGAGGCAGCAATTTGAATCCATAGCGAGGCCAATGTTAGAGATAGAGATTCCATCACCTAAAAGCAGTGCTTCATCACCCAAATCCCCATCTTTTAAATCCCCCAAGCCCAGCAGTAGCAGCATGGATGCTCCAACTGAATCTGATCTGACGACCCAAAACCCAGAGTTGAGCAAACCTTCTGAGGCACCAAAAACAACTGCCGGTTCCAGTCAGGAATTCAACCCTGAAGCCGAACTAGCCGAGCTTGAATCTGAATTTGGTAAGGTGGCACGTGATTACTCGGCAGATGAGGTTGATGGATGGGAATTTGATGAACTTGAAAAAGAGCTGCAGTAGTAAGTAGTCCAGCGACTCAGAATAATATGATCACTACACTCGTGTCCACCACATACACTGATATGTTTTCCTCGTACCTTTTTCTTTTGCCGTAACTCCAAAGTTCCTTTGCTAATCTGTATGGTAACTGCCTGTTGACTGTTGTATGTTTTATCTGGAACAAAGCACTATATAAGTAACTAAAACTATAAAACTGTGTTAAACTTTTTTTTCTTTCTGAAACTACTGACTCGGCATGTCAAGTGGACCGGACCTGCCTTGCTAGCCTTGCCTCACTGGATTTTGAAATCTTTTACCCGGAAATGAATATCGTCTCTTAAGATATCCTCTCCTTGTTGTTTTCTCCATGTCGTTTTTTTCATATATGGGTATCTAAAATTTGGACTATGGGACCATCAAGACTGAATATAAACCAAAGCTTGTCGTGTTTATGCCTCTTAGTCGTATAGAGAGGGTATCTCCAATTGTCTTTTGGCATACTTGAGAAGAAGTATGTACCAAACAAAACTCGTGTAGTGGTGAAAGCAAACGAAACCGGTGAAAAGGAAAAAGGTCCTTTTCTCACGCTTTTTAACATTTATTGAATTCGTAATGCCAACAAACTTTAATAAATAAAAAATTATGAAATAAAGTTAAATGTCATCGCTTACTTTTTTTTTTTTTTTTTTTGCAATATAAACAACATTTTTGAGATTAAATCCTTTAAAACCATAGCGTTTCATTTCTCATCAGCAAAAGTCTAATAATCAGACTGATGGATTACAATGTGAAAATTGAAAAAACTCAGGTACTTCTCCATGGGACACAAAGAGTTGACCCACTCATGGACATAATGAATCTAACCGGCTTAACGTCTATCTTCACTCTGATGTCTCAAACACATGTTTTATTCCCTCCCAATCTTTGTTAAAATAAAGAGAATGATGGTTTCGTTATCATTAAGAAACACAAATCGTCAAAACTGGCACGCAAGCCACTTGTCTTGGAGCGGGATGACCTTCTTCATGAATTATATTCTACTACTATTAGAGACTAGAGAGAGTTACGTGACGAAACTAACCAGTGACAACAATTGCTATTATGTAACTGACTACTAAATTTATGTAAAAATATTGTTGGGCTTCTAAATGGTTTTTAGTTGTAACGTTTGATTAAATAAAATAAGAGTAATAATTTGAAATTAGTCTGAAACAAAAATTGAGAATTGACCACCACTAGAGAGAGTAAAAGAAGCTTTAAGCTTTCTGGAATGTAAAACGATGATGGAATAAATAAATAAATGATACTTGAAGCTCTCTCTCTCTCTCTCACTTTAATTGGTTAGTTCATTCTCAGAAACGGGTTTGCCAACCGTGTGCATAGGCAGCCCCAGCCATCATCATCATGTCCTACGCATCTCTCAGCGTCAAGGACCTGACCAGCCTTGTTTCTAGATCCGGAACCGGTTCGTCTTCTTCCCTGAAGCCTCCGGGTCAGACCCGACCCGTTAAGGTCATCCCGCTCCAGCATCCCGACACCTCCAATGAGGCTCGTCCTCCTTCGATCCCTCTCGACGATATCTTGTCCGGATGGACGGCCAAGATCAAGCGCATGGGTCTCGTCGATTGGCTCGATACACTCTTCCCTTGTTCCCGATGGATTCGAACTTACAAATGGAAGGAGTATCTTAAGCTCGATCTCATGGCTGGTATCACCGTCGGTATTATGCTTGTTCCCCAGGTATTTTTTTATTTCTCCTTTCGTAATTTTTATATCTTCAGATATCTTTCCATCCTTTTTACCAACTCTTAATCTTATGGGAGCTGCAGAATTGATTTAGTATGTGATTACCACATTGTTTTATAGCTTAAGAGATCATCAATTCAAGTTTTCAGTCATTTTTGTTGGTCTTTCAGTCTGGAGTTTTGATATTTAGTGTATTTTGATGCGTTGTTACTTTTTGATGGATTTGACCAGGCAATGTCGTATGCTAAACTAGCTGGCCTTCCACCAATATATGGTCTATGTGAGTTTTTAATTTTACTTTTTTGTGATACAAACTCTTGTCAATTCAATAGGATTGCTATGAAGTTCTTCTGCTCTTGATTTGAAGAAATGCCTGTCCATCTTAGCTTGATTCATTTTTAAAAATTTATTTTGGATGCAGACTCTTCTTTTGTGCCGATATTTGTGTATGCCATATTCGGCTCATCCCGTCAGCTTGCAATTGGACCTGTAGCATTGGTGTCTCTTCTCGTTTCTAATGCTTTGGGCGGAATCGCTGATACCAACGAGGAACTACATATTGAGCTGGCCATTTTGTTGGCGTTTTTGGTTGGAATTTTGGAGTGCATCATGGGGTTCTTAAGGTACTACTTTTACTTTTCTTTAAGAATCATTGGAAGGGAATTGTTTATCAACGTGACTACTACTTATTCAACTTGCCTGTGCCAAATGTTATCTGTTAAAGCAGAAGTCCTCTAGTTATTGTTGTGTCATGTTGCATTCCCTTGTTTGTGATTTCAATCCAGGCTTGGATGGCTTATTCGTTTCATAAGTCACTCGGTCATATCTGGATTTACAAGTGCTTCGGCTATTGTGATTGGGTTATCTCAAGTTAAATATTTCCTGGGGTATAGCATTGCTCGGAGCAGCAAGATCGTGCCACTAGTAGAAAGCATAATAGCTGGAGCTGATAAGGTAAATTTTCCATTTTCAGCTTTAAACAGTACTTTCCTCTTAGGCTAAGGTCTTTAAATCGGGATATATAAGTATTATCTAGACTGAGATTTTGTTTCTAATCTCTTTATATTTCGGTTTCCACATTCTTTTTCTACCCACTTTCCCGAGTACTTTAAGTACCTAAAGACTATCAATCCTGGTGGTATAACTTTTAGTATATCTGGCTCCCCCTATATCCTCATGAGCTTAGTTTGTAATTTGAATAGCCGTGGTATGATGATTTTTCTTGTGCATTATGAATTTTATGGTGAATTAATTTAGTAGTGAAACCGTTTTGTTTCTACTTATTTACACTTTGTTTAGATGGATCTTTTTCTGCTTTGTAGTTTCAGTGGCCACCTTTCTTGATGGGATCTCTCATTCTGGTGATCCTTCAAGTAATGAAGCATGTGGTATGAGCCTTGATCTTTCCAGGGTTACTAGAGAAGCATAACTTTCCTTTGTTTAAATAATAACGTTATGGTCTTTCATGGCAGGGAAAAGCAAAAAAGGAACTTCAGTTCTTACGAGCAGCAGCGCCACTCACAGGGATTGTGCTTGGTACAACCATTGCAAAAGTGTTTCATCCACCGTCCATCTCTCTGGTCAGATTTCTGACGAACAAAACTACATGTACTGTAATTGCCTTGTTGAGCTACATAATGGTTAAGTGATTGCAGTAATAGCAAATCTAGTATGTTTCAGGTGGGAGAAATACCTCAGGGCCTTCCTACATTTTCTTTCCCAAGAAGTTTTGATCATGCAAAAACATTGCTTCCAACATCAGCTCTCATCACCGGTGTTGCGATCTTGGTGAGACATTAACATCATTATTTTGATCAAAGTAGGCATATGGGAACGTCATAGCTGAACCTAATCATGAGAAACTATAAACAAATGAATATGGTTCATCTGACTTCCTAGAAAGAATAAATATAGAATGGAATTTCTTGTTTAGATTTGGATGCAGTAAAGCAAGTCAATTGATATATGTTATGTCATTCTCTCATGAAGTAGTTTTACATTTTGTATCCAGGAATCTGTAGGAATTGCCAAAGCACTTGCAGCGAAAAACAGATATGAGTTAGATTCAAATTCAGAGGTATGTACTTGACTTAAGAACCTTGAGTAGGATCCCAATTGGTATAGACGATATTCGGTTCTTTTCTCTTTTACATTTACGGCGGTTTCCATTGAAAACTCAACTGTTTCTACCTTCACTGGACAGTTGTTTGGTCTTGGTGTTGCAAATATATTGGGGTCATTATTTTCCGCCTACCCAGCTACAGGTACGTTATCTTGAGATGATAAATAGACATTTGTAATTGAAGATATGTATATAAGCTGTTATACATTTCATAAATAAATATATTATAAAGTTGATTAACATAATCTTTCAATGTCGTGAATGCAAAATTTAGGATCCTTTTCTAGGTCAGCTGTGAATAATGAAAGTGAAGCTAAAACGGGCCTATCAGGAATAATAACAGGAATCATCATTGGATGTTCTCTACTGTTCTTGACACCGATGTTTAAATACATACCACAGGTCTGTCTGTTTGTGGTGAATACTTCTATTTGGAGAATTGTGAAACTAGATTCTGGCATCTAACTTTCACTCTGTTTATCTCTCTCTCAAAATCAGTGTGCTTTGGCAGCTATAGTGATATCTGCCGTTAGTGGTTTGGTAAGTTCATATAAACCCACCTGCCAAGGAGCGAAGATGAATTTGGCTTATGGTTTCTTATTTCTACTTTCTGGATTATCATCATTAGGTGGACTATGACGAAGCTATTTTCCTGTGGCGTGTGGACAAGAGAGATTTTACGCTTTGGACCATCACCAGCACAACAACATTGTTCTTTGGAATAGAGATTGGTGTCCTTGTTGGTGTGAGTTATTTAGATACTCTTTAGTATGTTCAGATTCATCTATGAGCTCTGCATAGGCCTCTAAGGACTCACACAGTTGCAATGCTTGCAATTTTAGGTTGGTTTTTCACTAGCATTTGTGATCCAAGAGTCTGCAAACCCTCACATTGGTAAGAGGAATTCCTTCAATCGCCTCTCCGTCACATCACATGCTTATTGAAACTGCCTATATTTCTAACTTGGTTTCATTTCTTATCTTGATCATTCTTCTGGTAGCTGTCTTGGGGCGTCTTCCAGGCACCACTGTGTACAGAAACATAAAGCAGTATCCAGAGGCTTACACATACAACGGAATTGTGATAGTCAGAATAGATGCTCCCATTTACTTTGCCAACATAAGTTATATCAAGGACAGGTGAGAGAGGCATTTATTCACTTCATAAGTGTGTTATGAATACATAGAAAGAATAACAAGCCCTGTTTTCTTGAACGTGCAGACTACGAGAATATGAAGTAGCTGTTGACAAATACACAAACCGGGGACTGGAGGTAGAGAGAATAAATTTTGTGATCCTGGAAATGTCTCCTGTTACATACATAGACTCGAGTGCGGTGGAAGCACTGAAAGAACTGTATCAAGAGTACAAAACAAGGGACATTCAGCTGGCAATATCAAACCCAAACAAAGATGTTCACTTGACAATAGCAAGATCAGGAATGGTGGAGCTTGTTGGCAAAGAATGGTTCTTTGTGAGAGTACACGACGCAGTACAGGTTTGTCTACAATACGTACAGAGCTCAAACTTGGAAGACAAGAAATCAAGTTTCTCGAGAAGGTATGGGAGTGACAACAATTCATCCTCCTCCAAGGCGCTGTTGAGAGAGCCATTGTTGTCAGTGGAGAAATAAAAAAGGATATGTAATGTAAGTAATAGATGTGTATAGTTTGTTGAGATTATGTAAACAGCCTAGACTTGCTACGATTCATTGTATCACATCACTTACATAACAACACATTCTTACTCTTTCTTTAATTTTACCCACAAATTAAAAAAATAGACCTTTAATGAGCTCTCTCTCTCTCTCAATACTCTCTCTCTCTCAATACTCTCTTCTACTGATACAAAATATGACTCGGTTTGGCTCGTGTAGAGCAGTATATAAAGAGGGAATACAAATGTTAAATATCACCCTAGATAGATTCGGTATCTACTCACGATTTTTTGAGTCTTAAGGAGGAGGCAATGATTGAGAGGTAAAATTGCATTTGTTTCATCCGGAGCAGCATTTTTTTGATGGTCGAGACACTTGACATTTCTTCTGGATTCAGAAGCGAAACAGGGGGTGTTTGTTCTTTCTTTGATGTCTGATTTGATCGAGGGACTTTATCCACACCCATCTTTTTAAATCTTTTTTTGTATGAATGTTATCACGGGCTAAAAGAATGCAGACTGGTCCAGCCTCTCCCTGGACAGAGCAACCTGAGAACCGTTTGCCCCATGATAACATTTGTAATGGCTAGGAAAGCACACATACTTTGTACTGAATCTATAAAAATAATTTGCAGGATCGGATAGGAGAATATGAGTTCAAGAGCAAGAGTCACCAAAACGAGTTTAGCCCAGATGGTGTATGTAAAGCTCCAATCTACGCACTGTATGTGAAAGAAGAGCTGGATTCATGGCCAGAACAAGAATTGAGAACTCGGACATGGCTTGAAATTCCTGAGGCACTAGAGAATTGTAGGCATGCATGGATGAAATGTGCCTTGGAAGAAGGCTTCTTCTGTAAATGGCACCAAGACAAGGACATCAACTAATCGGATTATCTCTTTTGGTTCCTTTTTGTCAACATAGGAATTTTGTTTTCCTTGTTCTTTTTTTGCTATATTATATAAAAGCTTATAAGTTACTTGAGCAAAGAACGTGAGGAACTGAAGAGAAACGACAAAAAAGGTCGCCCTATCAGTATTTAACTTCGAGACTAACTATAGTATAGATTTCAGGAGAGTCGTTTCTTGTACTTCCCAATGCTTTGTTCCTCAAACAGTATTATTATTGGCTAAGCTCATGCTCATTCAAAAAGACTTGTTAATAATACTAAAGAAAGCTGCATTCATTATTTTGTAATTTTGTACAAAAAAAAAAAAGAAGATATAAACAAAAGAGAACTGAGACTTTGAAAGTGATGTCTAGACATAATACTGATGATACAACCTAAATATCTCCTACCACTCTATAGTTTAACTTTATTAACAAAAATATTAATAAATCATCATGAGAGATAGATAGATATAGATTACCTGACCTGTTCGCACAAGGGCTTTGTGAGCTTTATGTCTTACAATGGACAGAGCAGCCTCATGCATCGCCTAATGACCAATCTTCCAGATTCAAAACATAATCATACATTGGGAGATTCAGCCAGAAGTTTCATCTAGAACGATATCCGCAGGATCACCAATCCATGGCCTCCCTTCCCTCCACAGAAATTTTATTCTCAATTTCCCGTTTGCATCTACTCCCACAACATGTCCTTTACTTGCATAAGTCTCCATTCCCCAACCCCACCGAGGTGTAACCAGTCCATCCTTTATCTTAACCGGGTCTCCCATTCTGAATGGTCTTACACGTTCCAGTTCCGCAGCTTTGCATAGCCATAGCCTGTCGAGGAAACAGAAAGATACCCATAAGTCTCCATCTTCCATTCTGTGAACCACCCCTATGCTTGAAGGATTGACCTCTCCCCACTGGTAAGTGGGTGTTGTGATGCTTGCCTTAACCCTAACCCAGTCCCCAATCCTGAGCTCTTCTTCTTCTATGGTTTCCACTTCCGATGGGTCAAGCATCCACGTTTTAGAACCGGCTGGTGTGTATATCCGTAGCTTACCATCCGCATCAATGGCTGCTATGGTACCTATACTCCCATGGCTATGCCCTGACCACCCAAACCTAGGCTGTTTCACTGCCAGTTTGACCCGAGTTTTTTGTCCAACCACAAGCTTCTTTGCTTTCTCTAGGTGCGAAGAGGACCCCGCCCATCTTTCTTGCTCGCCACAAAACGAAACAGAAGTGGTGCCATCCCATTCGTCTCCCTCATATCCTACTCCATGGACTACACCAACACTTCCTGGTCCAACGGTTTTCCAACTAGGAACACCTTCTCTAAGTCTTACCCATTCTCCAACCTCAAACATAGGCTCCACTTCCAAGTCTGCTGGATCTCCTCTCCACAACCCCGGCAATCCGAAGAAAGCAACCCTAATCTCTCCATCAGCATGAACAGTGGTTATGATGCCTCGTGAATCGGGCTTGGCTCCTCTCCAACCCCATCTTGGTTCTGTTAAGCCCTTTTGAAAATGCACAAACTGGCCCACTTTGAGAGCTGGAATCTTCTCTAAATCTGTGTAGTGAGTACTCCATCTTCCTTTCCGGAAACAACAAGCCAACTCTAAGTAACCTGCTTCCTGTATGCTATGAACGACAGCAATACTCTCCCTTCCTACACTAAACCAATCATAGCTTGGTCTGTTTCCCAGGCTTGGTTTTGAGCGCACCCAATCACCAACTTCAAAACCTGAGAGAAGCTCTGCATCTCCAGGTGAGACTCTCCACAATATCTGTCTACCAGTCACCTGTGCCTACAGGAAAACAAAAACAACCCAAACCTCAATTTTAAATGAATGCTGAAATAAAAGCTAAGGAGAGCCTTATCAATCCAGGGGGAATGATCCAATTCAGAAACTTACACTCAGAGTCCCATCCATGTCGATTCTCATTATTTTACCAATAGTCGCTGGAGTCTCATTTGACCATCCAAGGCGTGGTTGGGTGATAGATGGTATCATATGAATCTCTTGCCCCACATGAAAGGGTACAACCTTTTCAACATCTGTCACAGAACATGAAAAAGGCTTGCTCCTGAAACAGAACGCTATACCTACATCACCATCTTCGTCTAAGCTGTGCATAACGCCAATACTGTTCCGAGTAATGTCTTCCCATCCATATTTTGGGGAAGACACAGACGCCTTCACTCTGACCCAGTCGCCAACCTGCTCGTGAATCAAAGCTCATTGTTAAAAGAATCAAAGCTCTTGACATGATGCACATCTAACTGAGAGGCATATTAAGAAAAGACAACCAAATATTTTCATCCTAGTGACTCCCAGAACAACCCAGCTTTACCTTGAAATTGTCAATCTTTTCCATGTCCGAAGGATCTGCCTGCCACGGAATAGGTCGATTTGGTATTTCAATTATAAGGAGACCATCATTCTCTATTTCACTAATTCTGCCAACACTGTGATGGGTCTCCCCACCCCAAGCATACCGAGGTTCGGCAACTGACCGCTTTACGCACACCCGGTCACCAATCTATAATATTAAGAAAATTGTTGAATTGAACTTCTGATATGAAGTAAGAACTGTTTGTAAGAAATTCATAATAACATATTACCCTAAAGGGAGCAACAGGTTCAACTTCCTCGGGTTCACAATGCCAGGGATTGGGAAGATAACTTAACTCCACAAGGAGGCTGCTATCTGGCCTTACACAGTAAACAATCCCCATACTCCCCGGGACAACAGATCCAAAACCATGTTTTGCTGAGGTCAGATTCTGACGGATACGGACCCAGTCCCCGACTTTGAACTCTTCCACTCGTTCCATTTCGGCAGGATCAGCTTTCCAGCCTCGAGATGCTCCAGGAAACCCAACTCGTAAGATCCCATCTTCATCAACACATAAAACAGTACCGACACTATCACGTGATTGGCCACGCCAACCAAACCTAAAATAGAATCAATCAACACCATATATGGTTATGAATTTGGTAAATATTTTAGAGCATAATTTCTAACAGCTATGGCTCCAACTTGACAGATTTGGTAGAATTAGGAGTAGAAAATAAAAAGAGGAAGCTTTTACAAGTCAGAGAAACATTCACAACAGAAAATGTTTCATCCAAGATATCAGGCCAAGAAAAATGTGCATACTACACAGAGAGCACTAACAAACCTTGGCTCTTTAACATCTGCTCTGAGTCTTACATGCTGGCCCCTGTCCAACGGAATCAGCTTAATAACTTCACTTGCCAACACACGAGCTTCACCAGAACAAAATGCAACAATCATGTCCTCCTTCTCAAGAATTGTTTGAACAAACCCAACACTCTTAGGCTTAGCACCTTGCCATCCATGTAAGGGTGTTGTTATGCCTCTCTTGAACTTCACCCAATCCCCTACCTCATAGCTGAGAATTTAAAACCAGCCTAAGCATACTGAGAAAAGGTGCATATCAGCAGAAAGATTTGAGAAGTTTTCCTCACATTGTAGGTGATAAATGAACTCCTCTTTTTAATAGTGCTTCCATCAGATCCTCTGAAATCCATTCTCTTGGAAGGGCTTCTATGAAGTCACGTACTGTCTTGCCACTGTTATTCAATATTAACATAAAGTATGATCAGGAAAAGAAAAAGGCAATGAAAATTCAAAATGCTATCTTGTAAAGTAATTGTTGCATGAGTGGATTTCACAAACCCCAACAGGAAAGTAACATTAGCCAGTGCAATGAATATACACCTTTATTTCAATATACAGTATAATATGTAGTAGCATTAAGCTATTAATCAAATTGGTGCTTGCCTGTGGTTTCTGACGCCCACAGCAGCATCAGGACTTCTAAGCATCACAATTAACCAATCAAGGTTTTCACGTATCATCTTTGCTGCATCTGCTGCTATATGGAATGCATTGTCTCCTTCATCATCCTATAATAATGAAGACAGTAGAAGACAAGTCAACTGACAAGGTAAAAACAGCACATCTTGAAAGCCAGCTCTGACAGCACCAATGTGGAACCTACACATTAGATGCACAAAGCTACCCACTACTTGTGCAGAAAACATATTTTCTGAGCCATGAGATTTATACTAAACACTAGTTAAACACAGACTGAAGAAGTGATGATAGTAAATAAAACAACTTATGTTCTGTTACCTCTATTCAAAGAACAGATCATCACTATACCGCAATAAGAACCAATATACCCAAAGAACCGTCGTATTTATATCAACAAGTCAACATTTTTGTCCAGATTGACTAGAGACTCGAGCAATAGCATATTATTAAGCTTAGCCTCTTCATGACAAAAGAATATAGCTAGTATATAAATCCAAAACATATGTTCACCTATGTCTATTGATTGATGACTGTATATTTAACTAGCTGATCATCATTATGCATTACCAAATGAACAGTCAGATTAACAAATTTCAAGTAAGAAACAACCAAAAAGAAATACAAATATAGCTCTCATTCAGATTGACAAAATTCTAGGCTTAGGATATAGTTAAGCTTAGCATCTCCGAGTTCTAAATATACAATACTTTCAAGTTATAAAAAACATATAGTCTTGGCAATAAAGAAGAGTATCGATAACAATCAAGTCATAAAACCTAGGGAAGCTGCAATATTACCTGTATATTGCAGTCGGAACCAGACTCCAAAAGTAGGCTAACACAGGAGTTTGCGCCTCTGGCCAAAGCCATATGAAGAGGAATTGTATTGTGAACATTGCGGATGTTCGCATTCACACCAGCATCTAGAATGACCTATCAAATTATAATAAATTATATGAGTAAAATGTATCTAACTCTATCAACACATAAGACACTTGGCACGCTAGTCTCAATAACTACTACTATAAGACACTTGGCACGCTTGTCTCAGTAACTACCACTATAGCTTTCGACTCACAACATATGATATGATAGGCAAAGCGAACTCATGCGGTTAAGGTTTATTGTGCTCCATAACAGCATATCTATCAACATGGACAAACCATACTTCTATTGGTAGGAATGCAACTTACTCGCACAAGTTCCACATTGTTAGCCATAGCAGCAGTATGCAACGCTGTTCGCCCATGCTGAGAATCTTGCGCAGTCGGATCTGCCCCAGCTGCAAGCAATATCTGAACCAGCTCTCTACCTTCTGCAGCAGTATACATGCTAAGTAAACTGATTTATATGATAAATCGAACAAATACATAGCATCAAATAAAATCAACTTGATACGCTACTATTATAAAAAAGAAATAGCAGGAAAAAAATCAAATAACATCCTTGTTTCGTCATGTGCAAAACTAAGTGGCTTGTCTTTTAGATTTACTACATAAAAAATTATTGGAAATGTGCTTGAAAAAAAAAACTTGTCTTATAGGCATGACAGTGATCATTGTATCTAACAAATTAATAAATAAATAAACTTTGTAGACGTCCTCATAAAAGATCAGATATTCATAACACAGAAGTCTGATTCACTAACTTTGGCATTGCAACAACGCAAAGGACTTAGAATAGACGACACAGATATAGTCATACTTCAATGAAGCAATCTACCAAACAAAAGATATTAAGTTTCATCATTACCCTTTTCATGATCTTTCTTTAGAGAAGCAGCCATACACAGAGCAGTGCCAACTGAACTAGGGATATTAATCGCCTGAGAAATTTCTTCTGGACTGGAAACTTCCACCCACCTCTTGATAACAGCAACATTCCATGTTGCTACACACATATGTAGCGGTCTGAAACAAACATTAAAGTATAAAGATCTATAGCATAAACAACGGAAGCATAGATATACAAAATGGAATATGTTTCTTTGAAAAGAAAAGAAAAGAACCATGAATGACTTATCCAAATAGGTTAACGTAATGGACATGTTTAAGCCCATACGATGCAACTAATCAAGATAAGTTCTACTATTGATGCAAAATAAGAGTATCATAGCTATAAACAAAAACATATAGAACTGGCTTCAAATGTCTCCATCAGTGCCTGATCTCATGGTACCATTTAACTAGTATAGAAAGAATTCAGTTATGTACTTACGTCAGGCACTTTGCATTTGACACAGCCATTGATCTAGATCCCCCATTTTCCAATACAACAACGGCACAATCTGTGTATTTCTTGGAAACAGCTCGATGAAGCACTGTTTCACCTTCATCATCCACTGCATTTGGATCAGCTCCAGCTACCAGCAATTCCTATTAATAGTATCAATAAGCAGAAATAAATTTTTAACATGATAATAGATATAAGTCTTGCACAACATCACATAAGTGGAAGATTTGTGAACATGTGGTAGAAGCTTTAAAGTGACTGATAGCTTCCTCGGGAGCAGAGACTTACACGCATACAATCAGGTTGGCCATGGTACGAACACACATGAGCTACAGATGGGCCAGATCCTTCCCGCAGTCTGGACCTCACGTTAGCCCCCTTTTTAATGAGAACATGAACACATTGTGGAGATCCAGCTGCTAAAGCAAATACAAGAGGAGGATCCCCATCTTTGTCCACAATATCTACATTCGCTTCTCCATACTCCAATATAACCTCCACAAGTTCAGCACTACCACGTCTGCAAGCCAAGTGAAGAGCAGATTGACCATCAGCGTTTTGCGCCTCTAATAGAGATCGCACAGAGCTTCCACCACCTCCCGCTGCAGCCTTTGCTAGTATATTTCTACTCCAAAACAAAAACCAAACAAATGTAGTTGAGACCAGGTTTTGTATAGCTAGTCAGAACAAAAGGATTAACCAAAACTCCTAAAAGATACCAACCTTACACGCTCACAGTCTCCTTCCAAAATAACCCGATGTAGGGTGTTAGGGTTATCCTGAAAGACCCCTATGTTAGTCGCGCGAGTTGCTTCTACAATGTTTACTTCACATATTTTGGTAATCCCACTACATAATACATGGTTTATAAAATTGTTAGGCGGAATAATATAGGCATGATGACACAAACAGTCTTAGCTGTTGATGCTAATGTTAATTTTTAACACAAGTGAAACTGTCTTCTATAGAAGCAATGGAAACAAGGAGACCATAAACAAAGTAATCCTAGAGACATAAAAATCTTACTTATCAGGGCTTGCTGAAGGGCTACGTGGTATCTCTTGTAGATGACGGAGAAATGTAGCAAGCATGGCATTAAAGGTTGGTCTTTTCGACGGTTTGAACTGAAGGCATTCACCAATCATTTTCCATAATTCTCGAGGAATTCCCACACCTACTATGCGTTCATACTGTGGTGGTACTTTTCGAGCTTTCACAACAGCTTGAAAAATTTCTTCTCTACTAAGACCATCCCAACTGTAAAATTAAGTGATAGTTAGCACAATAGTGGACAACGCAAATGAAATATCTAGTAGGAAGACGCTTCACATACGGAGTGGATCCAGTGCACATCTCTACTAACGTACAACCAAAACTCCATGCATCCGACTCTGGGGATACACCGCTTGCATCCTCCCAAAAAAGTTTTTTCACTGGGCCCCAAGCCTCTGGTGCAGTGTAGTGTGGACTGAGTGTTACACAGTCCGTGTATAGAGTGAGCTTTGAGGAATCATACTCTGGTCGAGTTTTCTGGCATGTTGGCTTCTTTAGGATGGGAGCGAGCCCATAATCAGAAACCACAGCATTGCCACTTGCATCCAAAAGAAGATTGGAAGGTTTTATATTCATACATATAACACCTGCTGCATGGAGTTCTGCAACCCCTCGAGCAACATCAGCCCCATATCTACAGTTGGTATAAATTTAGCATCACAACAAGAGCAATGGAATAATACATATGATGGTAACTGAAGGAATATTCTAAGTTGAAAACTTAAACAATATGAGAACGATATGAAAGAAGAATACAAAATTACTCATTTACTCATTAGAGTATGTAATTTTAACAGTCCCATAGACGCTATTCCAATTGCTAAATAAATATAAGCAGCATATGATCCTACCATGGAGATATCTACCAACAACAAGACTCATCAAGGTTTCCACTAGTAGAAAGGCAAAGACTAAGGGAAAAAATGTTTTGTCTATTAACAGACGAAAAGTGGCTGCAGCTGGTAATGACAAAGAGAGATGACAACTAGTTCAAGTTGTCTCCTCGCTTAAGAGAATCAAAGTGCTCGGCACCAGAAGATTCAAAATGATGACAGGAAAAGCCAGAGGATAGGCAAAATAAAAGTATAGGAGAAGCAAAGAGGAACCTTAAAATCTGCTCCAAAGTGAGCCTGCCTTCATTGCGTTGCATCTCAGACTGAACAGAGCCATAACACCTGTCCATCAAAAGACAAAGAGAAGCCTTCATCTTCACAACCCCATGGAAAGTACAAACATTCCTACACCACATCGATGCTCTCCGCAAGCTCTCAAGCTGTCCCTGCATCCAATCTACATCCATATCTTCCGTCAAAGTAATCTTTTTGACCGCCACACGGTGCTTGCACCTTCCACCACCGCCTGCAACAGTCGCATCCCACATCTGCACTCCTCCGAAACCAGCACCGCTCTCTTCCCCAATCTGCCTGACCAGCTTCATCTCCGGGTGAGCTCCAACCTCGATGACTGGACCACAAGAGCTATTAATTGAGGTGGAGGCATGAAATCCGCGGGGGGAACGAGCTCTGTCTTCGTCGCTTGAATCGTCTTCGTCGTCTTCATCGTCATCGTCGTCGTCGGTGTAATCGCAATCGAAGTTAGGGCCGCCGGAAGCGGCGTGGATGAGGGCAAGCATAGCGTAGTTCTTGCGCAAGCCCTGGACAGAGTTGCCAACAACAGACACGTGGCGGCAGCGGGGACAAGTGAGGGTAGTGTCGGAAGAAGTAGAGAACATCTTGGAAAGACAATCTTTGCAGAAGCCATGGCCGCATTGGAGCAATAGGGGAACTCTCTCGTCTTCATTATACCGCGTATGGCACACGGAACAACAGGGGACCTTCACTCTCCCAACCATGAGAGCTCGGAAAAAGAGAAAGCCCTAAATTTAGGTCGCGAGATCAGAAGAGAGTAAGAAGGAGTGAAAGGCCAAATCAGTTGAGAGTTCCTTCAGAACATATCTGAGAGGGGGGGGGTAAACAAGTCCTTTAAATACTCGATCTAGATCAACAGGAGAAGAACAGATCCATGGAGAGAAGAAAAGGAGGAGGTAGATCAAATTTGGCTGGGAAAATCAGACACGAGCTACCCAGAAAAAAAAAATTGTAAGAAAATGTGAAAAAGGTTCTTCCTCAGGGTTTTATAGGATCATTTTTTTTTTTTTTTCATTTCCTTTGTTAATGTTTTTTTATTTATTTATTTATTAATAATTTGGGTCTGGTTCGTCGGTTTTGACGGGTTGGTTGGTGCTGTAAGCAGTAGAGCAGGAACCCGTTTTCTGACTCTGCTTGACCAATGAAGACCAGTGAAGTGAACCACCCTTTTTAACCACCTAAAAAACCATAAGAACATCGGACCATTCATTAGTCTCTCATAGATGTCTTTTGTGGTATGAAAATCGTGCAAAATGCTATCAAAAATCCATAGGTTTTGTCAACAGAGAGTTTCCCATCCTAGTAGAGAGTATTTTGTCAATTTAACAAAGCAAGAGTACAGAGACAAAGAAGATGACCCCGTTAAGCCCAAATCCACAAGTACAGGCCTCAAGCCCAAAATCCAGCAATCTTTTGGGCTTGTGGCTTGACCATTCATTAGTCAAATATGACTCAGATCCTCCTCATTGTTTTATTTAGGATTTTGGCATATTTACGATTTCAACTTTATGCTCTAATTATTCTCCATTAACCAAATTATTCCCAAAATATAGTATATAATTAATTACTTCATATACTAATAAATAATTGTACGGTTGAACAGCTTAGCTAAAGTAAGAAACAACCAATTCTTCATTTTTTTTTTTCTTTTTTTTTTTTCTGCTTCTCCCGCTTTATACTCACTCTCTCTCGTCTTCTCCACCTCTCTAACTGTCCCATTTCTCAAACCCTAAGCGTACTCCAAAGCTCTATCAGCCATGGCACCCATTGATCCACATTCATTCACCGATTCTTCTCATCCTCTCACCACGCATGTCGCTCTCTCCCTTTACCTCGACTTCAACTCCTCCATCATCCATGGCTCCGCTCTCCTCACTCTCTCCTCCGCCTTCAACGGCGAACTCTCTCTCGATACTCGCTCCATTTCCATCGATATGGTCCTCGATCCTCTTACTCTCGACCCTCTTCCTTACCGCGTCTCCACCACACCGGATCGAATTCGAGGCACCGAAGTAGTCGTTGTCCTCTCCGGTCAGTCTTCTTTGCTAATCGTCTACTCCACTTCGCCTTCCGCCTCTGCTCTCCAGTGGCTATCTCCGCTTCAAACCTTCTCTAAGTCCCATCCTTATGTCTACACTCAGTGTCAAGCTATTCACGCCAGATCCATTTTCCCATGCCAGGACACTCCTGCCGCCAGAATCCGCTACGACGTCGTTATGAACATACCCAATTCCCTCTCTGCCGTCATGTCAGCTCGCCACGTCCGTCGTAGGCTTCCGGTTCCTGAGGAGGCTAAACATCTTGAGGCGGGGTCACTGGGGTCGTCACTGTGGTCTGGTGAGGATAGAGTCGTGGAAGAGTTTGCTATGGAACAGCCTATACCGCCTTATCTTTTTGCGTTCGCCGTTGGTGAGTTAGGGTTTAGGGAAGTTGGGCCTAGAACTCGGGTGTACGCAGAGTCTGCGGCCGTTGAAGTTCTAGATGCGGCGGCACTGGAGTTCGCAGGAACTGAGGATATGATCAAGCAAGGGGAGATGCTGTTTGGCGATTACGAGTGGGAGAGATTTGACTTGCTGGTGCTTCCTCCGAGTTTTCCTTATGGAGGGATGGAGAATCCAAGAATGGTTTTCCTGACGCCTACTGTCATCAAAGGAGACGCCTCTGGGGCTCAAGTTGTAGCTCACGAGCTCGCACATAGCTGGACTGGGAATTTGATCACCAACATCAACAATGAACATTTCTGGTTGAATGAGGTTTTTTTTAATTAGCTCTACTAATTTCCCAACTACTTCATCTCAGCTTATGCTTCAAGATTGAAAAAATTGTGTCAGCTTTAAATTGTCCTGTGTGCTTAGTGTGTGAAACTGTGTGTCCGATTTAGAGTCTGCCTTGTTGATGGGAAAAAGCTTATTTCATGTTCATGGCAATAGGGATTCACAACTTACGCAGAGAGGAGAATTGTGGAAGTTGTACAAGGGGCAGATAGAGCTACTTTGAACATTGGCATTGGTTGGAGGGGTTTGACTGATGAAATGGAACGGTTTAAAGACAACTTGGAGTGCACTAAACTGTGGAACAAACAAGAAGGTGTTGATCCAGATGACGTATATTCTCAGGTTCCATATGAAAAAGGATTCCAATTTGTCCTGCGAATTGAACGTCAGGTTAGTTGAATTGCCACCTCCACTTGGGTGCTTTCTTATGTAATCTTTACAATAGTTCTCATCTATTTACTGGAAAACTTTCAGATTGGAAGGACTGCTTTTGATGAATTCCTCAAGAAATACATTGCTACTTTCAAATTCAAGTCAATCGATACAAATACATTTCTTGAATTCCTGAAAGCAAACATCCCTGGAATAGAGAAAGAGATCAACCTACAGCTGTGGACTGAGGGAGTTGGTATACCAGAAGATGCATATGAACCAGTCTCAACCATTTACACAAAAATCATATCCCTGGCAAAAGAGTTTAAGGAAGGAAGGATGCCAAATGAGGATGAGGTTGCTGAGTGGAACGGACAGGAATGGGAGCTGTACTTAGAGAATCTTCCTAAATCATGTGAACCTTCTCAGGTACTTTTTCCACTTCCTTTCTTCCTCTAAGGTAATGGGAAGTTGTTAGATGTGTTGTTAGACTTGGGTTAAACGAACTGATAAGCTGTCACAAGGAAGAGAAAAAGGCCTAACTTAACAGTCAATTAGATTCAATAGTTACTCTTGGATTAGTGTTGGGCTAGTGTATGGTTTTGGAAAAAGCCTGTTGGCTTAGGGAGAGTTAGTGGTTGCGGATGACGGTTTTGAATTTGTTAGAGTTAGGAGATCTCTTCAACCTATCCGTCTTTTTGAGGATTTAAACTTGTTGTCTTGAATTTAATCGAGAATGCAAGATCGATAAAGGGAAGGATTGGGAATCAGGTTCCAAAACCTATGACTAACACATGTTTGCTTATTGGGTGATTCAGGTTATGGCCTTGGACAAGCGGTACAGACTAGCAGAATCAAAGGACTACGAAGTGAAGGTGTCGTTTCTGCAACTGGCAATAGCATCCAAGTGCAGAGAGTACCATGGGGAAGTGGAGAAGTCTCTAAAAGCAGTAGGAAGGATGAAGTACCTGCGTCCTCTCTTCACTGCTCTGGCACAAACTGGTGGAACAGAAGAGAAGCAACTCGCAAAGCAGGTGTTTGCAGAAGCTCGAGAAACCTATCACCCTATAGCTCAGGGAGTGGTTGAGTCAATCCTCTCTAAGTACATCTAAACAAGACCCTTTGTTATAGCTTGAGAAAGGCACTCCAAAAAAACAACATTTCAATAAAACCGAGTGACTGTAATAACAATTGGTGCTTTGAGTCGTAAACAAAATGAATTTCCTTGTTGATACATTACATTCTCCAAAAGATAGATTAGTACAGCTTACTTATTAACTATGCATTGCTCTCATCTTCCAACTTCTTGATATAAGCCTTAAGCACCATGATAACCTCAATGGCCGGTGCTTGTAAAGTAGAGACAAGATTGATGGCCGGAGACTGCAGAGCTCCGAGCATCTTGGCGTAGACCTCAGCACGAGTGGGCATGGTCTCGAGAACTTTGAAATTGTCAGGAGCGTAGAACTTACCTTCGAAGACGGCACCGGCAAAGTCATTGTCTTCAAGCTTGCGTTCCTTCTGGAAGCTCCGGTAGGGTTTGATGGCGGAAGGGATTTCATCAGTTTGGACGAAAAGCCAAGCATTCATGCCTTTCATACAAGGCTTGAGAGCTTCCCATTTGGTGCCTTCAATGGCTTTGTAAACCAAAGTGTTCTTGGCGACGATGAGCTTCGTGGTGTCGGGGAGAGTTCTGCGAAGGTCTTGTAACTGCTTGACGGTGAGGCCTTTGTAGTTGATGGCGGCGAGGAGATGGCAGTTCTCGAGATGGGACTTGACCGCTTCGACGGTCTCTTCCTTTTTGTTACGAGACACGGCGGATCTGATGACCGGGAGGCGAGGGGAATTCGAGGTTTTGGGTGTTAGGGTTGAGATTCGCTGGTGGCAGAGAGGAGACAAGGAAGACGAGAAGGAGAGAAGAGCCACTTCCATTTTTCGCTCAGAAGATGGATGAGGAGGAGACTGTGTTTCAGTTTCTTCTGTGTGGAGTGAGAAGATAGGAGATGATGAACAACTCTCTACACAAATCCACTTTACCAATTTCTTTTCTATTTTTTCCTTTTAAAAAAAAATCAATTTCTTTTCTTTTTTTAATGGAAAGAAAAAACAAAAGGGTTTTGTTCAAAAAATAAAGAAAAAACAAAAAGGTTAACCGGTTGTTAATAATAGACGGAACTAGTAACTCCGTCTACTTGAACGCATTTGTTCTTTATTACTCGAACAGACAAATTAAGCTACCCACTGTTAAATCAATCGATAACTAGAACAAACAAAAAATAAACAGTGTTCTACTCTCTTACTAAGGATCATGGAGCATGTATGTTTTGTCTCAAACCAAGAATTTCATAATTTACTATTCGAGTTCGTCAGAAAATAAGAACATATAGAAAAGATGTAAACGGAGAAAGCAAATCTCTCTTGGCAAAAAATATTGATGTATGGATTCGTCCCTATAGTTTGTGTTTTGTCGATTTGAGTTAGAGAGTATCCCAATTTGGGATATTCGAAGTAGCTTCATTCACCATCTTCACAAGAGTCACCTGCACCACCACACACAAATATAACACATCACACAATTTGTTACGGAAAGTCATTTACCAGACATTATGCATATCATCTTCCCAGGAAGTAAAACCATTGCAATTTGACATACTACGTCAAACTTATTTTTGTATGAAGTTTATAACATAGTCTCGGATTCCACTAAACCAATGGACATGATGTAAATAATAGTCTCGGATTCCACTCAACCAATGGACATGATGTGAATAAGTTCCCCTAAGAGCCATGGATGGACCTTACTGCAGCATATTGTTGTATGTATGATCAGATTCAAGCGGCAAATATATTACATACCACACTTTCCGGAACACCGCGAGGCGGCATGGAAATGTTCCTCGGAGGAGGACCCCGCAAATGTGATCTCTTATCGAATCGCCACTCTCCTATTTTGCCATATGTCAGCTCACCCTACATTTAACAGTCCGTAATGTAGTGTTAGTTTAGAATACATATGACACTGATTTACGTAAGCTATCACGGAGTTCTGATAGCAGATCACTAAAACTTCCTAAGACATTGCATAGGATTGTGTAAAAACTTGGTAGTTTCACAAGAATCTAGTAAAGAAACTTAACAAACTAAGCAACAACGAATGACCAAAAGGTTGCATAAATAATGCGACAATACTTGAAACAATTGACTCAAGATGTTAAGTCTGTTCTCAAATTTATTCCCCAAGGAAAGGTCAAACAGAAATCACCTTCAAGCTGTAATCGCATCCATAAGTGTAATGGATGATAAACTTCCCCTTGGTAGACAGATCCCACGGAGGCTGAAAGATATGGTGAGAGCACTTAGGAATACGGAGCAAAGAAAAGACTTTTGTAACATTAACAAAACAAAGTAACAAGAATAACTTCGACAGGGAAAAGGATATTACTGCCGATTCCTACCTGAAGCATAAAATCCTTCCGCAGTATGTGGCGCACCCCATGCAGAGCAGAGGCAATTGCATAACCGTACCTTACCAAACAGCAAAGAGAAGAATAAAGATGTCACTTAACAATGACGGGATTCTAAATGTGGAGAGCCAATTTATGAATTAAGATTTGGTTTCCAGTGCTAACATTTCCAGCACCCATCCAAATGCCTTATCAGTCTCTGGATCGTTTTTCATTGTCAGCGAGACATTCATCCATGTAGGAGCAATCTTTTCAAGTGATTCCTGCATAAGAACGTAAGTGCATGTCAACATCAAGTTAAATGCATAAACAGAACAAACAAAACATGTTCCTGAACACCAACATCACATCCAGCTAAAAGCCTCTGGACATCTTTGGGGACCAAGACAAATGTGTGAGACAGAAATAACACACAATCAATCATTTTAGTACAGACAATCTCACCTTGCTTATGATAACAGGAGAGTTTCCAATGGGATCAATATTTGTTACCGGTCCCATCCCCACTGGATAATACTTCCTAACTATGTTTTCGTACTTTTCAGGTGTAATATAGAAAAACGGAAAAGCAGCTGGGAAACCTCCAACAGCCAAATTGGGGAGGGGATTAACAAATATGTGATCAGGCTCTGCCATGAGCACATAGCTGCACCAACATTAAAGTGCATGAGACTTGGCAAACAGTAGAATGGTTGTTGAAAAAGTGGGAAACAGGACTTACTCTTCCTCGATGGTAGCTCTTTCAAGCCATTGCACGAACGCCCATGGTCTGTTCAAGACAACATAACCCTATATAGAGGATCACAAAAAGAGTGATTCAGTGATAAACCATCAACAAGACAGAGACCAAGTGGAGAAAAGGGAGTAGATAAAATTGTTACCCGATCAAGACCTGGGGGAAGAGGATCAACCACAAATGTAGGCATTTCATCCATCAAGTTATCGGGATTACCCGAATGCAAAATGCGAGTGAAGCCTCCCATATCTGAACCAGGAAGAGCTTTCTTCTGCTTGTACCAATAATACATGATACGACACTGCCACTTATTATAAGGTGCATCTGTGGCTGTTAGGGCAACATGAAAAGGTGCTGGCGAAGCCTTGGCCTTTCTAATATTTAGAGGCATCTGAACAACAGGATCGATAAGTGGACTTCCATCTGAATTACTCACACCAGATCTATTGTGAACTATAAGTGTCAGAAGATTATATGTGACAACAAAGAACCCGAACCCCAACAAAAACAGAAGCAAGCCCGATGCTTTACCCATTTGTTTATCCTCAAATCAAAAACTAAATTACAAAAACCAACTTAACGGTGTGATTCTACTACTGCCTTCAAAGCTCAGCAGCATAGATTCATAGCAATGAAACCCTTGGAGCTCACAAAACTGATTCCTGCAACCAAAGGTGATGATTCAATAAGAATCGTGACAAGCTAAGCTGATGCAACTTTGCAAAATGAGAGAACCCAGCCACCAAAAATGTCGAATTTATTTAAAAAAGAAACGAATAAACCGGGTAAAGTTGTAGAAATGCAACAATTTAGAGCCCGATTAAACAGATCAATCATACGGGAAAGAGAGTGTGGGTTTCGAAAAGATCTGAGGAAGCAGAACCCTACAACGATCAGAAGAAGCAAATATCTGAGTGTGATAAACAGTAATAAGAATTTGAAGCTTACAGATTCGTAGAGAGGGAGGTGTCGCCGGAGAAGAATAAGAGATCGGAGAGGAGTATAATATATATATATATATATATATATATAATTAATGTGAAGCTGGGTTGACTAACGGTGCGTCATCAACGAATTAACAAACACACGTCGAATAACAAAAACTATTCGACGAAATGGTGTTGGGATCGTGCCAATTAGAAGAAATTTATGCCGATGGCTTTTGAAATAAATCAAATACTATTTTATAGCAAACTTACAAAAACCATCAAAACAGAAAGAAAAAAAATTCAGGAAGTGCTAGTGTGTGCATACCACGTTTTTTTAATACGTGAATCACTTAAATTGCCAACGAATTCGTAACACTTATTAGTAGTAGGTGCCAAAATGATTGGAAATTACTGTCGTTGGAGTGATTACTACACGAAATCGTGGTCGAAAGATTCACTAATCTTATAACTGCGATTTCAGTTATGGTTGTTGTCTGTGTGGTCGTTGTAATTGATAAGAAAATATCACTATTATGGTGATTCACATTGCTTGTAGAAGACTTGGCAATATAGCTTAAAGATGGGCAGGCAATACAGGTTGCGTTTTTGGGTTTTACGTCACTCCGTTTGATTTGATTTTACGACCTATCTCTACTTAATATTCTGAGTTTTTGTTACGTTTGAAATTGTGCTCCTCGCAAGAATCTGATCGTAGCTGTCACTTTAGGCTCCGCGCTCAAAAGCATACGATACTCATGAGACACTTTTGAGTAGGTTGAAAGAACATTTCGTGATGGGTACCTTACACGCCTTTTCACTTCTCTTTCTAATTTGTTTATTGTATTGAATCATTGAATTGTGCCTTTTTCTCTAATTCTCTATCAATAGTGTTCCCACAAAAGAAGACTACTGACTGATAGAACAATGAAACATGCATCAGTATTATACAACCATACACATTAGCTTCATGTAAAAGAAAGTAACAAAACAAAAAATCGCAATGTGGTTCGAAAGAGTCAAATCTCCCTCCAAAACAAAATTTATTTAATATAAGAAAACAAAATTTAAATCTCCCGTTGCTCCTCTAATTTTATGGGAAAATATTTCATCAATACCTTTTCTTATGTTAAGTCTGTAACTGCAAAAAATTAAGAACATAAAAAGAAAGCCGAGGCTTTATAGTGACTGCGGGATTTAGTACTTAGGCACCTCCAGATCCGTACTTCTTGCCGAAGACGATTAACTGCAGTTTGTCGTAGCCAGCAAGCACACCAGCACCTGCAATGGCACGCAGGACGTTGGCACCTGCACCCTTGAACAGTGACTTGGCTCCTTCGTTCTTCAGGATCTGTTGGAAGGCGTCCATTGAGCTCTTGTACTTCACTGCTTCACCTGATGTCATCATCATTCTTCTACGGACTGTGTCAATCGGGTAGGATGCAAGACCTGCACCATTGGTGATGAGCCATCCAAGAGCAAAACTAGCGAAGAAGCTGTCCTGGAATATCCGGTAAGGAAAAAGACACAACAACGTTAGAATCAAACAAGACATGATCCTAAACTTCTGAAGATGTAAGAGAATAGGTCCCAAACGAACCTGCATGTCTCCAGTGAGGAGAACAGGCTTCACAGAGTCGTACAGTCCAAAGTAGAGACCACGGTAGACAATAATACCAGCACAGGAGATGTTGAATCCACGGTAAAGTCCAGCAATACCATCGGACTTGAGGGTTTTCTTGTAAACATCAACAAGACCATTAAACTGCCTTTCACCTCCCTTCTTGGCAGACTTAGAGTCATTGGCAAGACGGGTACGTGCATAGTCAAGAGAGTACACAAAGAGGAGGGAAGAGGCACCAGCACCACCTCCAGATGCCAAGTTACCAGCAAACCACTTCCAATAGCCATCCCTGTCTTTCTTGAAGTTGAAAAGCCTCTTAAAGTAATCTTTGAATGCAAAGTTCAAGGCCTAGCAAGTGAGATATATAGATCAGTAACCAATGCACATTACTAGCATTTTCTATGGAGGAAAGAAGTGAAACTTAACTAACCTGAGTGGGGAAGTATCGGATAACATTAGCAGTGTTTCCTCTCCACAAAGAACCAAAACCCTCATCCTTAATAGTCCTGCCGAAACAGTCACCAATACCTTTGTAGGGCTCAGAGAGCCTGCCAGCCTTGAGCATCTCATCCTGGTTTTGAATCAAAAGCTTGACACGCTCAATGGGAGCAGCAGCAGTTTTTGAGACAGCCGCAGAAACACCACCCATCAGGAAATCAATAGCAAAGTTAGTGAATCCTTTCTCTCCTGGAGCCTGGACAAAGACAGGGGAAGTAGTAGTTGCAATTCGGGATGCGGCCACAAGAGGAGACTGAAAAGCAGCATTAGAGTAGTTTCCGTATGATGCTCGCCTTTGGAATGTAGCAGGGCTCTGAAAAGCAGAAGCATAACCCTGAACATCCTGAGAAACACTCGAACGCAAGAATTGGCCAGAAGCCTTCTGCAGAATCGTGGGGTGCTGCGTCTGTTCAACCATTTTGACCTCTACAAAATGTAAACATAACATCAGTGAAACTATAAGACATGGACAATGCTGTAAACTGCAGCAAAAGCATTTGTGCGTCAAAAAGTGAAACATTAATCCACCATAAACATAACAAAGGCTATATAGGTAGAATAACGCCAATAGATCCATACATTAGCAACAAAAAGGCGTAAGAACATATAAGCAATAGAGCCAAATCATTTCCGAAAATTACACAGGCAGATCTCTATTGTGTGGAAACATTCACACTCAAACATGTGTTTAAATCCTGAATTACGCATGGAAAGCATCAGATCACGTCAATACAAAACGAAACACTACCGTCATATTTACCTTGTTTGATATACAGGGACTGTGGAACAGATAAATAAAAATCAAATGAAGAAAAGGGAGAATCAACGAGAGATTTAAATAAAGCGAGAGATTAACCAAAATTACCAGAGAAAAAAACCGATGGCAAAGCGAAACAGAGGGAGTGAGAGGTTCTTCGCCCTTAGTTGTCTGAGGCGAGAGCGAAGAAGACGGAAGGCGAAGAAACCAGACACAAGAGAGAAATTGCGTTTTTGTGGCGAAGAGGCGAGTTTAGTGACACGAGCCTTTTATTGCCCCTCTCGAAAAATAGGGTCGCACTGGATAGAAATCAGGTGTAAATCTCCATCGTATGCGCTTCGATGCTATGAGAACGTTAGATCATCGCTAGTGAAATATAGATTGGTTGTGAGCCGTCGATTGTGAATACTAAAGGAAATAAATTGGTTTATGGAAAGGTATAACTGCGTTAATGACCCTTAGATTTTGCCAGCTTTTTTGGCGCCGAAAATCAGGAAATTTTATTTATTTCCTAGTCAAACTACACGACGACGGTTTAGCATTTCTTTTATTAATGATTTTTTTGGGTCATAATTATTTAATAATCATGTAAACAAGAAAAGCTCAGTTCCAGTTCCACCAGTGGCTCCTCTTGTGGATCTCTAATTCTCTATAATGGTCAACCTTGGACTTGAGTGTCATTCATATCAAATGCAATGTTCTTTCTTTGTTGTATATTTTTTTACTTTAGACTATAACCTTCATCGATCCCTGTCCCTGTGGTCATTTTTTACTCAGGATTAATTTGATTGAAGGCTTGTTCTGATGTTGCCTATCCAAATATATCTGACTTGGAAGGGGTTTGTATCTTACTTCTTCAAACTTCTAGATTATGATATGAGATGATTTTTGTTCCTTAATCTGTTTTCAGCTCATGTTTGCTCATTCTCGCATAAGACATGCTATTTTTTTTTTTTTTTTTAAACTTTTATATATTCCAAAGGAGGCAAACACGTTACACGTATAGATAAGATAGAAAACCCCTCATGTAAAACCTATCACAATCCGCCACTAAACCAGTTTTAACATAACTGAACAAGTTGATCGTTGTGGATTATAAGATGTAGAAGGTTATTACAAGGTCCATATATCATCCACTGGACCATTTGTATTATGTTTATATTTCAAACAACATCGAGATGTATTGGATGATTTGGATCACGATAGATGGTTGTTACATGATACTAAGCTATCCTACATTTTTGGAACAAGGTGTAAGACTAAAAGAGCATCGATTGTATATAAAGATGGCACTATAGCTCCCTTTTTGAGCATTATGAATCTTTTGACTTCAATTTTATCAACTCTCGTTTTTTTTTTTCTGTTACCTTTTTAGTTTCAAAAAGATTTAAAGGCCTTAATGGTTTCAAATCCAAAAACCAATTTGCTAAGCTATGTTAGTGGCTTCCAAGACTAGTTTTGGGTCGACGTATTTCATTTTTTCCCGCTATGAAAGTGTATTGAATACATGGATTATGTGTTTTTTCATTTACAATTCACATGTATACACTATATCGAAATGAAAATAGTTAATGGTATCATATATAGTATAGTGTAGAGACACAAAATGCGATTTTAGTTTACCAAATTAATGAGGTTAAAAAGAGAAAAAAAAAGAAAAAAAAAAAAAAAGTAAAAGTATCAGGTACAACCTCACAAAACATCCAATCGAGTTATTAACTAATCCTCGAATCCTATATTGTTTAGAGAACCGACCGGTGTACTCCCCCGATACTCACTTTGAGCCCTAACTTTGAGGGGTTTGGCTTGCCGAGAAGGGTAAAATTAGAAAACCCTAATCTTTGCAAATAATGTACGGCGAATCGATGCAACAGCTTCCTCCGATACAAAATCAACACCATATAGGACCCGGACAAGGACCAGGACACGGCGGCGATTTGCACAGGGGTTCACAGATGCCTCCTCCGCCCATGATGCGGCAGTCGTCTGCTTCTTCCTCTAACATTAATCCCGACTACCACCACCCCTCTGCCCCAAACAATCCCTTCGACCGTAACTAATCTTTATGGCTTGAGCTTTTTTTTTTTTTAATTGTTTCGATTTGTGATGGCTTATGAGATCTGTCGGATGTCTCTTTGTTTGATGTCGCAGCACATGACAATTTTGGGGCGAAACGAATGAGAAAGCATACACAGAGAAGGGCTGTTGATTACACCAGCACCGTTGTCAAATATATTCAGGTAATGCATTCCCCATTGCTGTTTTTACTACTTCTTCGTTAGACCCTTTTTTGTTGATTGATTGTATTTCTCTTGTTTTCTGTAAAGTTGTCGTCTTGATGTCTATACTCATATCTTCTCCTTTCCCCAGTTAAACTCTCCAGTCCCTTTTATCTCTGGAGTCATTAGATAGCATTGTCTTTATTGAATGCAAACTGATATGGATTGATTATGTGTTTTGATGTGAAACTTTAAGTACTGAGTGTATTTACTCCATATATGTTTTTGTTCAGGCTCGGACATGGCAGCGAGACTCAAGAGATAGGACCTCTTTGCAACCAACCCCAGCTGCAGCAGTTGATGTTGGATTTCTCTGCTTTTCTGAGTCATTCATTAAGATTTTGATTTCTCGATGATTCTTTTTTCCAGTTTTTGAATGATTTACTTGCTCTAACTTTTATCATCATTGTTTCAGATGCTTCCCACTGTTGCCTATTCAGATAATCCTTCAACAAGTTTTGCTGCAAAGTTTGTTCACACATCTCTAAACAAGAATCGTTGTTCAATCAACCGTGTATTGGTATATCCCTTTAACTGCTGGGTCTTTTGTATTATTCTCTTTTTGCCATGTTTCTCTTTTGAAGAAAGCAGCATCTTTTTTTCTTTTTTTTCTTAACTCTGTTGTGCTCTACTTAATGCGATCATTGCTGATTGAGTTTCTTGTATTTAGTGGACACCTTCAGGAAGACGTCTTATCACTGGCTCCCAAAGTGGGGAGTTTACTCTTTGGAATGGGCAATCTTTTAATTTTGAAATGATTCTTCAGGTTTGTCTCTCAGATAGAACTTCTGATTTTTGATTTTTTTTTATAGCCGCTGCTCCTGGTATTTACTGTGAATATATGCTGCCACTTTCAGGCACATGATCAACCTATAAGATCAATGGTATGGAGCCACAATGACAATTATATGGTTTCTGGTGATGATGGAGGCACAATAAAGTAATTTTTTTCAGTCCCTAACTTTTGAAGATGTAATTGAGAAGCTCAGAATTCTATGATTGACTTTTAGTTTTCGCTGTTACGGTAAGGATTAAATTTTTTTCTTATGTATCAGGTATTGGCAGAACAATATGAACAATGTGAAAGCCAATAAAACTGCTCACAAGGAATCAATTCGCGATTTAAGGTATAGAAGTTTGATATGTTAAATTTCTTTAGATTAATCTCTCCAAAATTAACAATTTGTATCAATCAGTTTTTGTAAAACAGATTTGAAGTTCTGCTCGTGTTCTGATGATACGACTGTTAAAGTCTGGGATTTTGCCAAGTGCCAAGAAGAATGCTCATTAACCGGTAATGTGATTTGAACAGATTGGTGGCAGATTGTTAACTTCTTACTCATCAAATTTGAATTTAATAGGCCGTGAGATGTGCTTTATGTTACTAGAATTGGACCCTTAGACTACATAGAAAAAAGTGTTATTGAGATTCGATTTGGTGTTATGACATTTAAAATTTAGTTTGTTTTAAAGGCTCTAAATCGGTGCATATAACAATTTTTCTATCCCTTTGAAGGCATGTTTTCTCAGTTTCTTAATATTGTAAAATCTGAGAATTTTTGACGTGACCAAAGGGTTCTTTATATTTTGAACTCAGGCAGGCCATGGTTGGGATGTCAAGTGCGTTGACTGGCACCCGACGAAGTCCCTACTAGTTTCTGGTACATTATTTTTAGACTTCTATTTTGATTAATGCAATAAACAGTTGTATATTTCAGAGCTTCTCTCTCTGGCTGAGTATTAATCGTTCTAATCTGTGTTGTCAGGTGGAAAAGACCAAATTGTCAAACTCTGGGATACTAGATCTGAGAGAGAGCTTTGCTCACTGTAAGTGGTACATAATGTAATATATGTTTTATTATAATTTCATGTTCAAAGCTTTCACGAATTTGATCGCCTATTTTCACTTCTGCAGTCATGGTCACAAAAACATAGTGCTTAGTGTGAAGTGGAACCAAAATGGCAATTGGCTTTTAACAGCCTCGAAAGATCAGATAATTAAGGTAAGGCTGACTTTATTTGGGGTACAGTATATTAATATGCATACATGATTTTTCCGTGCATTATGGAAGTATTTGTTTGACACCTATGCATGTAATCTGCAGCTGTATGATATAAGGACTATGAAGGAGCTTCAGTCCTTTCGTGGGCACACGAAAGATGTAACATGTAAGCTTTCAAATTCTGTAATGTACATGTCTTCAAACACGTGAAAGCAGACAAACTTCCTGCATAAGATTACTTATATGTACATTGACTAGGACTCTAAAGTTTATGCCTTCGAAAGATTATTATTGTGCCCATGCTTTACGTATGGGGATCAACATATGAGACTTTTCTTATTATCCAATGGATGACAGTTCTCAATTTGTTTCTTCGAAATTTCTTATTTGCAACTATTTCTAATTAAAAGTTGTTGAACTCTTTTGAAGCTTTGGCGTGGCATCCCTTTCATGAGGAATATTTTGTCAGTGGGAGCTCTGACGGATCCATTTGTCATTGGGTTGTGGGGTAAGTACTGTTGTCCATTAATATGCTGCCTTATTTATTAGTTCATACTGATATTGCTATAATCACTTATATGGACTTTGTTAAATCATCCTTCTTGTCTACATTTTATATCCAATCATGACGCATCTACATACTAGTAGCATCTTACGATACCTTCTGTTTTGTGGTTTTTGTCTGAGGTGTGTCTAATTTTATAATACTTTCTTAATTCACAGGCATGAAAATCCGCAGATTGAAATCCCAAATGCTCATGATAACAGTGTTTGGGATCTTGCATGGCATCCTATTGGATATCTACTTTGCAGGTAGCAATTACGATAGTCTGGTTTTTATGAGTTTCTTACAGTTTCATTTTATTATGTACCTTTGTTAGCTATGCTCTTGATTTCAGAGATTGACTTTTTACCCTAATATCTGCAGTGGTAGCAATGATCACACAACCAAGTTTTGGTGCAGAAATAGGCCTGCAGATAATCCTCGAGATGTCCTTCCTATGCAGAACCAAGGTTTTTTCTAAGGCTATTAGTATCTGTTTTTTTATTAGGCATCGTAATGGAAAGAGTGTAGGTAGTGCATAATACTATGTCCTTATTCATATGAGTAGTAAAGATGTTGTGATAGGCTTAACTGGCTGGGACCTGGCAGGGTTATTTATTATTTGTATGTACTAATTAGTGTAATCTGTACCAGGCTATAATGAACAAGGTTTTGGCCGCCAGCCTGATAATTTTCAACCATCTGAGGCATCGCCAATCCCTGGAGCATTTGTTCCCGGGCTGACACGGAATGAGGGGACCATCCCAGGAATCGGAATAGCAATGCCATTTGATGCATCCTCTCAAGGGGAACATAAACAGCCTCTTCCAGGTTCAATGGCAGTGGGGGCTCCTCCGCTGCCACCTGGTCCCCACCCATCGCTTCTTGGAAGTGGCCAGCAGCAAGGGTATCAGCAACAACAACACCACCAAGGCCATCCCCAGCAAATGCCTCCAATGCCTAATATGCCTCACCATCAGCTACCACCATCATCTCATATGCCATTGCACCCTCATCATCTTCCCAGGCCTATGCAAATGCCTCCTCACGGTCACATGCCACCTTCCTCAATGCCTATGTCTCATCAGATGCCTGGATCAATGGTATGGCTCTCAGACCTCTTGTAATTTGCCCATAAGCGTGTGTGTTGTTTTAGCGATATTTTTGGAAAATCATTTTTTTCGGGTAGAATGAGATTTAAAATCTTCAGTTGTTGTTGGAGTAGGGAATGCAAGGTGGCATGAATCCTCAGATGTCGCAAAGTCATTTTATGGGTGCTCCTTCAGGAGTATTTCAAGGACCACCAAGCAGTGGTGGACCCCAAATGTATCCTCAAGGACGTGGTGGTTTCAACCGTCCACAAATGAGACCTGGCTACAACAACCCTTTCCAACAGGTCCCAGCTAAACACTATTCTTCAGTTATTTAGTATACCCGTTAAGGTTTCGCATAGTAAGTAAGATGTCTGAGCAACAATGCGAAACATCCTGATACGATTGAGCCACATATAACTTTTGCAGCTAGTTTGAATCTTACTAGCTAGGTTCTTTGGTACGACTAGATGTTGAAAATAGCAGAAGGTTCGTTAGCTAATCGGTTTTCATTATTTTAACGTGCAGCAGCCACAGCCGCCTTTACCTCCGGGCCCTCCACCGAACAACAACAATCAGCAACATCAGTAGGCAACTGTTGTATTAGTACATATGTTGTAGACTTGACCACTTCTTTTGAGGAGATGGTTTCAAGATGATTAAACAATGTGAAATGCAGAAATGGTTTTGCTGTCATGTTTTTTATTCTTTTAGCTGAACAAGTTACTTTACAGAAGTTTTAGTGACTTTTCGCATATCAAATACTCAGTTTGGTCTCGTTAAGAAACTTCTAAGAAAAATACTTTCGTTTTGGGGAATTTTGTTCTTTTAAAATAAAGACTGATGTCCTCTCTTTTTTTATGCAAAATTTATGTTTCTGTTTTGAAATTAGCTTATGTAACCCTTAAATTTCAAAAAATACGATTGATCAAGCCATATATATTTATACTAAGAAATTAAGAATTAATCGAAGATCACCCTTTAACACTATCAATCAAGTCACACTACCAAGATTACATCTATCAAAAACCCAAAAGATGAAATTACTACACACTAGTCAGTACTTAGCAGTTAGCATAGTGGTAATTTCAGATTTTTTCTTTTTGTATAAATAATCTTAAACTAATGAGAAAGTACATGTTCAGCGTATCTGCTAAAATACCACCATTACGTTGCACCAAATTTTATGGAATAAGACGAATATATAAAAACATCAAATTTGACCAAACTATTCCGGAGGTGGAGATTTTGCCTTGGAGGAGTCTTGCCGTTTTTTCACAAAAAGCCTGCTCATATCCTCTGTGGCAACATTGCTCCTGCAGAACAATAATAATCTCCGGTTATTCGCTTACAAGTGTTCAAAACAAGATATTGCATCCATTTCAGGAGCTAGTTCTTGAAGATGCTCAGAATGTCAACAATTCATAACCTCCTAAAACACAAAATCCCCTAAACAACTCCCTCAATGATTGTTAACAACAACACTCATAGACTTTCTCCATAGTATTCTAGGTTTTAGAGATAAAGTGAAAATGAAGATGACACAAGCCAATATTATCAAGTGATGGACTAACCTTCCCTTGAGCTGAGGAGGTACAAGGACATTACCCATTGTATCAGGAATATTCTTGGAATGAGGCAAATTCCCTCTTGGTACCTTGGGACGACGAGGAAGAGAAGAAGCATTCCCATTTAAGTCCCTCTTCCGTAATGTACTCTCGGCCATTGCAGCTGCAACAACAGAAGCATGGTCACTGCCAGTAACCTGTGAGAGTGTCGGTGACTCCAGAAGAAGCAAAGCATCTGGTAGCTTCTCAACACTCTCTTTCTGCTCACATCTCCTACAAACTCAGAACGGATAGTGGATATCAATACCCAAACTTGACAGAACAATGCTCTAGACTTAACTTTGACGCATTCAATATCAGAGAATTGATTGAGATCGAGATCAACAAAAGCAACTCACTTTGGCAACCTAAGAAACTAAGATTCTTGTACAAACGCAGCTATACTAAGGACAAGAGCAGTATTTGAAGGTTGAAGGTAGATTTGTAGCTTATATATGAATCGAAAAGCTTCTGCTTCAGCATACACACAAAGACTAACAATGAGAAACCTAAGCTATATGAATCGAAACTGTTTAAGAATGGTTCCAAAAACTTCACATACACAATTTCAAGCTCTTTAACAGATCATTTCATCGAAAAAAAAAATCCAAAATTTCGGAAACCCTAAATCCACTCACTTTCTATTTGGAGGAAGTGGAGAGGGCTGTCTTTGCGGCTGTGGGAGTGGTTGCTTCTGGTTTGCGTCTTGCTCCTCGGCGGCTAAGACATCATCGTCGGATGATGAATCGTCGTAGTCTACCAGTGGCATACTTTCTCCGACCCCTTGCGGTTTCTTCCTTTCTAAAACGGTGTCGTTACAGCCTCAACACTCGTATTATGTTCTTTGTCAACCCACCCTTATTAGGACTCTCTCCCTCTCTCTCTAAGCAAGTCCTAAACCCATATCAAAACACTTTGTACACAGCAGCTCACAAATGCATACGAGCTAAATGATATAAAGTTATTCTGTAGAGTGACTGTAGCCAATTTGGTATATTATAGTTTGAGAAGATGATCAAACATAGAGATTGCTTTGCCACTCTATTGCCAATCAAGTCCTATTTTAACTTATTTGTTAATTGAGTCGAGTTATATATATGATCAAACTGATCGGAGAGAGAGGGCTGCATAGACAACAACTTCTTATGTTTATTGTCATTGTGAAATTAGCCAATTGAAGTTGAGATGAACAAACAAGTATAAATAAAAATAAATAAAAAACGAAAGAAGGTTGATACACATGTGAGTGTGACCATCAAAATAAACATTGGAACGGTATGTATCTCTATATACAGGGTTCAAAATCCACTCATCTCAAGCTGCTCTGCTTGTTCCAGCTGGGTAGAGATCTTTCCGAGTTAATGCTAAGATCGTTCAGTAGAGTACTATTGCATGATTTTAAAGGGCCTATGTTAAATCCCCTTAACCCCGGAGACCGTTGCTGATATGCACTTGGCCTAGTATTACTGCCATTGTTTGCAATCCTCACCTTGCTTGGTGCTTCACTCATCATAGAGGTGGTCAGGCATAGCTTGTTCTTATACGGCGAGTAGCTCTCTGACTGTGTGTCAAAGCTTCTCGGTCTTATCCTTGGGGAGCTCAACGATCTTGACTTTGCCTTTGCTGACTCTGTTGCAACCATATAAGTTGGTGTAGTCACAGCCACCGTGGCAGGGCTTTGTTCCTCTTCACTTATTGATACTTGTCTTCTATGATTATTCACCAATCTTCTTGGTGATGAGTTCCTTGGAGTTTTAAGCTGTTTCTCATTCAAAGGTTCCTCTTTAGGTTTTGTTCTCGAAGAGAAGTCGAGATCTTCGAGCTCCTTGCTTTTGGTTAGTTGGGTATCTACCCATTCGTCTAGCCAGTACTTCCACTTTGTGTTACTCCGTTTCTGGTATGACTCCGCGGATTTCTGATGTTCACAAAGAATCAGTTGTCAGGTCTATATGAAACTTATTAAGCAATAAAATTCCAGATTAAACAAGCGCTTAGATACCCGGTGGGTGACTGCATATTCCTTTATCCTTTCTCTTCTTAGTGAAGCTTCTTTCTTGCTCATGACCACAGCCTCTGCCTCTTCCTTTGTTAAAAGACTATCGTCCCATCTCTTTTGACTGTTTGTATCCACCTGAAAATATAACATTTTCTTACATACTGATAAACTAATGCAACATATTCAAAACAAAACCTTCTTTAGATCAGAAGACATACCTTGAGATTGTTCTCGTTGGATATATTGCCCTCTTCATATTCTCTGTGAGCACCTCGGGGAATTTGTGTCCTCTTACCACAGACCTGTGACTGAATGTTCACAACAGATTGCAAGCATTTCAGTGTAGTCATTGCTTGGCGTCTCACAGCACGACCTCTAATATATGCTTGGAGCTTCACTATTCCCTTCAAGGCACGTAGAGCTTTCCTTGCCTGCAATAAGTTCAAAACCCAAAAAACAGAAAATGAGAAGACATTAGGCTTTACAAAATTCAAATCTGCCTCTCATGACTTGTGATTGACACAGGACATATATGCATCAGGCTGATGGTAAACAGCACAAACAGATACTGATACCATTGGAACCAATAAACTCCTTTATTCAATTGACCAAAGAAGAACACCTATTGATCAATGAGAGAACTCTCTAGCTCTCAACCACTGCCCAAACCAGATCCTAGACTCACCCAGAATCCCCAACTCCTACCTAAACTTTCTTTAAACATGTTAGCTCTTTAACTAACCTACTCAACTAAGCTAATTACATAACTTCAGTACCAGACCAACACAAGGCTTTTCATGAAAACGAGTAAATTCTTCCAGAAAATCACATAAGAAAAGGGTACACAAGCTTACAAGATGACCCCGGAAAGCAGTCTGAATCCGAGTAGCGGCATGAACTTCTTCCTGTCTATTAAGAAACATTTGATACTGGACTACTAGATCAGCAGTTTGTGGAGATGTTGAACCTTTTGACTCTTCTATGGAATCTAACTGACGACTACAAGATACTTGGCTGATCTCACCCACATCTGATACAATTTCCTCCTTCTGTTCCTCGTGCGATTCGATACTTGCCTTGTGCTCTGGAGGTGCTGTAATGGAAGGTAATCTTTTTTTAATCCTAAGCTTCCAAAACGTCCATTTTCTTCTCTTCTCTTTCTGCAGAAATACATAAGAAGAAGAAGAATCAAACAAGATGCGGAAACCATCACCAGCAGAAGAATGAGAAACTTGTGTTTTCCTTTTGTCTTCACCTTTTCTGAGTTAGCTTCTGAAATAAAAATCCTTTTCAATACAGTGAATAAGCCTTTCTTCTTTGCCATTGTTGCACAACCATCACCTGCTACAATGCTCTGAAAAATCTCACTTTAGTAAACCAAATCTGAAACAAACAAAAAAAAAAATCGAATTTTTATTTAAACACTGACCAAATCAAATCACTACGGATACATATTGCCTAAAACCCTGAAATGTGAAAATAACACACATCTCTCAGTACCATGATCATAAAGACCCTAGATTTGAGGAATCATACTTCAGATCAATACTCTAGATTCTTACAATAGTCTGGTTCTAGGAAAACCAAAATCCGCAAATATGTACTGTAATCTAAAAATTAGATCACACAAGACACCAAAAGCAAAGAGAAAGTACCTAACTAATAAAGAAAACAAGGCACAATGCAGCAGGTACAGCACATAATTGAAGTCTGTCTCCAAGATTTGGAACAAAACATATGAAAGAAAAAAAACTTACTTGATGGTGGTGTCAAAGATTTCACAAGAAACGTTAGCTTGATTGAAAAGTGTGAAATCGACAGAAACAAGATTCAGGGAGAGGGTTACTTCTTCTTCAGGAGCGAAGATGACTTGACTGTTCATCAAAATTATGAATGTGAACAAGAGAGAAGCCTTGTTCTCTTCTCCACTGTGCCGACAGGTGAACGTGCCACTTCATTGCCCACTCGAAATTATACTTTTACCCCTCATCTTCCCATACTCCTAATTTCTGGTATAGATCTTTGCTACCACAAAATTGTTCTTGATTTTGTATTAATATATGTCTGGGGTTACTACTAACGATTATAAAATTATTAAGCTACATTAATTATTACTCGAAAGTGAAATAAGATCTACCATATTGTTGCTGTGTAAAAAATCAAGTTTATTACAAATGTAGTAAACAAATTGCTCTCCATGTGGAAGAAGTTGTTCATAAATATCATCGGACAGATCCCAAAGTCACACAACTCATAAATGCATTATACAACAATGTCAAAGATAAAATATTGTGACCATCCAAAAATAGCTTACATGATCAGTTTAAAGCACTTTAACAAGAACAAAATTAACTAAACTATGTAAGAAGTGAAATACATGTATTAACAAAATCAAGACCATCATGTTTCCCTAATTAACAATTAATTGTGCTTTTTGTATCTTTCAATGCTGCTATAAAAAGTCACTTTTTTCAAAGACTTAATTTGCAAATATTATTAGGTACTACTACTACTACTACTACTACTACTACTACTACTAATACTACTAATATGATAATGATTTTTTTTATAAAAAATATTGGTCAAACGACAATGACAACGCATTGTACATTGTTCAGATGGAAAAAAACATATTCTCCAAGTGGTATCGCTCTCACCAGCCTTCTCCAACTACAAATCCAATTGCATCCTTCTACATTGTTTTTTTTTCCGCAATATAACTAAATTTAAATAGACAGTGTTTTTTAAAAAAAAAATACAAGCTGGAAAAACATTTTTGTATAATTCAACTTTTTTTTTTGTTTACATTATAGTTCAACTTCATGTATACAATTAATATATGTTTCGTACATACATTTACATAGTTAGCTTCGTTATATTTATCTGATACAACAACGATATTACAAAATTACAAGCTACTAATCTACAAGATCTGGTTTACAAAAAGAAAACAAAAAACATATCATTATCACTTTCCTTTATTAGTTGTTAACATCTGAAACTGAAAATAGTAAGAAAAAAGAAAACAAAAACTGAGCAAAAGAAAGCACACCTACGCTGGAAATAATAAGCCCAATAAAATGAGTGTGAGTCCATTAAGGCCCAATTCACTAAGTTGTTTTTCTTCGACTGGCCAGTTTCATCTCTTTGCTCTCTCTCTCTCGTCAAAGCAGCTGATCGACTTTTCTCATTTCTAGGGTTCCAATCAAAATCTATCTGCAACAAAAAAAATGGCTTTGGCTAATCGTTTCAGATCGGGGATCTCCTTCCTTAAGAACATCGCCGTATCAGATTCTGTCTCCTCCGCTAGATCCAGTCCCCATGGAGGGTCGCTCATCCCTGCGGTAATCGTTTTCTTAATCGAATCTTTAGGTCCCATTTATTTTTGTAAAGAATCGTTTTTTGTTTACAAAATCAGTTGTTTAGATCGAATGATTTAGCTTTATAACAATAGAAGATGGAATTGTTGTGTTTTCGCGTTTACATTGCTCGGCTTTAAATGTTGTTGAAGTCTTCAACTGTATATGTTATTGTCCTGAGGTTTTCCAAAGAATGCTATCAAATCACCTTTAAATTTTGTATTCTTTTTTCTCGCAGTTGAGAAATTATGCAACTGCTTCGGCTCAAAACACCGCTAATGTTAAGGTACTATTCCTACACACCCTTATCTATGCTATTCAACTTTTACTATTCCTATCAGTTGTAATATTTCATAATGCGGGAATCGTCCCAATGGCTTAGGCTTGAAATGATGAACCAATGAATAGCTGGATTTTGTATAATATGCGTTAATATCGTTGGAAGTGTGTTTTAGATTTATATTTGTTGAATTGTTGCATTGTGTATGTTGTTTCAGGTGCCTATAGCTTTAGTTGGTGAAAATGGGAACTTTGCTTCGTGGCTATACATTGCAGCTGTGAAAATGAATTCCTTGGAAAAGATTGAGTCGGATCTTTCTGAGATGATTGAGGCAATGAAGACCGCTCCTACTTTTGCTCAGTTTACAAAGGATCCCTCTGTTCCTAGAGCCACAAGACTCGAGGCTATTAGGGACGCTTGTGATCAAGCAAAGTTTGCTGAACCCACCAAGAACTTCCTCTGTATGTAACGGAGTTAATTTGAAAATGCCTTATTTTTATGATTTTGATTGACTGTGTTGTTTTTGACTGAAAAATGTTGTTTTCTTTATGAATTAGCCTTGTTAGCTGAGAATGGAAAACTGAAGAACCTAGATGCCATTGTGAAGAAATTTATGCAGCTGACAAACGCACATAGGGGAGATATCAAAGTTTTGGTTACCACAGTCATGGTAAGCTAGACAGTTTGATACTGTATTATCTCTTATAGACCCTTAACTCAGTATTGTGGATCTTAACAAATGATTTTGACCAACAGCCCCTTCCCCCCGCTGAGGAGAAGGAACTGAAGGAGACACTCCAGGAGATTATTGGAGAAGGGAAAAAAGTAACCGTGGAACAAAAGGTATGGAATCTGACACATCACAGGCTTGTGATTATTAACGTGTAACGTAAACCGGAATATAAACATCAATGTCTCTGCTGGTAATGTTGTATGGCAGATTGATCCAAGTATCTACGGTGGGCTAATCGTGGAGTTCCAACAAAAGGTGTTGGACATGTCCATCAGGACAAGAGCACAACAGATGGAGAGGCTCCTCCGTGAACCTGTGGACTTCAGCAACCTCTGAAAATATTGAGAGAAATATCCCTCCTAAGAAAACAAGTTCCTGATGATGCCACCAATTGACAAATAAATATGGACCCTCCGGGGAAACAATATATAGCTGGCTACTTCTCGTTTTGAATTTTTGTCATTTGCAATTTACATTTGTTGTTTGCTTCTTCGAAATAAGCTTTTTCGAGACGTCAAAATTTCAATGAGATTTATATATTGTCCGAGTTTTGGTTTGGTCAATTTGGTAAATAGTTTACAAAAATATGCCAAGTGAAGGTGGGAGAGCCACGAAACAAATCAAGTACATTAAGGTGCCACGAAGCTACATAGTAAGAACACCGTCGTTGATATTATTTGATACCACTTTATACTAATAGAGTTATTTATAGGAAAAACCAAATTGACATTTTCTCGGAGACTATTTTAAAAGGAATATCCCGAAAGAAAAAAAACATTTTTTTGTTGTAAAGGACTGATCTTTGTGTTTGCATATCGGTCATCCCTAACCTTAGGATTGTGTCCTTGCTCTGAGCGAAACCCTAGATTCGACCATTTCCCATTGAGCAGAGATGCTGCGAGTAGCAGGAAGGAGGCTTTTGTCTGTTTCGCAGAGATCTTCGTCTGCGACCTCCTTCGTCCTCTCCCGTGACCATACCCTTTCCGATGGCGGCAACTCCTCTTCCGCCCCTAGATCTGTCCCTTCTGCTGATTTCTCATCTTTCAATTCTTACCACCGAAGCCTTATCAGAGGTTCGTCGATCTATAGCCAACCCTTTCTCTCTCTAGATTGATTTCCATTTCTGCTGTTGTGTGCAATTTCTATTGATTGAATGTGATTTCCAAAAAACAAAACCATTTGTTCTCTTGTATGAATCAAGAGAATGACTGAGATTCGTTATCATATCTGCGCGATGACTCCAAACGTCTCAACTGATTTGAAAATTTCATGATCTGGATTAGAGTTTGTGTACCATTTCGTTTCATTCTTCTCGTTGCTGGAAAAATGATGCATCCTTATGTCAAGAGGGAAATGGGTTGAATTTTTTGTTGATTAATCAATTATGAACTGAGCAATTCCGAGATAATCCTCTGTTTGATTAGAAAAGCCTTTTTGATCCTTTCTATCCCATCAATTTTCTTATTATTAGGGGGATTGTCGTTTTAACATCTGTGGGCACATCATGTTAACAAAGTATACATGGTTTGACGGATTCTTAGCAGCTAAAAGGCAAAAACTTGCAACCTGAAATTTGGAATTTAATTTTGTTAACCAAAAGAGCTACGTTTATGATCTTAGCTTAAAGATTTCTGCTGTTTAGTGAGCTTCCCAATAATGAAGAGCATTTGATCATTGAGTTTCTTTCTTTGATTTTTCATTTAAATAGAGTTTAGTTGTCACTGAGTTTTATTTGAAATTGTTTGGATGAAACTGTTATACTCCTGCATTAGTCTTTTATCTTATGGATTCCTCTTTTATATACTAATGTTTTTCTTGAGATCCGTAATATTAATGCCAAATCATGATTGTGGTAGTCGTTTCTTGAACGTTTTGTTGCTTAATACTTATTGTTGTTGAACACCTGACCTAAATCAAAGTTTTCTTTGATGTGAATATATTAATGTTTCATGCAATCTTTCAGGTTTCTCTTCCCAAGTCATTGCTCAAGGAAATGAGATAGGTTTTGGTTCAGAAGTTCCAGCCACCGTGGAAGCTGTCAAAACACCTAACTCAAAGATTGTGTATGATGACCATAACCATGAGCGTTACCCACCTGGTGACCCTAGCAAGCGTGCATTCGCTTATTTTGTTTTGTCGGGTGGAAGGTTTGTTTATGCCTCTGTTATCCGTCTTCTTGTTCTGAAGCTTGTTGTGAGCATGTCTGCAAGTAAAGATGTCCTGGCCCTTGCATCCCTTGAGGTTGACCTAGGGAGCATCGAACCAGGAACGACTGTTACAGTCAAGTGGCGTGGTAAGCCTGTCTTCATCAGGCGAAGAACAGAAGATGACATCAAACTGGCCAATAGCGTGGATGTTGGATCCCTGAGGGACCCACAAGAAGACTCGGTTAGGGTCAAGAATCCAGAATGGTTAGTCGTGGTTGGAGTCTGCACTCATTTGGGGTGCATCCCCTTGCCTAATGCTGGTGATTATGGAGGTTGGTTTTGTCCGTGTCACGGTTCACATTACGATATCTCTGGACGAATTCGGAAAGGTCCTGCACCATACAACCTTGAAGTACCGACGTACAGCTTCCTGGAAGAGAATAAGTTACTCATTGGTTAATGAATAAAGTACAAGAGAAGAGTCAGTGTCTTGGTCTGAATGATCTTAATATGTTTTTGTTTTGATATTTTCCCGGCATTTTAGCGTGCAAGTTCGCTTTCCTCACACTACTGGTCTCTCAGCAAGATTGTCTTGTTTTGCTGAATAATACAAACTTGTCATTTGTATGACTTAGTATCTCTATCTGTCCCATCTGGTGAAAGACATTGTTCATAGTCTCTGTCTATTATTTGAAAAGAATTTTTGAATAGTATCATGCCTATTTTTCTTATCTAGCAGTATTTATATCGTATGTAAGAGAGTTTCCTTTCATACCTTAAGTTTCTAGCCGCAGACACTTGTTATGGTTGAAGGTGTTTGTGAACGTTTTCAATCTTTCATGGAGATGACATTTCGAAGAAACTTCAAAGTAAGCCGTAAACTTTCTCCCATTTCCAGAGTGAGAAGGCTCCTAATCCAACAAATATCTCAACTTCTTTGATGAATGGCATCATTCTTCTGAATTCTGATTGTATCTTAGCCTCATTTGCCCGTTTAGTTGGTTATCCATGATTACAAGTTTACAACTTCTATGAGCGATAATGATGTCCTCCTTTTGTTCGAGGCTGTTTATATTGTCGCTGGTGAGTGGTGTGACCTATGAGTATGACTACAGACTGCACGTTAAAGAATGTCCTACTTACCTTGACCTCTCGTTTGAGAGAACGCGAAGAACCTGGTGAGTGGGTCACTGTAGACACGGCTCTCTTAAAAATATTCAAATCAACTTCATCGTCGCAACATACTACAGATTTGCAGAATAGCAATTACGTAGTATAGTTTCCAACCAAAAAAAAAAGGATTAGTCTGTTTTTCAAAAATTATTATTTTGTCTTTTATCTACTTTTATTATTATACTGAAATTTATATATTTATGTCACATATTATCCCTGTGCCCATTATTATATTATTTTGAACTAAACTATATGGTAAAACAAACAAAATTCCATTAAAATCATGTAAGTATGTTTTAATATCTATAAATATAAATTAAAAGGTAATTAGGAAGCAAAAAAAAAAACAGAAAAACAAATTGACCTTTTCTCGAAGACAATTTTAAAGGGACTATTCTTCTGTTAGCATCGGCCGTTCCTAACCTGAGGATTGTGTTCTTCTTGCTCTGAGCGAAACCCTAGATTCGGCCATTACCCATTGAGCAGAGATGCTGCGAGTTGCAGGGAGGAGGCTTTTATCTGTTTCGCAGAGATCTTCGACTGCGACCTCCTTCGTCGTCTCCCGTGACCACACCCTTTCCGATGGAGGCGACTCCGCGTCAGCGCCCAGATCCGTCTCTTCTGCAGATCTCTCATCTTTCAGTTCTTACCAACGGAGCCTTATAAGAGGTCTGCTAATCTACAACACTTTCTCGTAGATTGATTGATTTTCATTTCTGATGCTGTTTACAGATTCATTGATCGAATGATTCAACATTAGAAAATAAAAATCATTTCTTTTAGCTTGTATGAGATTACTATTATTTTATCTGGGCGATGATCCGTGCGAACAAACGTGATATCTCATTTGAATTTCGTGAACTAGACGGTGTGTAATAGCTTGATTTACCATTTCTCCTTACTGGAATGGTTATGCCTTTAATGATTACATCTTTGTCCAGATGGAAATGATCATTTTAGTTAGATTGATCGGATATAAATTGCCCAGTTCCGAGATTCTCCTTTGTTTGCCGTGAAAAGCTTCCCAATTGTCTTCATGTTTGTACCTTGGTATGCGTTAGTGTGATTCACTTTGGCATCTTCATTTCTTATATTTTTTATTTTGTGTGTCATTGTATTCTTCATTATTAGGGACGTTGATGTGTTAACTGTATACTATGTCTGTAAAGGTATGTGGAGGAACTTGCACCCTTGTAATTATGTTTTGTTAAGCGAAAGAGCTATTTGCAATCTTAGCTTTGGAGTTTTCTTGTGTTTTCAACTGAATTTGATATCATGGTAGAATTGTTTGAATGAGTCTGTTGTGCTTCTCCATTATGCTTTTAGTGTTTGCAAGCTCCTTCTGTGATCACTTCTTTCATCCTGAAGGAAATAGATATTTGAGTTTATTAATCGAAAATATGAATTGACAAGTTCTTAGATAATCCTTTGTATGATGAAGAAAGCTTCCTGCTTGTAAATCCTTGGTGGATGTAATCCTTAGTTTGGTTAACACTGGCTGCCTGATATCTAAGATTTTGATAATTGAATTTGTTTTCTTGAGTTTTGGGTTGATGAGTATTATTTTCTTGGATGAATTTCTCATACTCCTGCATCTCATACCTCATGGATTCTGTGTTTATGTAATTGTGTTTCACACTAATTTCCAGTGGTAGTGAGCTTAATACATTCTATTTGCAGGTTTCTCTTCCCAAGTCCTTGCTCAAGGAAATGAGATAGGGTTTGGTTCGGAAGTCCCAGCCACCGTGGAAGCTGTCAAAACACCTAACTCAAAGATTGTGTATGATGACCATAACCATGAGCGTTACCCACCTGGTGATCCTAGCAAGCGTGCATTCGCCTATTTTGTCTTGTCGGGTGGGAGGTTTGTTTATGCCTCTGTTATCCGCCTTCTTGTTCTGAAGCTTGTTGTGAGCATGTCTGCAAGTAAAGATGTCCTGGCCCTTGCATCCCTCGAGGTTGACCTTGGTAGCATCGAGCCAGGAACTACAGTTACAGTTAAGTGGCGTGGAAAGCCCGTCTTCATCAGGCGAAGAACAGAAGATGACATCAAGCTGGCCAATAGCGTGGATATTGGATCCCTAAGGGACCCGCAAGAAGACTCTGTTAGGGTCAAGAACCCAGAATGGTTAGTCGTGGTTGGAGTTTGCACTCATTTAGGGTGCATCCCCTTGCCTAATGCTGGTGATTATGGAGGTTGGTTTTGTCCGTGTCATGGTTCGCATTACGATATCTCTGGAAGAATTCGGAAAGGTCCTGCACCATACAACTTGGAAGTACCAACCTATAGCTTCCTGGAAGAGAATAAGTTACTCATTGGTTGATTAAATAAATCACGTCAGTCAGTGTCTGAGTCTCAATGAACTTCATCTGTTTTTTTTTTTGGTTTTTATATTCCGGAATCCGGCATTTTGAGGGCAAGACTTGTCTTGTTTTTCCTGAATAATACAAACATGTGATATTTGTTGAACGTATACCCAAGCTTTGATTATCTATTGCTCCTGAAAGACTATGTTCGTAGTCTGTGTTTATTGTCCGATGTATGATAGAGACTCCTTTGGTACCTCAAGATTCTAGGCTTCATCACCAATTTTAAGATTTGTATTTACATTTGAATACCAGTTAAATCTCAATGTTCTCACTAAAAATGTTATAGCAAAGCTATGCATACATAGCCCAAAACTGCTGATAAAGTCTACAGTTATGATCTTAACATTAAAACCAAAAAAAAAAGTCTACAGGTATGAGCTTATCTACAAACTGTATTCGTAAGGCAAATCCCGTGAATAAATTGTCAGTCATGAAAAAGGTACATAGCTAGATTTTTTCTATATTTGGTTATGAACACAAAAGCATATACATAGGATAAAATAAATTATTTTTATTCAGATTAATCTTTTTTCTCTTTTTTTCTTTCTTAAAGATGGCTAAGAAAAATTGTTTGACCTTTTTAACAATTAGGATCCTACCAGTACCAGCCGTAGCAGCAACCCCAGCCCTACCCTAGTAGTCAGCTACCCTGGCTGCACACACAAAGACCAAACTTTGATTTGGGTAAACCATTGTGGACGTTGAAGATGTGTCACCCAAATAAAGATTGTTTTCCTTTAGAGATACGGAAGTGACTTTTTCCGACCCTTGCGACCTAACAACGGCCATTACATACTTGCTGGTTGCTAATTACAAGCCAGGGGTCTTGTCTAAGCAACCTCTCGTGTTTATCATAAGGCAACCGCTCTCAACACTTATTATTTTATTCATTATACATCAGTCCAGCTGTTATCTAATTTCAAACTCTGATTAATGTGGTGTTGAAATCACAATGATCTAATATTTTTATTACCACATTACAATGTTATATTTTTCGACAAACAGGTCAGATTTGCAATCTAGTATATAACTATTTATTGTGTTAGGGATATACTACATACAGTATTTGGATTAAACTGTATAGAAACAAAAGTATATGGAAAAATGACAGAAAATGGTCAACTAGTAGCATTATATATATCGCCATCATGAGATAGTCGTATGAATGCCTTAGTTCGTCTTTTGCGTTCCCGACCTAACTCAAAAATACTCTCACCAACCCCATTCTTTTTCCCCTTCTTTGTTTTTATATTCTGATCGATCAAACCAAGAAAAGCTCTTTCATATTTCCCCCGACCCAAACAAAAAAAATGGCAACCATTTCGAACCTCGCTAATCTCACCCGTGCCTCTTGTGTCGACTCCAAATCTTCCTCTTCTTCATATTCAGCTTCTGTCTTGCCCAGATCCTCCATCAGTTTCCGCACTTTGAACGCAAAGCTTTCATCTTCTCACCTTTCCCTTCGTTATAATCAACAATCCAGACCTTCCCTCTTGTAAGTCTACTGCTTGTGTTTTTTGCTCTAGCTCTTGGGTTTCACCAAAAATGATCCCTTTTTAGCTGGGAACGTATCTCGAATCTCATGGTGTAGGCTAATATACTTAAAGTTCCTCTTTTTTGGTTGGTGGAAATCTGATTTCGTTCTGTTTCCTTTGGTGTTGATTTCAGTGTGAAGTGTTCAGTCTCTGGTGGAAATGGAACTGCTGGAAAAAGAACGACCCTTCACGATCTATACGAGAAGGAAGGTCAGAGTCCTTGGTATGATAATCTGTGCCGTCCAGTCACAGATCTTCTCCCGTTGATTGCTCGTGGTGTTAGAGGCGTTACTAGCAACCCTGCTGTAATTTTTATTTAATCTCTCGTGTGTGTTTGGCTTTGCTTTTAACTCCGTGGTTTTGCATTTGTCTTTACTCCTTTATTGTTCAAACCTTTGCAGATCTTCCAGAAAGCCATTTCCACTTCAAATGCTTATAATGATCAGTTCAGGTTAGTATAGGGCTGCATATTTTGTGATTGTCTTGACCTGTAGTTCATTCTAATAAAGTTGGATGATCTGTTCATGGTGTCTTTAACAGATGTTTTGTTCTATCTTGATTTTTGGATGATACTCTATTAGGACACTTGTGGAATCCGGAAAGGACATCGAAAGCGCGTATTGGGAACTTGTTGTGAAGGATATTCAGGATGCGTGCAAACTTTTTGAGTCAATCTATGATCAGACAGATGGTGCGGATGGCTATGTCTCTGTTGAAGTTTCACCTAGGCTTGCTGATGATACCCAAGGGACTGTTGAAGCTGCTAAATATCTTCAAAAGGTTGTGGACCGTCGTAACGTCTACATTAAAATTCCTGCTACTGCTCCATGTATTCCTTCCATCAGGGATGTCATTGCATCGGGAATAAGTGTCAATGTCACGGTATGTTATCCTTGAATGTATCATTATTCATGTTTTTATTGGGCGGGTTTAAACCTGAAACTAGATTAGTTCAAGGGTGTTGAATGAATTTGATTTGGTAGATGCACTGATGTTGCTTTCTCCATATATTTTCTCATTTGTTCTCTTCTGTTTCAGCTTATATTCTCAATCGCCAGATATGAAGCAGTGATCGATGCATATTTGGATGGCCTCGAGGCGTCTGGACTTGATGACCTCTCGAGAGTTACCAGTGTTGCTTCCTTCTTTGTCAGTCGGGTGGATACTCTCATGGACAAGATGCTTGAGCAAATTGGTACGCCAGAAGCCCTAGATCTCCGTGGCAAGGTAACGCTCTATTCATCGCTGAGAATCATACACCAGCCTGTGAATATCGAGTATGAGTTTATGATACATATATGTTTACTCTTGCAGGCGGCTGTGGCTCAAGCTGCATTAGCATACAAGCTGTACCAGAAGAAATTTTCAGGCCCAAGATGGGAAGCTTTAGTTAAGAAAGGTGCCAAGAAGCAGAGGCTTCTCTGGGCATCGACAAGTGTTAAGAACCCAGCTTATTCCGACACCTTATATGTTGCTCCTCTCATCGGACCTGACACCGTAAGTCATTTTTTGGTTTGTTTATTGAGTATCTCATGTTTCACTGCCCAATAGTAAGTCTATGTTGAAGATCAAAAGGCTGTAGTGGAAGTATATTGATAAGCTTTGGATTATGTAACCAAGCGTTTTGGTGTGTTTGGGGTGTGAATATAGGTGTCAACCATGCCGGATCAAGCCCTGGAAGCATTCGCAGATCATGGAATCGTGAAGAGGACAATAGATGCGAATGTATCAGAAGCAGAAGGGATTTACAGTGCACTAGAGAAGCTGGGAATAGACTGGAACAAAGTAGGAGATCAGTTGGAAGATGAAGGAGTAGATTCGTTCAAGAAGAGTTTCGAGAGTCTGCTCGGTACTCTGCAAGAGAAGGCCAACACTCTCAAACTAGCCAGCCATTGAGGGAAAGAAAAACAGCCCTGAGTCATCATTTTGGGTTTTGGTGGGTAATAAAATAAAAGAAGAACCTTTGGCTTTTGTTCTTCAACCCTTTACGCTGTCAAATGTTGTTATATAAAGGCTTTTGCTTGATGTTTCCACATTGTGTGAGCTCTTCTTCTGTCTTCTTTGTTCTTGCATGAGGATGCTTCAAAGGATGTTAATTAGTTTTTTTTACGGTATTTGTAAGTTACATTTTCACTAAAAACAATTGGCACTGTCTTTGTCTTCTTCTTCATTTCAGTTAAGATAATGTTCTCATCTAATCCAGTCATGTCATATATTGTTCCCAGCTTTATCATATATAAACCAAAGTTCTGTTATAATTCATTTTTGAATGGAATTTGGATTACATGTAATATTACATCAGATTGTGCACTTTAATATAAGAGCACTAGAAGTCTCTTCTAATCGAGAAAAAGCTGAGTCATTTATCTCTCATCCCTCCCTCTCGAAACGTACCAAAATTCAGGTTTTCATTTTTCACTGCAATGGCGTCGATTTCATCCTTTGGGTGCTTCCCTCAGTCAACAGCTCTCACCGGCAATTCCTCCACCACCGTACGACGCCGCACCATCTCTCTCTTCTTCTTCCTTCTTCCTTCTTCCTTCGTTTTCGTTTTCTTCCTTCTTCCTACTCACTGAAATTTGTCATTTTGATTCTCAGAGGTGCCGGACGACTGTTGCTGCTCGGTTAGCCGACCAACCAGATGACTTCTCTCCTCTTCGCTCTCCCAGTTCGTTTCTGCAATCTTTGCTTTCCTCTTTCTCTTTCATTAATTTTGAATTGCCTCCTCTGTAGTGAATTTGAAGTATAATTTTGTGTTTCAAAAACAGGTGGGAATTGTGGGTGTTCTCATAATTCTGGGGAGTTTGATCGCAGAAAATTGTTGGTTTCTTCTGTTGGTTTGTTGATTGGAGCCTTTGCATACGATTCTAAAGATGGAGACTTTGCAGAAGCTTCCCAATTCGCTGACAGTAAGAACTTCAATTCTCTTCTTTTGAGGTCACAGGATCTTTCTCATGGTTACATTCTGATTCAGTAGGGTACTTTGTGCCTTTTGGAGGATAATACCTGTAGATATTGGCATTTGTTATTTAGAATGCTGTTTGATTGCTCTGACGTTGTTCACACTATTAGGAGTTTGGTGGTGAGAGAAAGATGTGTGCTTTCGTGAATTCTTGAAATGAATTTATCCGTGACTTTGTTCTCATTGGTTGCTTGACGGCTTTTTGAATCTTTTCATAATGATTGCTGAATTCAACGATTTCTCTTTTTATTCTGAATCCACATTCTTTTGTGTTTATGTCTGCACTCACAGTGCCAGCGCTTAAAGGAAAAGATTATGGCAAAACAAAGATGAAGTATCCAGATTACACTGAGACACAATCTGGTCTTCAGTATAAGGTCATCCCTCATTTAGTTCCAAATTTTGTATCTTCTGTAGTTTAGACTAAGTGGTGTGATCTTTTAACTTGGAGATTTAAGATGATGCAGGATTTGCGAGTAGGAACTGGGCCTAAAGCAAAGAAGGGAGACAGAGTTGTGGTAAGGAGTTTTCTACATATCTATGGTTTGTATCCTTGGGCTCCAGTTTATCTTTATGCTTGTCATGGTGAAGTGAATATGAGTTCGCTTATAATGTTTCAAAGACCAGAATTTGTTTGGAGTTGTAAAAAGATTGAGCTGGCTATGTCAGGTTGACTGGGATGGTTACACAATAGGTTACTATGGCCGCATATTTGAAGCTCGCAATAAAACAAAAGGGGGTTCTTTTGAGGTATGACTTCGTTTTGGGCTCTTGTCTGTTTCATTGGCAACAATGATTCAGTTCTTAATCTGTGTGTTCTGTTTGTGAATCTGTAGGGGGATGATAAGGAATTTTTCAAATTTACGTTGGGATCGAATGAGGTGTGTTCAATTTGTAGTTCTTCTAGTTACTATGCTGGTTGTACCTGTTTAAAGAATGGACTCTATTGCTGAGGGTATGAATTGTTTATTTTTGGATGCTGCATGATTTTGGTGTTGCAGGTGATACCTGCTTTCGAGGAGGCCGTGTCTGGCATGGCGCTCGGTGGTATCAGAAGGTTCTACATCTTTCTAATATTCCTCACTCTACAGTCTACATATCGTCCATACCTGTTTTTCATTGGAAAATTCATAGAGTACAAAGAAACTTTTACTTCCTTGGATCTTGAGTCTCATTCATAAATCATAAACATAAATTGTAGAAGAAGGGTTGTCAGTCTCACACAAGTGTCTGATGTTAGAATGAATCGGTGTAATAATTTAGTGTGGTATTGCAGAATAATTGTACCGCCAGAACTAGGATACCCGGATAATGACTACAACAAGAGCGGACCGAGGCCGATGACTTTCTCTGTGAGCCATTGTGTTTGTTTCTTATATATGTATAAGAAAGACAAAAAGAAAAAAGTAATGTTTACTTTTATGTTGCGCAGGGACAACGTGCATTAGATTTTGTGCTGAGGAACCAAGGGCTGATAGACAAGACACTTCTGTTTGATGTTGAACTCCTCAAAATTGTACAGAATTGATATAAACATCAACAGTCTACTACACTCACGTACATATATATATTTATGATGTGTACACTTTATCGGGACAGTTGTGTAAATTGAGCTCAGTACAAAATTGTTGCATGCCAGTGTTAAGGATTTGTACTGAAGTGGGAAACATGTTTTTTTTAGGAGATTCCAAAAAGCTTGCAACAGTTAGCTTGTCCTTATACTATTGAATTATATAGTCCGTAAACAAAGTTTTAATCATGGACTAAAAATTTTTGATTAAAAGTCATCTTTACTATATATGATAGTACAATAAGATCAGTTTGATTTTGATTCAAACAGAAAAGATAGTTGGGTATTGGATTTTAGTTACAAATAAGTCTTGAGGTGACTTTTCAATGTTTTCGTTGTATCAGCATATCCTCCTTTAAATTGAAGAAAGTATATAGGGGTAGACTCATTGAATTGAATATACTAATATAGTGTACTCATTGGTCATTTTAATTTCGCAAACGTAGCTTTTCCCTATTTGTATAACCTTGTATAGGATAATTATGATCCCTAACATAGATTAGTTATGATTACACTACATAAAATTTCTCGAGATATCAAATATGAACACAAACCAGTGTTTGCTTCTGTTGTTTGACTATCTCAACATCAGTTCAATGTCAGGGTCAACATTAATGGAGACTGCAAAAGAAAAGAAAAAACAAGTTGGAGTGACGCATTGTAGAAATCCCCTTGAGTGAGTGAGAGTTATTATGTCTTGCAAGTACGAAAACCGAGTGATGATTATAAAAATGAATCAAAACATTTTATGATCTATATAGATATGTATATGCTTTTGTAAGTATGAATCAAGAAGATGATTCCTCTGTGCTCAACGTTTTAAAGACTGTGGACATCAAAGGGGACTCCACGTGCAATAAATGTTAAGTCCTACATCTACCACTTACCAGCTAGCTTCCCCGTCTATTTAATTCCAACTTCCCATTAGAAGCTGCTGCATTTATACACTGCTCTAACCAATCCTCCAACATCATTTTCTGCTTACGTCTTTTGTTTTACTTGATTCAATTATTTATACACAATTCCCTTTTTATTATTATTATTGTCTTTATAAGCTCTCTTGCTGTTTTTGGTCACTCTAGCTAAAGATTTCCAAGTTCTTCTATGGTTTTGTTGTGAGCAAGCAAAGATCGACTTTATGGTTGCTTCGGAGATCAAATCCCCGGTGAGTGTCGACCCCGGTACGCCTGGAGGTTGTTCTAGCTCCTCTGTGCATCATAGGAAGCAGTTGAGTGTCTTCTTCATTGAATCAGATAACAGACGTCTGGCTCTTGGTCGTGGCTATACCGGAGGAACCACTCCGGTTAACATCCATGGCAAACCCATCCCCAATCTTTCTAAAACTGGTGGTTGGATTGCAGCTCTCTTCATTTTCGGTAACTTTCTTTTTCTTGTTTCCTTACATCCAAGATGATGGTACAGATAAGTTGTAGTTGCAGCTTTAATTTATAGTTTCGGTTTGAATGTTTAGGAAACGAAATGGCAGAGAGGATGGCTTATTTTGGACTATCAGTGAACATGGTGGCGTTCATGTTCTACGTGATGCATAGGCCTTTTGAGAGTTCATCAAACGCAGTCAACAACTTCCTCGGTATCTCTCAAGCCTCCTCTGTTTTCGGAGGCTTCTTAGCCGATGCTTACTTGGGCCGATACTGGACCATCGCCATCTTCACTACCATGTATCTTGTCGTAAGTACTAGAACAACTGTTCAATCCTAATTTTGCTGTTCTGTTTTGTTTTTCATTTTTCATATTCTTGTTTTTTTTTTTCCTGTGAAAAGGGGTTGATAGGAATAACATTGGGGGCAAGTTTGAAGATGTTCGTACCAGACCAGAGCAACTGTGGGGAGTTATCATTGCTCTTAGGAAATTGTGAAGCAGCCAAATCCTGGCAAATGGTTTATCTCTACACAGTTCTCTACATAACTGGATTTGGTGCTGCTGGTATAAGGCCATGTGTTTCCTCATTTGGTGCAGACCAGTTTGATGAGAAGAGTAAAGACTATAAGACACATTTAGACCGTTTCTTCAACTTCTTCTATTTATCGGTCACCTTAGGCGCAATCATTGCCTTCACTTTGGTGGTGTATGTTCAAATGGAACTTGGTTGGGGTATGGCCTTTGGCACTTTGGCCATGGCTATGGGGATTTCTAACGCTTTGTTCTTTGCTGGTACTCCGCTTTATCGCCATAGGTTGCCTGGTGGTAGTCCCTTGACAAGGGTCGCTCAGGTCTTAGTTGCCTCTTTCCGCAAACGAAATGCAGCTTTTACAAGCAGCGAATTCATCGGTTTGTACGAGGTCCCTGGCTTGAAATCTGCTATTAATGGCAGTCGTAAAATCCCTCATTCCGATGATTTTATGTAAGTCTTGTTGCTTTGCGTATACACTACACCTAAAGGGAATAATCTTATAACTGGCCGTCTGTTTGATTTGTCAGATTTTCAGTTTGTAACTAGTAAGCAAAACAAAACTGAATCTTGTATTGATCAGTTTGTATGGATTTCATATGCAGATGGTTAGACAAGGCGGCACTTCAGTTAAAAGAAGACGGATTAGAACCATCTCCATGGAAGCTATGCACAGTAACACAAGTGGAGGAAGTGAAGATTCTGATCAGATTGATTCCAATCCCTGCATGCACTGTAATGTTGAGTCTTGTCCTCACAGAGTATCTTACACTCTCAGTGCAACAAGCTTACACACTAAATACACACATTCAACACCTCAAGCTTCCAGTGACGTGCATGCCTGTCTTCCCAGGCCTCAGCATCTTCCTCATTCTCTCTTTATATTACTCTGTATTCGTCCCTATCACCAGAAGGATCACTGGCAATCCCCACGGTGCTTCCCAACTTCAAAGGGTGGGCATAGGGCTAGCAGTTTCTATCATATCAGTAGCTTGGGCTGGGCTATTCGAGAACTACAGGAGACATTACGCGATACAACATGGTTTCGAGTTCAACTTTTTGACCCAAATGCCTGATCTAACCGCGTACTGGTTATTAATCCAGTACTGTCTCATCGGAGTCGCAGAGGTTTTCTGCATCGTAGGCCTATTGGAGTTCCTTTATGAAGAAGCTCCAGATGCTATGAAGAGTATTGGTTCGGCTTACGCTGCTTTAGCAGGCGGGTTAGGGTGTTTTGCTGCCACTATTTTGAACAATATCGTCAAGGCCGCGACTCGAGACTCAGATGGGAAATCGTGGTTGTCGCAGAACATCAACACTGGGAGATTTGACTGTTTGTACTGGCTGCTCACGCTTCTAAGCTTTTTGAATTTCTGTGTTTTCCTTTGGTCGGCTCATAGGTACAAATACAGAGCTGTTGAGTCTGAAGAAGACAAAAGCAGAGCACTTCTTTAAAGACCCCATTTCTGTGTCCTGTTCTGCTTATCATTCTTTTTTGGAAAGACGGTAGTAACTGTGTCATCCTATTTTGTTATTGTTTAATCCGCTTAACGGGATTGTTAAGAAGACCATAAAATAAGTCCTGGAAATGTATCTTTTAGCAATTTTCAACGCATCCACTGAGAAACAAAACGGGGAAATGTAATCATTGTTTCACAAATTCTGTTACAAAAAAAGGGTCCAAACATACTAATCCTAAGACTGTCTAAATATACCTCAGTCCTTTCATATATTGCTGCCTAGATATCACATACTGAGCCGCAGAGTAAATAACGCCTAAAACTCCAAGAAGCCGAACTTGGAACACGTCTGTTATTACCACGGCTGCAAAGCTAAGTGGTACGGTCAGCATCGGCGACGCGTCTGTGTGTTTGGTGGTGTAACTCCACACATACCTGTTGAATATAATGTGACCTGGTGCTGTGAGTATTAACAGAGCCAGGTTCTTCACTGCAAAAAACCATTCCCGGCCTCCGATTTCTACTCCCCAGCCTGTGTTTCCACCGAACCAAACTTCTTCCCAAACAGTGTAGAGAGAGGATAGTGCCAAGTATGTTGATATGGCTACTGTAACTGGGAAGTATCTTTGTTTATCACCAAACCCAGATAAGAGATCAGAGTCTTGGTTCAGGAGAAGTAAGATTGGAGCCAGGAAGAATATCGCTTGGCTTGAGCCGCCAGAGAGGTGGAGGTTGAGGATTATGCATATGACAAAGCACATGATGGTGGCAACGTTACCAACTGCAGGCATCCATGCTGCTCCCTCTTCTGAAATCTTCTCTACTGCAAAGCTTTGGATCGAGGTGGCTCGATGTTGCTGCATCAACCTCATTCGTGTCGGGAAAATCCCTCTTGCACCACCATGGGTTTTTGACTGACCACTCCTCTCCGAGAATTTCTCACGCAAAAGTGAAGAGAGCTCAAATTTAATCAGGAGAGCTATAAGCATAAATATCGCTGCATAGAGGCCTAGAAGAGATGTTCTTGCACCTTCAATGGCCAACATGGTTGTGACTTTCTTATCCTCCTCCCTTGTATCCCAATTCCAGGCATCATTATCGCTAAGATCGGTTTTAATTCTGACTTGCCCTTCTAACAAATATGTCACGGGAAAAAGAGCCACGAGAAGAGCAAACACCCAGGGAAGCAGCTTTGTGCTTGAGGCAGATGGGAAATGGGTGAAGATGACAAAAACTGAGGCACACACCATTGTTACAACGATCAGGGCATGTAAAATAGCAGCTTGTAGAAAGAACTCTGCAGATATGTAAACACCAAGAGCTAAACCCATGGCAATGGAATAAAATGCTCTCAGTTCTACCACGTATTTGATTGGGATAAGAGATGTGGCAGCAGCAAGTATCAACAGAAGTGACACAATAAGCAACCACGACGGCCAAGTCGGTTTGGATGCCATGAATCCATAGATGGAGATGTCATCAGCTGACTGGCGAGCGGCCTTAATCATATCCGAATGGTAACTCCATGTCATAGGCATTGGTGGTTGCATCAGAATAAACATGCATCCAGTTGCCACTACTAATACCAAGCTTCTTTTAGCTGACTGCAAAATATAATAATAAAATTGTCCTCGTCAGTATAAAGCAACAACTGAAATCTTTACACGAAGACCTTAGAATCCAGCATTTACTAAAACTGATACACTCTCCATCATGACTATAATTAGATACCGTCTAATTTCTTCATGGAGTTAAAATGGAGGTTTTAAAACACGAAATGAATGCTTTCAAGAATACAGGTAAAGAATTTTCTCCTTTAAAACAACAATTTCTTTAGCAAGCCGGTAAATAGAGCATTCTTTTTATGCTCTATGATGTAACCTCTGATAGAAACCAACAAACTCATAACATGTTAAACGAACGGCTTGCTATAGAAATGTTGATGTGCTTACGTCCCCACCTAAGAATAGGTTCTTTTCCGAAATAAGCAGACAGAAATACATCAAACAAAACATATGCATATAGTATAACAGACATACCAAGACATGCGAAAAGTGGAGGGCAATAATTGGTATACAGGCTAGACCAATTAAAACGATGCAGAAACCAAGAAGCAAACCATCAGTAGGAGGTCTTCCATTCCACCACTGCAGAGCATCAAATATTGTTTCCCGGCAAAACCAAACAGAGACAGCAACCACTACAGCATGAGCATAACCTTGCCATGGTTTCATTTTAGAGGCAGATTTTGACTTCTCCCTGCACATTCCACCAATGGAACAACTTAAAATCAAATATAAAATTCAAGATGAGCCAATGCTCTTAAAAGTTAAATTCCCAGTGCATACTTGTATAGCAGGAGGGGAGGGGAAATAGCCAGCAATAGAGCTGCAGACACCCATACAATTGATTTCGATGATAGGAAGAGCATGGCCAACTTTGCTGAGTACAGACAGGTCAGTATCCAGACTGCCTTTTGTCCAACCCGGTGATCAGCAAATAGTCTTCTCACGACAGCCAATCCTATTAGTGTCGTCAAGATAACCATGTAGCTGGGGTACATCACATCGTCTTCCATTCCATAATAGTATATGCTTGAGTAATTGAAAAAGCGGTCCTCAATGTAACACAGCAATAATGCGTGGGCCACCAAACCAGCTTCAGTCAAGAAGTGAAACTTTGATGGAAGAAGAACAAGACCAGGAATCACCATGGCTATGATAATGTTAGCCACTATAAGCTTACAGAATGATTTGAGGAACATGCCGGCTAACCATATGTTTAAATCCCAGTAATTATGCATGACGAACCATATAACCATTAAGCTTCCAAGGGCAACAAATGCAAAGTAAGAGGGCACACTTTTCTTTGTAAAAAATCGAGCAAAATAAAGCCCAGCGACTGCAGGAAGCGGGGTAAACTGCAAGATAAACAGAGAACAGAAATTCCATTGTTACTAAAAAGGGATCATAAATCAATGACAGGAGATAACAAATGAGGCAAATTATGGAATACGATATGTCAACTTTCATATAGAAAACCTTCATAGATGGACACATGATTTACTTGAAAGCGGTAAAGAGTAAAGCAACTATAACAACTTGCAGGAGCAAATTCTACAAGACTACTATGACAGATGTCAGCGACCACATACAAGTCAACATTCTTTACCGAATAAATAGCGTGTGGATTGATAGGAAGCCCACGTAGAGAAGGAAAAACAGTAAACTGTCAACATATGCCTTAGTCTATATATCATACATTACGTTAGAATCAAAACTTATTGGACCATGCGACATTACAAACTTTAAACACATGCTAAAGTATTAGTTTTGTAAACATTTTTGCAATCTAATTTAGGAACTACGGCATTCAGAGTCATATATAAAAGAAAATACCACAACTTTTCCATTCCTAAACCAGCTAGTAAATAACATACGACTCTGGTAGCTAGCCTAATGAGACGAATTTCACGGGATACCAGTTGTCTAATTGAAATTAAAATTTGATTACAGGAAAGCTCAAGGACATACTGTGCAAGGGAAGAGAAATACTTACCAGAACTGGAAATCCTACAACGATAGCTCCTGCAGAACTCACAATCACAGACAAAGCTGTGAAAAAGGCTGAGCTCAGAGCACCCGAGATCATTCCAAGAACAGAAGCACCAGCGCCAGCAGCACCTCCGAGCATTGTTGTGGTCACCAGAAGGTAGTTCAATGGAGGGGGCACTTGAATATACTTCCCAAAAGACCGGAAAACGACTCTAATCTCCAAACAGATCACAATAATGACCATGGCAATGGCCCCATTCACAATCCGAATGCTCTGCAGCTGATGGGAATCCTTGGTAACCCACCAGAGACCACCTCTTGTCGAAGCATAGAGCTGGAACAGGAATGGGATAAAGAACAGAAGCAGCAAATCACAAAGTGAAGCAGCTGATGAGAATATCACGGAGTAATGTGAAGCCACGTGAAAGAGAAGCGGCATAAACATCAAATTCAGTGAAAGGAAACAGCTCTCGAGCTGTCCAAGGATAAAGCTATCATCAGGGATCTCTCCTCCATGGTACTTAACTTCCTGCTTGGTCTTGAACGAAGAAACCCTCGGAATAGCGAAAATCCAATAGAAGACGCAGGCGAACAAGAGGTAATAGTAAGAAGAGTTGTTCATCCCAACGGCAGAGATGGTAGCCCATGCGAAAAACGAAGAGGCAGTGAACGGGACGCAGGCGAACAAGAGACGTTCCAGAGCGACGACAATGGAAGGATTCTCTAGCTGAAGCCATTTGAATTGGAGCGAGGTCCAGCAGCCGATGAGGAAAGTAGTCTCAGAGCAGAGAAAAGCCGCGAGCAAGCCAAGAGGTACGGAATTGAAGGAGGAAAGGAGAGAAGAGGAGAAGAAGAATGAGATCTGAGCAGCGATCAGTGACATCCATATACCAAGGAAGCCTCCGAATTTGACATTGAGAGAATCAACGATATAGGAGATAAGGAGGCCACTCGTGAGGGTAGCGACAACCGGAGCGCCGCCGAGGTCGAGGAGGAAGGCGGCGCATGGGACAAGAGCAATTGCGATCCGTCCATTGTAGGCGAAGGAAGACGGAGAGAATCGGGAGTTGTTGGATCTCGAACTAGGAGTAGCTCGATCGATGAAGTTTCTGGTGGAGGCAGGGCTTATGTGAGGGGAGTAAGAGGAAGAGGACACAGTCGGTTCACCAGAGGCAGAGGTTATATGCGGCCGGAACAGCCGCGGCTGTAGCTCCGGTGGCATCATCGTCGCCGGAATATTTACTTTGGAATACAGATTGATGGCGAGTCTCGCCGTTTACTGATGGAAGAAAGGATCTGTGTGTTGATTTCGCGGAAACCGTGACGTGTCCAGATGAATCGTAGCCATTGGATCTTTTACTACTGGGGCTCTCTAAAATCTACTGAACAGTAAGTTAAAACGCAGTCGTTTTATTTGAAGTGACGACACAAGTGATGAAGTGAATCACGCAGGAGTCACGACGGCACCGTTAAGAGTCACTGCTAATTGTCGTGTTAAGCATTTAGACCACCAATAATGGTGGACTAAACCACTAATTTATGAGCATTGTGGACCAACATAAAAACGATTCATAGAAGATTATATAACGGACTTATAATATTTTATAACTAGTATGATAAATTAGGAGATAGATTATGTATGTTAACGTTACTATCTGTTATATATGTTACGGGATTTGTTATTCTTTAATTATCATTTCCCTTTTTTCTAAGTCTCTCTCACACATTATGTAACGGCGGTTTTATCGGCTGGAATGTAGCTCATGTATCTCCCACGACGGAGTTTTCCGGCTAAGAAACTTGGAAACAACATTGGTCTCGAGTATTTTCAAAGCGTCTTCATTCGTCACTGACCTCGGAGTCTTGTACTGACTCACAGAAGAGCCTCGAGACAAGAACAAATTCATGAGCTCATCGAAAGCGCCTGGTTTAACAACCTTAATCTCGAGTGGTCCAATGATTGTATCATTCTTTCGTCCTTTTCTGTACACAGAGTCGAGAGCCTCCTCAACGGTGACGCAACATTCCTCCATGACATTGCGGTCCGGCTTGAGCTTGGCGTTCTTGAATTTGCTCCCGAGTTCCCAGTAGAGCACGTAGTGTCCTGGCAAAGAGGAGAGATCCACACGGCTAGTGAAATCCATGAGCATCAGGTCATGTGGCTCGAGCAAGAGACTTGCGTTTGACACTGCCTTGAGGAGGTCTTCTTCGTAGGTCTTGCTTACGTCGATGCTCAGAACAACTTTCTGTCTTCCCACAAAATAAAACTGTGGCGAATTGTTGTGGAAACCAGTCACTCGTAAAACATCCCCTAAACGATACCTATACAGACCTGTAAATCATACATTTATATTGTTAGAGAAACAACATATAGATATAGTTTTATTTTGAAACGGAGAGTAAAGAAACTTACCAGAAAACGTTGTGACAAGAAGTTCATAATCATGGCCAATTTTAACATCGACAAGATCGACGACCACAGGGTCTGCGGGAACATGACCAGCTTCTTGACGGTCTTTCACGACCTCTATAAACTCAAAGTACCCCATGCTTGGAATGATGGTGTACGCCACATCACTAGGCTTAGACAGAGGATTGAGATTGATTCCGATGAAACATTCTGAGCTGCCATACCAAGATGAAATCAAAGGAAGGCCGCCGCCATAGAATTCCAGCAATGGAATGTACTGTGCCATGGTGCCGGTAACGACAGCTTCTATGCATTTTGCTTTTGGCCATATTCTCCTCAGTATTGCCTCCCATGAGGTTTTGCTGCATTCTTTCTCGATCACAGTCGCTAGTTCCGGATTTGGAGCGGTAAGGAACTTACTGATCCCGGAAACACATTGGGGGTCAGTGATCCAGTCACTGAGACGGCCAGTCCTTATGTTTGAGCATAACTCATGCCAATGATCTTCAAAAAACTTGATTACTTTGAGGAAGGAAGAAGCATAGGGTGCACCTAGGCGAGCTACATTTTGGCGTTGTAGAAGACCACAAAGCAATTGGCAGTACATCCCCTGATTAGTGTCTTCACAAGTCGCAATCGCATGGGGGCTTATCTGTACTCTATCCCTGTAAATCGTATAACAAACACATTTAAATAAATAAATAAACACTTTCGAAGGAACATGTTCACCCTGAGATTAGTCTTGGGAATTTGTGAAACCCAACAAAAAAAAATATCACTAGCAGAAAAAAAAGAGTGAAATGTGTAATGTAATGTAGGAGCAAAAGGTTTATTGATTACCAAAGAAAAGAGTTGGTTGGGTTCACGCTTTTCAAAACACAAGTTATCATAAACCTGACCATCAAACCAGAGGCAGTCTCGCTTTCTCGGGTCACGAAATAAAACATGAGAGATTTGCCTTGGGTAAGCCCCTCGATGTGCCTACATTCAATAGCAACAACAGGTCTGGTTTTTGCTTACTCTTTTTTTGTATCAACAAAAGAGATTGGAGTTTTGAACTCTTTACTTGAAGACTAGAGGTGCATAGAGAAATCCAAACAATATCCTCTGTTCCAAGTCCTCTGCTGTCAAAGGAATCAACTTTGGAACTCCTCCAGAAGTACCCGTGCTGCAAAACCAATCACTTTATTATACACTTCAGTGTAATGTACACTATTGAAGATTAACAAACTTATGTATCAAAAAGTTTTGAAACAAAGAGGAATTAAGAGTATTGTTCTGAATGTACGTGGCCAAGAGCAGATTGATAGGTCGATCGCAAATGAGATCAGACGGCTCTCCACTAGCGATACGATCAATATAAGGCTTAATATCTTCGTAGGTCACAACGGGTAGGCTCTTTTTGAAGCTCTGCTTATCGAGTTGACCGTTGAGGAAACCTCTAAGGTACTCTGTCTGGGCATTATGTGAAAGTATTGCTTCCAACACAGAATCTTGAATCTTCTTTGCGTTGGTCGTCACATCCTCAAGAAGAGACATGGTGGCTATTGGGTTTGTTGGATCGAACTTTGGCAACATGTTTGCTGCTTTTTTTATTGTCTGCATTAAAAGCAATAGTCTTATCGTCTCTTGTGGATCACGAGATTGTTACGAAAGAGTGAAAGAACAAACCTCTGTTCTGGCGCAGTGGATGAGCTGTGGCCTCTTTCTCTCTCTCTCTGTCTCGCCTGCAGATAAAGGGTGTGATCTGGCAAAAATATCGTGTGTCAAAAATTTAGGATGAGTTTCCGACAAGGGCGCGGAGGCAAGTTAAGCATTATTATGGGTTGGGTTCAATTAGTACCATACAAGTTTTGTATTATTTTTTAAAAAATATATATATATATATATATACCCCAGCGCAAGTAATCTTAATTTTATTTATACCAATGAGTTTGACCTCGACCTAATTATGGTTTTGAAATATAACAATGGCAGAATTGGAAGTATTTAGAAGTGATAAAATTCTTAAATAATATTTCCCCTGCCCATGAAGTCTCACGGATAATGTGACGGTGGTTTTAGGCTTTTAGCGGCTGGAGTAGAGCTCATGTAGCTCCCACGTTGGAGTTTTCCGGCTAAGGAACTTGGACACAACGTTCGCTTCCAATATCTTCAAGGCTTCTTCATTCGTCACCGACCTCGGTGTCTTGTACTGACTCAGAGAAGAGCCTCGAGACACAAAAAAGTTCATGAGCTCGTCAAAAGCGCCAGGCTTAACAACCTTAATCTCAAGTGGTCCAATGTTCTTATCATTCTTTCGTCCTTTTCTGTAAACAGGGTCGAGAGACTCCTCAATGGTGAAGCAGCATTCCTCCAAAACATTCGGGTTGGGCTCGAGCTTTGCATCCTTGACTTTGCTACCGAGTTCCCAGTAGAGTACGTAGTGTCCTGGAAACGGGGAGGACTCTACACGGCTAGTGAAATCCATGAGCATCAAGTCATGTGGCTCGAGCAGGAGCTTCGCGTTTGTCACTGCCTTAAGCAGGTCTTCTTCACTGGTCTTGTCCATGTCGATGCTCAGAACAACTTTCTGTCTTCCCACGAAATGAAACTGTGGCGCATTGTTGTAGAAACCAGTCACTCTTAAAACGTCCCCCACACGGTACCTGTACAGACCTGTAAAAAAAATGTAACAGATCTTCTGAGAACAAAAAAAAAAACTGAAATGTTTATTTTGGTCTTGAATCATTTTGTAAAACAAGGATTTTGAAACAAGTTCTATAACGACATTGGTTTTGATATAAAAAGAGTAAACATGAAAATGGCTTACCAGAAAACGTTGTGAGAACAGGTTCATAATCATGGCCGACTTTAACATCGACAAGATCGACGACCACATGTTTCTCCATGGGATCATGACCAGTTTCTTGATGGTCTTTCTCGACCTCCAAGAACTCGAAGTACCCCATACTTGGAATGATGGTGTACGACACATCACTAGGCTTACACAGAGGATTAAAATTAGCACCGATGGTACATTCAGAGCTTCCGTAAAGCGTTGAGATGACAGTAAGACCGCCGCTATAAAATTCCAGCAATGGAATGTACTGTGCCATGGAGCCGGTAACGATGGCTTCAATGCATTTTGCTTTTGGCCATAGTCTCCTCACTATACCTTCCCATGAAGTTTTGCTGCACTCTTGCTCAATCAGGCTAGCTAGTTCGGGATTTGGAGCGGTGAGGAACTTACTGATCCCTGAAACACATTGAGCGTCTGTGATCCAGTCGCTGAGACGGCCAGTCCTAATGTTTGAGCATAACTCAGGCCAGTGATCTTCCAAGAACTTTATTACTTTGAGGAATGTAGAAGCAAAGGGTGCACCGAGGCGACCTACATTATCTCGTTGTAGAATCCCACAAAGCAACTGGCAGTACATGCTCTGAGTAGTGTCTGCACAAGTCGAAATTGCATGCGGGCTTACCTGTGTTTGATCCCTGTAAGTCACATGTCAAACACAATAAAGAAACCGTCTCAGCACCAAGGGACATGTTCAGCCCCGCAAATTAGTCAAGCGCTAATAAAAAACACACGCACTAGCAGAAAGAGTGAATTGTGTAATGTTGTACTATGGGAGCAAAGGTTCTATTGATTTACCAGATATATTTGGTTTCTGGCGTCACGCTTTTCAAAACACTAGTTATCATAGTCCTGACCAATATCCCAGAGGCTGTCTCGCTCTCTCGGCTCACAAAATAAAACAAGAGGGATTTTGTTTCTTTAACCCCCTCAATGTGCCTACAAACCGCATATACAAAAGAGTTTTGGGTTAAACCTAACTCTTTTTTTTTTCTGGTGTGAATAAAACAGACACAAGTTGGAGTTTAGAACCCTTTACTTGTAGAGTAGAGGTCTATAGAGAGATGCAAGCGAGATCCTCTGTACCAAATCCTCTGTTGTCAAAGGAATCAACTTTGGAACTCCTCCTGAAGTACCGGAGCTGCAAATACAATTGTGTACTTAACTCTTTACGGATTCTACAAGGTTAACTATACTTGTAAAATTTTTGACAGTAACAAACTCATGTATTAACAAGTTTTCAACCAAGACTCCTAGATTTCAAGACTCTTCTAGAAATTTTAGTCAACAATTTATCTAAATGTGGAAGCATATAAATTCCTTTAAATCTTCCATTAAACTTCTATACACAAAACTTCGAGAATTAGTTTTAGTTATCACAGATTCACATAGCAGAAGAAACTTTTGCTTTGAATCTGCAAAAGGAGATTCCAAGGTTCAGAAAAAGGGGATCCTTGTGAAGGTACCTGGTCAAGAGTACACTGATGGGTCGATCACAGATGAGATCAGACGGCTCTCCATTAGCTATACGATCTATATAAGGCTTAATATCTTCGTAGGTCACAACGGGCAGGTTCTTCTTGAAGCTTTGCTTATCGACTTGACCGTTGAGGAAGCCTCTAAGATACTCTGTATGAGCATTACGTGAAAGTATTGCTTCCAAGACGGAGTCTTGAATTTGCTTTACGTTTGTGGTAACATCCTCAAGAAGAGACAAGCAAGCTTCTGGGTTTGTTGGGTCGAACCTTGGTAACATGATATGACTGTCTGCAACAAAAAGCAAAAAACCTTGACTCTAAATTGCTTACAAACAGTGAAAGAAAAAAAACTAACTTTGTTCTGGCGAGGGGGCTGGATGAGCTCTGGCCTCCGTCTCTCTCTCTCTACGCTTGAAATTTTTGGAAGACAGCAAAGGGTGTGATGTAGCGAAATGTTTGATTTGCCGTGGATTAAGGATATTGATAAAAACAGCTTTGTTCTTTTTCTAGAAGGAGACAACAATGCAAACTACGAGGAGATAAGACCTAAGCTTTACGGGGGTTGTGATACATACAAATATTTGATGCATCACATTTTTCATTTTTGTCCTCGATTGTGACTTTTTTTTTTTGTCCATTCTGCAATTTTATAATAAAACGGCAATTATAAACACGTATCCTTTTCAAAAAGGAAAACAATAGTAATTAATAACCAACCATGTATACGAAATAATGTAACGTCGGTTTCATCGGCCGGGGTACATCTCATGTAGCTCCCACGATGGAGTTTTGCGGCTAAAAGACTCAGAAACAACGTTCGCCTCCAATTTCTTCAAGGACTCTTCATTCGTCACCGATAGAGGTGTCTTGTACTGACTCAGAGAAGAGCCTCGAGACACGGAGAAATTCATGAGCTCGTCAAAAGTGCCACTCCTAACAACCTTAATCTCAAGTGCTCCAATGTTCTTATCATATTTTCGTTCTTTTCTGTACACAGTGTCGAGAGACTCTTCAATGGTCAAACAGCATTCCTCCAACATATTCGGGTCTAGCACGAACTTTGAATCCTTGATTTTGCTCCCGAGTTCCCAGTAGAGCACGTAGTGACCTGGAAACGAGGAACAATCCACACGGCTAGTAAAATCCATGAGCATTAAGTCGTATGGCTTTAGTAGGAGCTTCGCCTTTGTCACCGCCTTGAGGAGGTCTTCTTCATAGGTCTTGTCCATGCCGATGCTCAGAACAACTTTATGTCTTCCCACGAAACGAAAATGTGGCGAATTATTGTGGAAACCAGTCACTCGTAAAACATCCCCCACACGATACCTATAAAGACCTGTAAAAATCATATAGAGGTCTTGTGAGAGAGATAGATCAAGAAACGCAGTTAAAATGTCTATTTTGTCTTCTATCATTTTTAAAAAAGCAAGAACTCTACAGCAAAGTCTTAAATACATTTTGTTTTAAGGAGAGAGTGAAGAAGAAGAAGACTTACCAGACAACGTTGTGACAACAAGTTCATAATCATGGCCAATTTTAACGTCTACAAGATCGACGACCACAGGGTTCTCTGCGGGATCATGACAAGTTTTTTGGTGGTCTTTCTCGACCTCTAAGAACTCGAAGTACCCCATACTTGGGATGATGGTGTACGACACATCACTAGGCTTGCACAGAGGATTGATATTGACACCGACGAAACTCTCCGAGCCGCCATACCACGACGAGATTAAGGGAAGACTGCCACCATAGAATTGCATCACTGGAATGTACTGTGCCATGGTGCCGGTAATGATGCCTTCGATGCATTTTGCTTTTGGCCATAGTCTCATCACTATTCCCTCCCATGATGTTTTACTGCATTCTTGTTCGATCAGGTTCGCTAGGTCCGGATTTGGAGCGGTGAGGATCTTACCAACCCCTGAAACACATTGGGCGTTTGTGATCCAGTCACTGAGACTGCCCGTACTTATGTTTGAGCATAATTCATGCCAGTGGTTTTCTAAGAATTTGATTACTTTGACGAAGGAAGAAGCAAAAGGTGCACCAAGGCGAGCTACATTATCCCGCTGTAGAAGCCCACAAAGCAATTGGCAGTACATGCTCTGAGTAGTGTCTACGCAAGTCGCAATTTCATGCGGGCTTACCTGTAATTTATCCCTGCATGATAACAAACACAATAAGGAAACAGTAGTAGCAGCAACAAGGGGCATGTTCACACTTTTGTAACGTGAGAGCAAAGGTTTTATTGATTCACCAAAGAAATGAGTTGGTTGTGTTCACTCTTTTCAAAATACAAGTTATCATAGACATGCCCATTAGCCCAGAGACAGTTTTGATTTCTCCGGTCACAAAATAGAATGTGAGACATTTTCCTTGGTTAAGCCCTTTGATGTGCCTGCAAACAAGTAACAACAATGGGGTATGGACTTTTTGGTTTTACTTAAACAGGCACAAGTTGGAGTTTAGGGCTCTTTACTTGTAGAGTAGAGCTCTATACAGAGATCCAAACGAAATCCTCTGTTCCAGTTCCTCTGCTGTCAGAGGAATAAACTTTGGAACTCCAGCTGAAGTACCCGAGCTGCAAAACCAGTAGCTTCCTTATTTCTTTATATATTCTATACTTCTTTTAACGTATACTATTCAAGATTATCAAACTCAAGTATCAACAAGTTTCAAACCAAATTTCCTCTTAAGTGTTTTTTTTGGTTATGTTCTTTACATGAATTTGCATGTGCATGTGGGTCGGTATGTAACTATGTGAGAGACTAAGCCAAATTACTTTCGAGTCTCTCTCTCTTCAATAAATTTGTCTAAATCCCTCCGAATCTTGCATATACACAACTTTGAAACTGTTGTAGTTATCACATATGCCAAAAAAAAGAAAAAAGAAAAGAGAAAGGGTGGATCGTTTAATTTGAAGGCACTGGGCCAAAAGTACACTGATGGGTTGATCACAGATGATATCAGATGGCTCTCCATTAGTTATACGATCGATATAAGACCTATAGTCTTCGTAGGTCACAACAGGTACGTTCTTCTTGAAGCTTTGCTTATCGACTTGACCGTTGAGGAAACCTCCAAGATACTCGGTTTGAGCATTACGTGAAAGTATTGCCTCCAAGACGGAATCTTGAATCTGATTTACGTTGGTGGTCACATCCTCAAGAAGAGACAGGGCAGCTTTAGGGTCAGTTAAATCGAACCTTGGCAACATGCTTGCTCGCTGCTTTGATTGCCTGCAACTGCAACAAGTAGAAAAAGAACAAAAACCTTTTTTTTTAAGTCATAACGAAATTGTTTACAAAAGTGTGAAGAGCAATTACCTTTGTTCTAGCGAGGTCGTTGAATGAGCTTTGGAGAAGAGATTAGAGAAAGCAGTCAAACTGTCAAAGAGTGTGGTGTGGCGATATGTTCGTTGCCGTAAGATTTGTTCTTTTTCCATAAATAGGATTAATTAACAAAATAAGCAAAGATAATACTATAAATACTCCATTTTTAGAAAGATTACGATATCCCATTCTTACAAGGATTTATTACAATGTTTTTTTTTTTTTTTTTGATTTATTACAATGTTACCATGTTGTTTGAATTCTTATTACCAAAAAAAATTATTTGAATTCTTTGTAAAAAAAAAGAAATGATTGAATTGAACCGGAAACAAAGTCGGTTCAACTTGGGTCTGTTCGGTTAATAAAACACATTGAACCGATCAAATCATCAATTTGGTGAGAAAACCTCATTGACCAATCATATCACTGCGAGGGTGAGAATGGCTCGAAACGACTCGCGATCTAGGTCGCCGTCTCACCGCCGACGATACTCTCGCTCGCCTGTCACTCATCGTAGCAGCCGTCGTACCAGGCGCGACCGCAGCCGCTCGCCCTACCAATCAAGGTCTGCAACAAATCTTTTCTTACCTTAGATATGTGAGATAGATGTGGATAAGCGAATCTCGAAACTTATGGTGATGTTGGGAATTAGGATTAGGGTTTTAACCAATTTATGTCATAATTTGGATCTTTGTTGTTTTGCGAATGACTTAAGATATCCATTATAGTTCGTTATTTAGCTGCTTAGTGTAGTAGATTAGAAGAAGCTGCTCTAGTTTAACACATCTTCATAACAGTAGGTCTCCAAATTTTTGTAGGCACAAGAAGAGCAGATCTCCTACACCGAGGCAACGCCAAAGGAATAGAAGTAGTTCATCTTCGCCTTCCGAGCATAAAATTGCGATTGAAGTGAAGAAAGAACAGGAGGAGAAGGCTAGGTAATTGGTTTAATGTTTTTTCTGTCTTTCAGTTTGCAGTATGCTTTCCCAGTTTTGTGTTTGAGGCAATATAGCATTTTGTTTCCGTGGGAGTCGTTTTCCAGGTTGGGAGATATATAAAAGTTCCTTCACATTAAACTAGCATATGCAAGTATTGAGTAAAGTTTGTTGTTCACAGTGACATATCTATGGGCTATGTGGAATATTGTAACCTTAAATGAACGAGCATATACATCTCTAGGAAATTTTTTGCTAGTGAGCAAATTGAAGGTAATCTATTTCTCGAAGTATAGCTCTATTATGTTTATTGGCGTAATTTGAAATGTCGGCTGTGAGAAATGTTAACAGAAGTAGAGTTTTGTCTCCTTATCTAAATTGATTAGTTTTTGAGCTGTTAGAAGAAGAATTACTGATCAATTTATGCATTTGAAAATGATCTGATCTTTAAAACTTTCTCTTGGCTAGTGTTGACAGAGTTGGTCTAATTCTTAACTGACTATTATTATTTTTCCTGGTAAACTAAGATTGCAGCATGAGGCTGAGCTAAAACGGCTAGAAGAAGAGACTGCACGCCGGATCGAGGAAGCAGTGAGGAAAAATGTGGAGGAAAGGATGAAAAGCAAAGAAGTTAAAGAAGAAGTAGAAAGGCGGACAAAGGAAGCCTATGAAAAGGTGTTTCTTGATGTGGAAATACAGCTGAAGAAAGAAAAAGAAGCTGCTCTAAACGAGGCAAGAAAAAAAGAAGTAAGTCTAGCTGTTTGTTTATGTTGTTGCTCTGTTTGTTTGGTTTTATGGTTTTGGAATAGAGGCCTAAAGTAAAAACTGGGGAAATAATTAAAGGAACAAGCTCGGAGAGAGAGAGAGGAGCTGGATAAGATGTTAGAAGAAAATAGTAGGAGGGTTGAAGAATCTCAGAGGAGAGAAGCAATGGAGCTTCAACGTAAAGAAGAGGAAAGGTATAGAGAATTGGAGCAGTTGCAGAGACAGAAGGAGGAGGCTGCAAGGAGAAAAAAGCTGGAAGAAGAAGAAGAAGAGATCAGAAATTCCAGAAAGTTATCAAATGGAAACAGATCACGATCTAAGTTGCATTTTTGAATGGGTTTATAATTAAGGAAAACCTTGATTAATGAGAGTCAAGTTTGAAGGAGCATTTGATACATGTATCAGAGTATAGAAAGATACAGTTGACTCGTACTACAGTATTTAGCTGACCCTTCCATTTGAGCTTTGTTGTTTCACTTATGTTTATCATTGGAAGAAAAAATGCAATTCCCGTTGGATTAGTATTCTAACTACATATCCTTGTTTCTAAAGAATGAAGGACAACAATACAATGCTTTATAATAACTTTGGCGGGCTTTTGGCTGGCACAGATTTTTGATGGCTGGGCCGGGCTGGATCTGATCAAAAAGCCTTTTTAAAAATGTAAATTAAGTAGATAGAGAGACTTCCATGGAGCTTCTTATTACTCTTGTCAATTGTCATATTATGTATTTTTTTTCTTTTAAGTATAACCATAATACTAAAAGAAATATTTGACAAAAGAGAACCTATATAAAATTTAAATAATTCTTTCGACTTTGTAAGACAGATATATAGAGGAAACAATTTCTAAAATTGTGCCAATTCAAGTCCAAAAAGTCATCTACAAAATTTTAAAAATCTGCAATTTGGGAATTGGGACCACAGTTACAAAGTCTTTCTCATACTCATTTGTTTTCTTATGTTTTTGATAGCTACGAGGCTAGTTACTAACATACCCCACAAGAGGAGATGAATGAATATTTGAGATAAATAAAGGTGATGCACGTACATGACTATATACTGATTGAAATGATCTAATCTGCATAAGTGTGCACATATTCTCTTATATAGTAATTAAGAAGTGCGATCTTCATGGTGCATGCGAGGATCATCATTGTGATCTGGGGGGAGTTCCACTGTCAACGGAATCAACGGAAAGCAGCTTAGCCGCAATATTTGACATTTTCTAAGCCGAAAGCATCATTAAAAACCAAAAAAAAAGTCTCTCATTGTCAGATAATACCGTACGTCCAACCAAGTCAATATCAAAACAAGGATTTTCTTGAAAATAACTTACCTAAAATCATTAAATAAAAGATGATCGTTTCGGGAACACTATAGAGAATCGAGTTGAGAAAAATATCACTGTGAAAAAGACGTGTCATCGTCGCGTAGTGTTAAACTTTAAAATATTATTTAAGTTTTTTGTTAGAAAGAGAGAGAGAAAAAAAAAGAAAAGAAATGGTAGCTAGAAGAGATCGAAACTGGGATTGAAAGATGCATATGATTAGACTGGGTCATGGGGATCTGGAGCATGGCCCTCGATATACACTTGACGTAAAACCAAAGTGGGACGCGACCCAAATTTCCCATTTGCCTTTTGCGCGCATGCCTTTCGTTACTCTGTAGAAACCTCTTTACTTCTCCTTTCCACTAAATCATCTCATCTATAGCATCAATATAAATATTATCACCCCACCCATATTTTTAGAATTGACCAAACCCTGAAACAAAGTTGAGCAAATAACCATTACATAGATCTCTATATGTTTTCCTTAAACCAAAAAGTACAAATTTAGGTTCATAATATTTTATTTTCTATATAGAGCCCGGAGAAAAATTTAATTTCATAATTTCAATTTCTCAAATATTTAACTTTTATATATGCGTATTCAACTTTATTTTTTTTTTAAAAAAAACTAAATACGTTTCAGATGAACATGTATGTATTTTAATATATATTTTTTGGTAAGAAGTATTTTTAATATTGGACAAAATGAAAAGTGTTTTAAATTTTTTAAAAAGAAAAAAATAAAAAAATGTTAAGATATAATTTGGAATATATGCAGAAAATATTCTGAGACGATCACGAGGAAGGCCAATAGAAGGCGAGATAGAGAATAATGAAAAGATATATACAAAGAGGTGTTTAATATTTGGTGGGGCAAGCTCGATCTAAATCTCAAGACCAAAGTTTGCCTTGTCCTACTCTCACATTGTCACATGTATCAAATAATAATAATAATAACAAGAGAAAAAAACATAAACCACGCATATTTATATAATCGATAATTCGATATATAGTACAATTCATGCATGTACACAAAATGCGTTCTAAAAAAAAAGACACATGAATGAATGAATATGTGGACAGATAAGTCTCTCTTTTTTTTGGTTTTGGGATTTCGATATAATTTCTAGGTTGAACACGTTTTTTTCTTCTTTATATGATTAGTCTGATTGCGATATTCGTAGTGATCGTCTCTGATTCTTTCAGCACATTTCAACTACAATGAAATATTTCCCCAAAAAAAAAAGAAAAAAAACTTCCAAATTAAGAAGATTTATAGTTCACTATAACCACACAGTTTGACTTTTCGGAAATCGAATTAATGTAACATTTCCAGGGAGTAGTCAAGTTTGAATTATAAGATATGAAACTATATTTTTAGATATCTGATTCAGATCAAACTGCAATGTCCCTGCAGCTCTTAAAAAAAAAATTTATTTTAAAAATTGCACGTGAAAATACAAAAACATCTTAGTATCTATGCAAACTACATAGTGTGCATGGGTTGGTTAGCTCTCAAGAGTCAATATGTTGCTTAGCTCTCAAGAGTCAATATGTTGCTTAGCTCTCAAGAGCCAATGCTATAGAACAAAATGTTGGCTAGCTCTCAAGAGCCAATGTCAAAGAACGAAATATTCTTTTTTAAAAACTTATATATATTTGATGTACAGTTGTAGAAGATTGGATTGCAAATATGCTACACAAAACTTGTTAAAAATTGATCTCATTTAGTCGTGTTTTCAGAAACGATCGTCAAAATCATGTGTCTAATGAATGTGATATTGTGAACACAAGAAGAGGGGTTATGTTCTTTAAAATCTTAGAACAATAAGCTGATATCATCATCCGTATATATATGTTTTAAAAACAACCCTTATCCGAAATCAAACTATATTTGACGCAAGCTTAAGCTTATATATACGGCCGGCGGATTGTAGGATCTCAGAAATATTAAACTTCAGCAAATCCAAATTTTACCAACATTAACGAAACAAAATTAAGCAAAATGTTACATATGCCTCTCGTTCATTTTTTATATTTTCGGTGCAACAAAGGTTGGGAAAATAGAAAAATGAAACGAAAATGGTGGCGATTTATGAAACTGATTCGACCGATAATATAGAAAATTAGATTATTCTCTCGGGTAGTTATAATAATGGTAACCATAGCTCCTCTCTTCTTCCTCCCGCTGCTGCTGCTGTTGCTGTTGTTGTTGCGTTTGTTGGGAGGAAGAAGAAGATGAAGAAGGCGTTGAGAAAGGCTGACTAAAGAGACTCGACGTGTAGTACGATAAATCAACTTCATTGTTACTCGTAAGCAATTGAGCGTATTGAAGAATGTCTTGGTTATAGTTCATTGGCCACGAAGGAGTAGTAGAAGATGGAGCAGGCTGATGAGGAGGAGGTGAGTTCATTGATTCACTGCCTCCTCTTGTGGCAGGAGTAATGGTTGTAGTAGTAGTAGGACCTTGGACCCGTTCAGGGAAGTTTAGTTTAGCCTTGGTGCCTTTGAATTTGAGGGCGGCTCGATCGTAGGCTAAAGCAGCTTCTTCGGCTGTCTCGAAAGTCCCGAGCCAGACACGGGCTGCTTTCTTTGGATCGCGGATTTCGGCAGCCCATTTTCCCCACGGTCGCTGCCTTACGCCTCTATAGTGTCTCCTTCTTGGTTGATCTTGCATAACATGACATAACGATGATAAGAATTAAAAAAATAATTACATATTGCATGTACAGTTTCTACATGCATGAGAAGATTTATATTACGTGTGATTTTAACGATTAATTATATCTAGCAAGAATATGTTAGTTTGATATTTATGATTTAAAAGAAAGAAAAAAATGAAATGATTTAATTATCTAAAGATGGTGCATAATACAATAACACTTAAAACGATCATCAACTATGTGATATTATGGAACTTTCCACAGAATACAATATACTATTCAACTCATAAGATTTAGATGGAATCAAAAATAAGGGTGATCAATCCTGCAATTCAAGTGGATTACTATACATTTTTACTGAACCAAAATCAAAGTTTGAATCAATATCCAGACTATATTTCCGGGTGATTTTTATTGTGTGTACAAATTAAAGGGATGACGTATATAAATCTAACATAGCATTCAACAAAATTAGATGTTGGGACTATATATCACTCATTAAAAAAATAAACTAAGACTTGATTTTAGATAAAGACATTGCGCCTGAGTCGTTTGACATATTCGGCTATTAAGTTCTAACGCACTCCAAAGAAAAAAACGAGTTAATCATGCATGTTGAAATACTTCAAAACATTGATAAATAAAAAGACAACCATAAAGTTGATGCCTATCTAAAGACAACTAATTTCAAAAAGAACATGCGTGGTCAAAAATTACTCTATCTAGCTAGTTAGGTAAGAAGCCATATGTAGGTTATATATATGTTTGACGAGTAAAGACATGAGTTTATTAAAATACACTATCTAACTTGTACTTTGAAAAGAAAAATCTACATGTATTAAAAATTGAAAAAAAAAAGGATAGACACGTAGTAGTATGCTGATCGGTGGTACAATTAGAAGGAAGGTTCTTTACGGAAAGTAAATTAAATGATAGAGATGCATTGAACTTCAACTTCAACTTCAACTCGAACCTAACCTCTATATACAAATTCCTTTTTTCCCCTCAAAATTTTTTTAATTATTAACTAAGAGAATCGACGGAAAGGGTTATTAATAGTAAGTCTTTAGTTAGTTAACTTATTATAACCAAGTTACATACATCAGCTAGGAAACAAAAAAAAAGAAGAAGAAGTTTTAAGCACTTAATTCTAGTAGTAGAGAGACGTATGATGAAAGCATATAATTTTTTGATAATCACCTTGGTCTTGTTGAAGTTGATCTGATTTATCAAGCTCTTGTTTGACAGGCGGGTCAGTCGGGTTCTCGATGGCACGGCTTAGAGCGGAGACCATGGCGGTGACATCAGTCTCGTCCCAGGACGGATTATCATCAGCCGCCGCCGCCGCCGATGTTTGGGGTGGAACCGGTCCCTTTCCATACCTCCGATCCACTTTTACAACACAAAACACACACACACACACGCAGAAAGAAGAAAGAGCAAACGTATGTGTGTATACAAAGAAGACTTTTGAAAGGAACTATAAGTTTGAAATCAAGAACTTTGGGGGAGTGACTAGTAGTACATGGAGCTTTGGCTAGTATGTGATGAAAAGAAAGGAATTGGGAGCAAATAAGGGTTTTTTGTTCTTTAGATAAAGGGCTATGTAGGATGATGTGATATTATTATTATGAGGAAAGAAGAGGTGACGAAAAGGGTTTTTATAAAGAGAGAAGATGGAATAGGATCATCCCTCCTCTCTACTCGAAATAAACCTTTGGAATGGTGCGGTGGTGGGGCCGTTCTTTTGAGTTCATACTTCTCTTTTTCTTTTTCTCATTCTTTTTTTATTTCTTTTGTTTTGTTTTGTTTTGTTTTCTAGAGCTTATTTGAACTTCGCATGTTTTGGCAGCAGTGTTATGCACAAATTAGGAATGATTGCGGATCCAACTTTCTTCTTTTCCTTTTTACAAAAAATATAAAATGATAAATATATAATTGCATCTGTTTTAGTTTCATTGGTATAAATGTTTGCATCATACTGTATATAGTAGTAAATTTTGTAAACTCTGCATAGTTAAATAATAAAAAATAAGATTATGCTTATGCTTATGCTTATGTTTATGCTTCATATAGTTCCATTGGAATATGTTTATGCTTCATATGTTGTGCTTAGTACAACTGTTTTTGTGATAGATTACTCATCTACTTTTACGGCCTGTCTAAATATTAATTATCCTCAAATCGCCCAATGTTAATTTTCTTAAAAGATTTTTGTGCAAAAACCAAGTTTAAAAGCGTTTTTATTTTAGATTGTTTCATACTATATTTATGGCTTTAAATTTTAAATTTTACATATATTTGTTTCTCAATGATTTTGATAAGACGACTAAACAATCCATTTGGAGTAAAACACAAATAACTTTGGGCTGATATGATATATGAAAGATTTTCAATCACGAGAGACGATCATCAATTCATCATAGATAAGCACTTGGTGAATTCTTTGCTATGGAAGAAGCATCAAAGTATCTCTTTCTAAGATGGTCTTGTATTTACTTCACATTCGACTTTCCTTTTCCAAAAGTCATAAACCATAATCCAGTTTGACGGTGAGATCAAAGCTTAGACCTCATGTTTAGTTTAGCTGTCTCTCTAACTCACATGGATCATAAGGAATTTTCTCACTGGACTTTATAAATCTACATGTAAAAGTCAAATTGTTCATTAAACCAAATCCATTACCACTAGTGATCTGTAAACATAGGCGAGAGAAGGTCTTGAATGACATATATACCATCATCATACCCCGTTTAGATACTGATCCAAGATGTTGTGCATTTGTCCTTGCTAATAACTTCACTAATACTTCATTACTAGTTGGATGGAGTGAATATAAATAAATAAACGAACCAATTTAATCCACTAATATATAGATGAAAACCAAACCGAAATCAACAAAACTGATTTAATGTGTAACTGATGAACCTAACCGAACTGAATAATCCAATATTTGATTATAGATGATCATATGTTAAACATGTTATATATAAAATAAAACATTAGTTAACATGTCATATTACATAAATCAAACTAAACCGGAATCAGAATAACCAAACCAAATTGCATCAAACTAACCAATAAGAAAACCAAATTACAAACGGTTTAATTGGTTTTCGTTTCTATGAAAGCGATAATCATAAAATGAACCGCAACAAAACAAAACCGGATTGTCCCCTCGTTATTTTGGTAGGCATGGACTCATCATGGCTCATAGTGGTGAAGTGTAAAGATTTAAAGAACGGTTTGGTTTCATCTCAAAGTTTTGTCCATATAAAACATTTCCAAATTCGGTCCTGATTTAATAAAATGCTCTGTTTCTGAGTAAAGACCTGGAAATTCTCATTGTTGTGTTCCATTTTGCAGACAACAATGAACTAGTACAAAAGACTTGATCAATATATATTAGAAATTATACACATTCAGACAAACTAGTACACATTTAGTTTATTGAAACCACAACAAATCACTTGAATCAATATATATATTAATCCAAGGAAGAACAATCAAGTACTGAAGAATTTGGCTACCACACATGTCTCCAATACTTCTAAGGCTTTCCCTGACTTAATGCATCTGGGAGTTTTGTATTGACCGGTGGAAGCACCTTGTGAGATGAAGAAGTCCATTAGAGATTCAAACGTTCCTTGACGCACCACTCTTATCTCCAGAGGCCCAACCGATCCGTCTCTGAATCGACATCTCTTGTAAACATTATCAAGCGACTCCTCCATTACCACACAACACTTGGAGAGCGCTTCTTCATCGAGCTCAAGGTGTGTCTTGTTCTTATCCTCCTCCCCCTCTTTGGCTTTTACTTCCAAGTAAACCACGTAGTGACCAGGAAATGTTGAGGTGTCAGCATAACTGGTGAAGTCTTCTAGAATGAGACCTGATGACTCGAGTACGAGCTTTGCTTGACTCACAGCCTTAAACAGATCTTCTTCGTTAGTTTTATCGGAATCGATGCTTAAGACCACGTTCTCTCTTCTTACAAACTTAAACTGAGGCGCGTTGTTGTAGAAGCCAGTCACCAATACAATATCTCCCACTCTCATCCTATACAAGCCTGAACCAAAAAAATCACATATTCACTAACATTAGTTAAAAAAATGAAAAGAATAATAAATAATGCATTTTATTGAATTCACGGTCGATTTATTTAGCTCACCAGCGAAATTTGTGACCACGGGTTCATAACTGCACCCAAGTTTCACATCTTGAAGGTCGACTACATCGTTGGTGTCTCCATCCATAGGTATGAACTCAAAGTAAGACATGTTTGGCATGAAAGCGTAAGACACATCTTCAGGTTTGCACAGAGGATCTAGATTGATCCCGAATGTGGTCTCTGAAGAACCGTAGGTTGTTGAAACGAGAGGCAAGTCGTCACAATAGTAGTTCAACATGGGAACGTACTGTCCCATTGAACCTGTAACAACGGTTTCAATAAATTTGGTGTTTGGCCATAGTCTTTTGACTATACCTTGCCAAGACTGGCTGCAGATTTCTTCGATTGTGTCTGCTAATTCAGGACGTGGTCCTCCAAGGACCAAAGACACAGAGCTTTGACAACCCAAGTCTGTGACCCAGCTGCTGAGATGACCTGATCGGATGTTTGAACACAACTCCTCCCAAGAATTCTCAAGAACCTTGATCGCTCGGACCATGACTGAAGCAAAGATGGAACCCATCCTCACAACCTCGTCTCTTTGGACTAAGCCACAGAGCAAATGGCAGTATAGACTTTCGGTGTTGTTAGGGCATAGGATGACTTCATCAGGGCTCGTGAACGAGTAGTACCAGTTAGATGGCCGGTTCTTGAAGTAGTCGCTCTTAAAATAGCTGCTGGTTGCGACTCGAGCAGGCAAGCCAGAAGGAGTCATTATTTCTTGTTTAGTGAAGAGAAACATCATCCCTTTACCTTCCTCCACACCTTTCACATGCCTAAACAAAACAAGAAGAGATTTGTCCATCAATGGTCTGATCCAAAATAAAATCGTTTATAAGGAAAACATGTTACACTTACTTGGTTATAACTTGACTACGAAGATCGTAGATAAATGTCAAATTGTCCAAGTACTTGTTGTTCCATGGCATCATCTTTTGTGCTCCTCCAGAAGTTCCCGAACTACAGAACAACACTCGTCTAATTAAGAACATGTATATGGTTTAAAATTAAAAATAAATAAAAACTATATATAGAAAATTTCTTATGTACCTTAGCAAGAAACCGGTGATGGGTCGGGCGGAAATGATATCGGATGACTCTCCATTAACGATACGGTCGATATAAGGCTTAATATCTTCATAGGTCACGATCGGCACATTTTTCTTGAAGAGCTCTTTGTCGAACCTCTCGGTGAGAAAACGTTGGAGATACTCTGTATTTGTGTTGGGAGTGATTATCTCCTCCAACAAGTTGTCTTGTATTTGCTTCACATTTGAAGTTAAATTCTTCAGCCCCGTCTCAAATTCTTCGTTGGTGTTGAAGATTGGCTTCATATTTAGTTCTCTCTAGTTGATGATATGGGATCAGAGAGTTGGACACTTGGTTCTACTATAAATAGCAAGAGAAAATACTTATAAATAAAATGGATTTGGCAGTTCGTGAGTCTCGGTCAATGTTTTTAAATGATATTATTAAGTACAAACTGTAGAAAAGTCTCGACCGAGTAACACAATTTGTTATACCATTCTGACCTTAGCGTGTGTGATGCTGTCACAAAATGCTTCTTCTTTTTTTTTTTGTTAATCTTTGTATTCCAACGAGTTGGCATGTTTTATATATGAGAGGAGTAATTTACATAGGCATCTGAGATGAAATCGTTTTGTTTTAACTAATATTCATGGAAATTTTCGTTTTGTGGAAAATGTATATTTTCATGGATTCCCAAAGACTTTATGATATGTCTAGTTTGGTTTGATTTTATTGTTTTACTTTTTAGTTTTTTAATATAAATTTAGTACTCAATTTTTAATAGATCATGCAAAATTATGATAAAATTGTAATAATTATATGGGTGGTAATATAGTTTAATAGTATAACATTTGACGAATTATGCAACATGGTGGTAAATGTACCATGTCGTCGACTATATTCAAGAAAATTTGCAACTATCATTTTTATTTTCTTTTTCTTTTGTTGGTATCTGTTTCAATGAAGTCAGGAAAAGGCAAGGAAATGAAGGAGAAACACACAAAGAAATTATAAAAAAAATTTTTGCGCAAGAAAAATAGAATTCATAAACAACGACCAGACCACAAAAAGACTCTACACAGAGAGAGTCAATATAAAACTATATTCATTTAGTTGTGACTACTTGTGTGAGTCGTGATCAAGAGTCTTGAACTTGCAGACGAAGTTTCAATATCATCATCTTATATAAAACAACGAACTCGTTTCAAATATGTAACAAAGTATATATATATATTTTGGAAAAAGCATAGTTTATATCTTTCGTTGATGCAATGCAATAGATAAGCAAATAGACGATAAGCAGGAACGACTAGGAAATTGAACAGAAAGAGACTTTAAAACTCACCTCTGCAACAGAGTCTAGTATCTTCTCCAGATTGGATCCACTCAGTGACAGTGGACTCATTTTGTATGGGAAATATATATTGTGAAGATTGTATTAAAACAAAAAAACCAAAACAAACAAACACAGATCAATAAACACAATAAATAGCACAGACAGTCCGGACCAGTGGTGTGTGACTGATGTTTGTTATTATATGGTTCTCGTGTAAGCTCCAATCGTTGTCTTATCTTACCCAACGGTACTATATACATAGATACAGTATGTGTCTTTTTCTTCAACCAAACCAAACATTGTTAACTCATCTTAAACTAATGCAATTGCCGTAAAAGGAAAAAACCAAAACTATTTTCTTGTAATCTCTTCCGTTCTTTATCTTATTCTTCTTATGGGTATTCTCCATGTGACATTTAATTTTATAATATGTCCACCAACCCCTACTACATTTTATTTACTTTATGTATTCTTCTTTCTTTACTGAAATTTCTGAACGGATCAAGACAAAACATAACGGGTTGGGGTTGGTTGACCTTCCACTTCTTTCTAACCAGGACTTTGATTTTAATAGAACATATGAAGTGTGTGTGTGGGCCGTTGAGGGATATTGCCCAGAAATTTTCTGGAAAAATAGAGAAAATTCCAAGTAAACCTTAGCGTTGAAAGCAATTTCTTTATTTATTAGTAGCAAAACAAACTAAACTCAAGTCGTCTCCATCTTCTGACTCTTTCTTATATGCACACCCAAGTGGGGTTTTTTTGGTGTCTTGTGGCATCTTAGGTGTGTCCTTCCAAAACACACGTATCTTTCGTAAATAATGTAAAATTAGCTAAATCATCATCTTATAAATGCATCCGTACGCAGAAACCAAGAGGCCATGGTTAAAGGAGATATCTATGAATTGATCCTTTTAAGCAAGTTACACAAAATGATACACATTATGTGGTTGGTGTTGAGTCATGTTCAACATATTAACGAAATAATATCTTATAAAAGTCGTTTTAAGGCTCAACAATGGTATTATTATTGTATCCGTCCCTCCCATTGATACAAAAATCTATGCATCTCATTTAAAACCAAACTATGAATATTCAGACCAGACTGTCTTCTGATTTGCAAACACTGCAACACCGAGTGGTCTTTTTGATCAAACCATTAGCTGAAACCCCGTCAGAACAGAATCCTGAACTCAAGGAACACTAAGCTATGCTCATCTAACGATAGCTTTGTTTCATGCAAAATCATTGAAGCAAACAAATGGAACCCATGTTTTTTTTCTATCTTAAACTTGTTGAACTGAATCAAAAGTAAACAAAAAAAGAGAGGCAACCTTCTCTCTCAGCATCAATAGACTTCTACCTGCTCATTAGTTCCATATTCCAAGTATATTTTTACATGTCTTTATTTTCCCTGTGTCATCAAAAGGAGGCTCTCTCTATGAAAGCAATCTCTCATCCACAAGTAGATTGCAGTCCTCGTGCTCACAAGGATGTCTTTCTTTAACCCTGGAATCTTCCCAAAAACGGTTCACTAGTGTTGAAACCAAACTTGTGGCAACATCTCTGGCGATCTATCAAGATAGCTTCCAGCAGGAAGTTAAGGTAGCTTAAGTCTCTATTAAACAGTCTCGAAGGCAAACTGTTTCTTACTATGTTACCATAAGTTTGCTAAAGAAGTCTAGGAATTAAAAAATATCTTACATGTGCTGCTAAAAGATGCTACATGTTTGTATCTCATGGACACCAACTTCATCTCCGCGTAGTGTTTTCAACCGAATTGTTCAGACAACTGTTTCATCTACACTTTGCTTGGCACGGTATTGACGGCCATTCCTTTGGAAACTGGTGGAGCTCTCTAAGTCTCCTATTTCAGTAACCCCATCTTCTGTTGCACTTGGTTTCTCAGCTTCTGCTAACTCTCCAGCTACAATAGGCTTTGTCTCACTACAGTTACTACTGTCTTCTCTTACGTCCTTGGTCTTCTTCTGTGGAATGAAGGAAACTTTCTTGAATGATTCTGAATCTGTTGATCCTTCTACAGCCTTGGGAATGTCCATGTACTCTCCTGTTGGGGACTTATCAATCAATTCACAAGATGGGTCAAAGGTGTAACGGGTGTACTTCGAAGGATTTAGCAAGTAATCCGGTACCCGAGCACCAGTTTTACTCTGATGAGATATGCTTTTTGAAGAGGTAGAAGCCGAACAAGCATCTTCAGGCTTCTTTACTGTTTCTTCCAAGAGAGAATCAAACCTGACTCGCTTACTTGTCCTTGCTTCTGAATCTGAACTAGTCTCCTTTCTTTTGAGAATAGGTTTCGGTGGCACAGCTTTGGATGATTCTTCTACGTGTGACTCTTTGCTTTTCGAGGGTTGATTGGCACAAGCTTTAAGTTTGTTGGCCTCCATTTCGTCTTCCTTCAGCCTCATTTTCGCAGCAACATAGTTAGCACGAGGATCCCGAGTCCGTCCGCCAGACAATTTCGAAAGAGAATCTTTTAGAGACAAGTCTTCAACGTCATTCTCTGTCCCTAGTGCGACTTTATCATACTCGTCTTCCTCTGCCTGCGTAAAGAAGCATAAACAACCCTCAGTATCAAAGAAAGCGACAAATACAGCATATACTAGAAACAACGCCAAATATTGTTAACAAGTAAAATTCAAATTCCAGAATCTCGAAGATAATTATTAGATTGAAGACTCACGTACAGAAACTCCCTGAATCACACACCAATATGTTCTTACAGTAACAAATCAATTCTCTTCCATTTTTCAGACTCAGATGAGAAACAAGCATTCAGAGAACCAAATTGATTTACCTCGTCATCGAGAGTGCGGTCAAGTCCCATGGACGCTCTAATGCTCCAGACATCATCAAAATCCTCGGCGCCATCAATATCCTTAAGATCATCCTCTGCAGTGCTAGGGGAGATCCTCTGCTGTCTCAAAATCGCGTCGAACGATGACGCACAAGGAATCTCATCCCTATCGTACGAATCTCGATTCCACTCCCGTTTCTCAACTTCTGTGTCGGAGAGAGTCCACACCGACCCGGGAAGCTGCCGCGACGCCGCCGGAGCAGAAGTCGTAGAAAACTTGGAAGAAGAAGAGGAAGAGGAAGAGGGACGAGAGAAGGCGAGAGACCCGAAGATCTTCGCAACGCGGGATTGGAAATCCTCATTGGCTGATCCAGACGACGCCATTGGGAAAGAGTAGGAAATTAGAAATTGGAAAAACACACAAAATCGATTGGGGCGATAAATGGAAGAAGGAGGAGGAAGAAAGAAAGAAAACACACCGCCTCGCGTGACGTGTGTGATCCTTTTAAGTAAAATAAAGGAAATTTAAATGGGCAATTTATTAATTGGGCCTTACGTAACTAAAATTCCTACAGTTCAGCCCATTAGTGGCCTAGTTGAGTCACTATAGATTGTTTTTACTAACCTGAGGTGTACCAGGGTTTAAGGGGAAATGAAAGAGGCGACAGGCTAAAAAGGGAAAAGAGAGATCTAAAGTGATACTAGATTCATAGCATTAGGTTTGGAAATCATTTGAGAGAGAAAACATACAATATACTAGTATATACTGTATAATAGACTTAATAGTACTATATGATTAGAAGAGAGACCACAATCCCAGATCATATAGAAAATCAGAACTAGTAGAAAAAAATAAACATGTCGAAAACATAATTCTCATTGTCATATTTTATTATTGAACAAGTAGATATGGGGAGTTTAACTGGAGTTAACAACAAGACTTGAAAACTAAAACTGAACAAAATCTTAAACACGATCTTGGTTAGAGAATATATAGATCGGTATGATATGAATAAAGAAATCTTGTTCTAGCTGGACAAGAGGAGATGATACATTTTTAAATTAAACAATAGGGATTTTCTTTCATTTTTGAAACACACAAAATATATATTTAATTATCATATGCGACTGTAAAGTCTGCTTAAAAAAAAAAAGTAAGATCATCGTGTCAATATTTTCCAAAATTCTCTACCTTTTCCTTTTGCTTTAGCAATTTTTTTCCACCCTAATAAGAATTTTAAATTCCTAATAAAAAAGAAAATGTAAAAAAAGAAAAGAAAAAAGGGAATCATATATAAAAATGTGAAAAAAACCCCACTGACCTCTCTGTCTCTCCGGAACAAAAGGTAATGGAGAAGCAACCAGATAAACGGGTCCCACACTTCTCCTCTCTATTTAAAACCCCATCAAGAGAGCCTCGCGTTAGTTACACGCGCATCGTAGTTTACTAAAGACGCGAGTAAAGCGCGTGGAAGAGTAGAGTAAAGCACGAGTCCTTGTTTTCTCAGATGACCACCACACACACACACTCTCTCTCTGACCAAAGCAAAAAAAGCACAGTCAGAGAGTCCTCTCATCTTTATAAAAAAATTTACAGTTCAGAACGGCGTCGTATCTTACCAACCTTCACGATCTCCGGCGGTAACTAAAGCGGCACAGTTTCGCCGTCTTTTTTTCTTTTTTTGTGGTTAAATTTTTTTACTCACAAAGACGGTGAAGTGTTTTTTTTCTTTCTCTCTTTGCTTTCTCTTCTCCCGAGACACTTCTTCATCTCAAAATTCACAAATCCCTCCCCACTGTTTTTTTTTTTTTTTTTTTCAACTTTCGATTTCGCGAGAAGCAAAAAACCACACAAGGCTCGAGACTTTGTTAGATCATCGGGGTTTGGTTTCGGGAAAACTTTGGGAAGAGAGGATCTCACGTTTTTTCTTCCTTTTGTTTTTGTTTTTTTTTTTGTCTCTTGTTTGCGTCTGTGTGAGAAAAAAAAAACAGTGATGGTCTTTTGCTTTTAGGTTGTTTTTATTTTGTTTGTTTGTTTGTCCGTGTAATGTTAATTGCTGTCTGTGTCGAAGAAGAGGAAGTTAGAATTTGCTCAATATGCATTTCACCAAGCTTGATGACTCTCCCATGTTCCGCAAACAGGTTTCTCTCTACATTTTGTGTGTATTTGTCCTCATGTCTCCAGTCTTTTAGTGTGCTATTTGGCCAGATTTCTTCTTCACTACTTGTGAATAAACAGATACACCAAATTTGGAGCCATTTGGGTGTTTTATTGTCTCAAATTTTTAGAGTTCACCGACACTTATACCCCAATTTTAGAGTGGAAAGGTTCAACTTATTGTGTCACTGAGAAATTTGGTTTAATATTATTTGACTGGACTGCCTATATTCGCGCTTTTGCCTTGTTTTGCTGGTGAAATGTGAATTGACTTGTGATCCAGTTCACATGTTTGAATCTCTGACTCTGGCAAAGCTACTTTGTGTTTTAGGATACACTTGTCTCCACTTAGCTAGTTATTCTCATGCTCACTCTTTCAGTGCGGAGGAGCAGATTTTTTTTGCAACATTATTATAAAGGAAGTTCTCTAGTGTAGCTCCAATCCTGCTCTGTTGTCCTATAGTTTAAATTTTTGTCACCGCTATATGGAGTGCCTATATCACTTAGTTTTTTGGGTTGTCCATAGTTGCAGTTTCTTTGACAAATGGTTGTGTCTTGCTGTTTTCTTTGCCTTATGTACTTTTCCTTCCAGCTGTGTGCTTCCATTAATCTATCTTTCTGACACAGTTACAAAGCATGGAGGAGAGTGCGGAAGTATTGCGGGAAAGAAGTCTCAAATTTTACAAAGGATGCCGGAAATACACGTACGCCCCGAATTTTCTCATATGCTTAGAATTGTAGCTGTACTCTTCTTCCAGCTGAAAGAAACATGAGAACATATCTTTTAACAGAGTTAGATTATCTTTTTTTTTTTTTTTTGTTATAGTGAAGGGCTAGGCATATGATGGGGACATTGCTTTCGCAAGTGCACTTGAAACATTTGGTGGCGGCCATAATGATCCAATAAGCGTGGCTTTTGGAGGTATGACTGATCTCACTTATAGTATATGGAAACTCACAATAGCATATTTTCTGTTTATCACCATACAGTTTGCACCTACTTGTCATCTTAAGCTGTTTTCAATTTAGAATTCATAAATGTTTGAATATTGTTACTTTTTACGCACATTTTTATGGTGGCTTAAACTGTAGAGAGTGAGGCTCTCCATCTCTCTCTTTGCTAGGATTGTTAGATTCGCGGTTATGGTAGAAATATCTCAGTTAAGAATTGGAAAAAATATAGTTTCATCAAAAGTGCTGATAAACTCTAACTTGATGTGCCAGGCCCCGTAATGACGAAATTTACAATTGCGCTGAGGGAAATTGGGACTTATAAGGAAGTTCTTCGGTCACAGGTATGCTAGTTTGTTACTGTGACGCTCTCTCCATGTCTCCCCATCCTCAGCCTTCTTTCTGATTACTCCTCTGTGTATCTACGTAGATAGTTCTGTTTTCTTGCAGCAAAAGCGGCCTCTATATAGATTTATTCACCTTTAGACATTGTTTGAGTTAATTTAGATCAAGTCGTTTCAGTTCAGGTTTCAATTTTGACGAATTCTCATTTGCAGGTGGAACATATTCTCAATGACAGATTACTTCAGTTTTCCAATATGGATTTGCATGAGGTTAAGGTACAATATGTTTACTTTCTTCTTGGCTAGATCTCTCTTTTAAGTTAATCTATGTTGGCCATTAATACCTACTAGAATGTCCATGAAACAATGGAGGACATGCATTCTGCCATGTATGAGTGGAGAAACTATGAAGGCATGCCAGGAGGCATTTAATTTAATATGGCTTAGGTTTTCTTCTTCTGGTTTGACTTTGGGATTTCAGCAATAGGAATCTAAAAAGGCTGAATAATTATCACTCCGGTCGTCTACCTTCCCCAAACAAAATATATTTTGAGGTTACCACTATAGAGAAGGTCCACTGAATTCGAAATATGTGGTTAAGTTTCTTTGAGTCTGCCTATACATTGTGGCTAGTCCAGATATATCTTTCTTCCATTTTTTTAAGTAAGTAAGATAGCATGACAAGCTTATATTTGGATATGAATCCTGAGAGATCATTTTTGCCACAGGAAGCTCGGAAGCGCTTTGACAAGGCTAGCCTTACCTATGATCAGGTATTCCTTTGTCAAGGGTTTTTGTTTTCTCCACCCTGCTTACATGGTTACAAAGGATAGTTTGGAAAGACCAAAAATTCTTATCCTAACTTTTTTCCGGACTAGATATAATATCTGTTTAAAAAGTTTCAACCAAACAAATGTGTTGAGCTCATTACCATTTCTGAATCCTTTCTGGTTAATCGAATGAGGCTAGGGTTCTTATTATCCAAAGCGGAATACGTATATGTGTGCTGCAATTTCAAGCTGTGTCTAAATCTACAGAAACCTAGCTAGTTCTCATTTCTATTACTTTTCTGAGCATTAGCTGTTACTAGGAATCAAATTTGTAGCTTGGAAGATAACTGATATCTGTTTTGTTAGAAATTGGTTCAAGCTTATATGGAGATTAGCTAATTAACTTCCTATTGTGCTTTAGGCTCGTGAGAAGTTTTTATCTTTGAGGAAAGGTACAAGAAGTGACGTTGCTGCTGCTTTAGAACAGGTTTGGTTGCATGCTTTTGGGTACCATGTATTTTTTGTTTCCCTATGTTATAACTAACATATTTTGACACTGACAGGAACTTCACACTTCGAGGTCTATGTTTGAGCAAGCTCGGTTCAACCTTGTAAATTTCTGTCGTTGGATTCCGATTATTAATTGCAAGTCATATTTGTACAGTCACATCCTGATTATTGCTAAAGTAATCATTTTTAATTGACTTCCCTAATTTATGATCAGGTGACTGCTCTTTCAAACGTTGAGGCTAAGAAAAGGTTTGAATTTTTGGAAGCAGTCAGCGGAACGATGGATGCACATCTTCGGTACTTCAAACAGGTAAGTATGTTATGCTCATTCAGAAGAATTTTAAAATAGTCTAAAATGATTTGTTTCAAATCTGAATGTGGCTGCTTTCAGGGTTACGAATTACTGCATCAGATGGAACCATATATCAATCAGGTCGGTCTAATTTTTTTTTTTTCCCTTCAAGTAATAGATCCCTAAACATTTGGAGTTTAAATCTGTTTTAAGACTATGCATGAGTCTTCACATACGTATTGAGAACGCTGAGACAGTTGCAATTTAAATAAAAAATAAACTATTTTACACCTTTCACTCCTTTTTTGCAGGTCTTGACCTATGCGCAACAATCCAGAGAAAGATCAAATTATGAACAAGCAGCACTTAATGAAAAGATGCAGGAGTACAAAAGACAGGTTGATCGAGAGAGCAGGATTGGTTCTAATGGTTCTAATGGATCACCAAATGGAGATGGCATACAGGCCATAGGTCGAAGCTCTCACAAAATGATAGACGCTGTAATGCAATCTGCTGCAAGGGGAAAGGTTGATCAATGTCCTTTACATATGAATTCGACATCTTCCAAAGAGTACTATTAACATTTCTTGGTACTTTCAGGTACAAACAATAAGGCAAGGTTATCTCTCTAAAAGATCTTCAAATCTGAGAGGAGACTGGAAAAGACGGTTTTTTGTTCTTGATAGCCGAGGAATGCTGTATTATTACCGAAAACAGTGTAGCAAACCATCTGTGAGTTTTGTATATATCTATCTTTTATTTGTTTTAAAAAAGAGCAGAATAATGCAAACTGTGTGGTGTTCATAAATTAAATTTCTTTTTGACCCATTCTTTGCACACTCTGACTTAGATGATTTGATGTTTAGGGGTCTGGTAGCCAGCTTTCTGGACAGAGAAATAGCTCTGAGCTTGGGTCTGGACTTCTTAGTAGGTGGCTTTCGTCGAATAGTCATGGACATGGTGGTGTCCATGATGAGAAGTCTGTAGCTCGTCATACAGTGAACTTACTCACCTCAACAATTAAAGTCGACGCTGATCAGTCAGATCTGAGGTTTTGCTTTAGGATCATTTCACCTACAAAAAATTACACGTTGCAGGTTTGACTCAGAGTGTTTGTTACTGCCTCCAGCTTCTATTGTTGGCATGTTTGCCCAAATTTTAATAGTTTTCACTCAGTGTTTACTTATGTTTGTCAGTGCAGGCTGAGAGTGCACTCGATCAAATGGATTGGATAGAAAAGATCACTGGGGTTATTGCATCACTACTTAGTTCTCAGGTCCCTGAACAGGTAAGTATTGTCATTATTCCTTTGCATGACCAGGGTCATAGTAAATATCAATGCAATTTTGATGAATTGTCCTTCGGCTACATTTCAGCGTCTTCCTGGTAGTCCCATGGGTAGTGGTCACCATCGATCTGCTAGTGAAAGTAGCTCATATGAAAGTTCTGAATATGATCATCCTACAAATGAAGAATTTGTATGTGAGAGGAGCTTTTTGGGATACCATGAAAGGCAATCAAGAAATTTTCAGCCGCAGAGGTCCATTAGAAAGGGTGAGAAGCCCATTGATGCTCTGCGAAAGGTCTGTGGGAATGACAAATGTGCGGATTGTGGAGCTCCAGAACCAGACTGGGCGTCTTTAAATCTGGGGGTTCTTGTCTGTATTGAATGTTCTGGTGTTCACCGTAATCTCGGTGTGCATATATCTAAGGTAAATCATCAAAACTCTTTATTGCTTGCAAAATATAAGTAGGCTTTATAACAACCCACTCATGGAAGGACGTAAAGAAGTCCATCTGAATTTTGAAGTGACAGTAGGCTTGATGTTCAGAAGCAATTCAGATTGTTAAAGCATGTGACAGAACTTGAACTTTGGATGACTCGACATTCATTTTGGCATCAGTCTAGATCAATCTGAAGTTGGCTGTTGCTACAGGTTAGGTCACTCACCCTCGATGTGAAAGTATGGGAGCCATCTGTTATAAGTTTGTTCCAAGCTCTTGGAAATACTTACGCAAACACAGTTTGGGAGGAATTGCTACATTCAAGGAGCGCCTTCCATGTTGACCCAGGCTTAACGGGGTAAAAAGTCCATTTATGATTGAGATTTTGCCTTCTTAGTCAAAGTGATGATAGCTTTGATCCCATAGACATGACAATTATTAAAATTACTTCACTAAATATGCTCAGGTCAGATAAATCCAGGGTGATGGTCACTGGAAAACCCAGCTATGGTGATATGATATCTATTAAGGAGAAATATATACAAGCTAAGGTTTTAGCTTCTACCCTTTATTTGATTCCATATGTCTGAGATAACTGAAGCTATATTTTTTTCTTCTAGAGCCAGTGCATATATTACAGTATGTTTTTCCTTCAAAATTTATTGAACATCTAGAAAATATTTTCTTTTGCGGTGTTCTCTCTTTGATTTGGCATAGGCAATGTTCAGAGCAGCTCATTCAAAATCTTTTTTTTGTATTTCACAGTATGCTGAGAAGCTATTTGTTCGGAGATCGAGAGACTGCGATTTCCCGCAATCAATTGCACAACAAATGTGGGACGCAGTGTGTGGAAATGATAAAAAGGCTGTTTATCGGCTTATTGTAAATGGTGACGCGGATGTGAACTTTGTGTATGACCAATCATCTTCCAGCTCTTCGTTAACACTTTCAAGAGTAATATTAGTACCAGAAAGGCCGAAGCGTGAAGATGTTCTACTCAGGTTAAGAAATGAGTTGTTAGATAGAACGTCAGGTAGTTCTTCAAATATATCTCCCGAGGGAAGTGGGTGTTCATCTCTTCTTCACTGTGCTTGTGAGAAGGCAGACATTGGGATGGCAGAGCTTTTGTTGCAATATGGTGCAAATGTAAATGCCTCAGATTCAAGTGGTCAAACTCCGCTGCACTGTTGTATTTTCAGAGGCAAAGCGGCAATAGCAAGATTGCTACTCTCTAGGTGAGTTGGATTTTCTTTGTACCACTTGTCCAAAATAGCTCTTAACAGTTTCTCTCACTAAATCCTTAGAAAAGGTTGATGTCTTAACACAACAAACTGGGTGAATTATGCAGGGGGGCAAACCCGGAAGCTATGAGCGTAGAAGGGAAAACCCCTCTTGATATAGCTGCAGAGTCCAAATTTACCGATCCAGAAGTCCTCGCACTCCTCTCAGACACAAACGGATACAATCACAGACAGTGTTGATGAAAAGATACAGAGACTCATGGGCATAGAACTTACGGAGCTATGTTTCATCGTTGCTTCCACGGTTAAAGAGCCAATCAACACTAAACAACAAAGGCCTTAAACGGTCGGTGTGGATTAAGCTTAGATCCCCAAGTGAAGAAAGTAATGTATTTAAATGTATTTGTGAGCGATGGATATAGGCTGCAATGCATATTGGGAAATGATAGTGTATTGTGTTGTGTCGTGTTGTGTGTATGTGGGACAATAGGGCATCCAAAGTTTGTGGTGTCATTCGTTGTAAGCAAAAAAAGTACCGACGGTTTTGTTCACTTCTGGAGGAGGTGGTAACCATAAAATTATTCATTAGCTGATCTATTAAATTTGTGGTTTGGTTTAGTTTTTGAATCTCTCTGTTCATACAAACAAAACTTATTATATATTATATAGTCCAAAAACCAAATGTGTCATTATTCATGTCAATGAGGCCAGTTAAAAAAAGGTTGATTGTCAACTTGGGCGTAAGAGAGAGTACACAATGGTCCACTTATTTCGAAATTGTATTCACACACTTTTGAGTCTTTTGATAAGAGTGTTACCATTGCAATTAAGCAATAGTTAAGTTTTTTTCACCACCAAAGATATTTATATAGAAATGAGGTTCAAATGGGAAAAGAAGAAGACCTAACTTTGAATTAAAAAGGTGACTCTCCCCCAGCACAAAGCTTTTGCCTTTAACATGGAAAAATAATTTTTAAAAACAAAGAAAGATTGGGAAGAGAAAGCAATTATTCTCAGACAAACAAAGGGAACATCACCTTTTTTTTGTGTGTGTGTGTGTAAGTAAACAAAATCTCACACGCTAAGAGAAAGCACAAATTCTCGAGCCTCTCTCATATATGCATCCAACGGTTAAGATCTCCATTACGTATTATAAATCAACGGGTGAGATGTGTCGTATATTATTATCTTTTTTTGTTGTTGTTGGTTCAGCTCAAGTCTATATAGAGCACAGACCTCGATGTGTATAGCTTTCGGCCACTGGATGGAAAGCAAAGGCAACGAGAGCCGAGGAGCTGCGTACGTGTCGACGGGACCCATTCTAACCACGACCACCTGACAATGCGGGTTCCACTCTCTAAGGCGGGAACCTTTCTTTTTCTTTTCTTTTTTTTTTTGGGTTTTTTTTGGCAGTAAGTAACGGATTCGGTCATGCTTTTTGTGATGAGAGTGAGAGAGAGAGAGAGAGTGAGTGAGAGGGTCACAGTCTCGCAGATACTGTGTCTTGAAAAGAGAGTTGTAGAAGAGAGAGAGAGAGAGTGTGTGTTTCATGTTTATGTGTGTTTTGTTTCGTTAAACTTGGGATTAATTGAGCTCAATACAGTTTTGGATAGTTTTGTTTTTTTTTCGTTTGTTTCATCTTTCAAAAGCAGATATATAGTTAATTTGTGTTTTTAAAAAAAAATCTCTCATTGGAGTCTGTTCTCTGCTCTTTTTTGTTTTTGGGGTTCTCAACTGAGTTTTGGGGTTTATTTTCAGACATACATATACAAAGTTTGATGCTTTTGTGTCCCCCCCTTATCAAGAACAATGTGTTTTTAAAAAAATAATTAAGCTTTCTTAAAATTTTCAATTTTTATTTTTATTTTACAAGGCAAAAGAGAGAGACAGAGAATTTTAGATAAGAATCTTTGAGCCAATGAGATATTCTAATTCATCTTCTCTGTGAAGATTTTTGAGTTCAATTCCATTTTTCTCATTTTGTCTTGTTTGTTTCTCATTGGTTTCCTCGAGAATATATGTGGTTTTGGAAGAAGAGGATAGATAGGAGAGCTTCACTGTTTAATATTTTAGTCTTTTAAAAAAAAAACTTTTTCTGGGTTTCTATGTAAAGCTTTGAACAGCTTCTTCACTTTCCTGGCTTCTCTCAGATTTGTTGTCTAATCTTGAAAACCCCCAAATGCTTTTTATTCATTAGCGACGCAACAATGGAGCAAAGAAGCAAAAACACTGTTGCACTGCTCTTACTCTTCTTCTTCTTCTTCTTCTTAGTCTTCAATTCAAGAACGGCTACAAGTTCAAGTTGTCGTCGAAGAACAGTGAAACACTTATCCACAACTTCAACATCGTCTACACTACTCGAATCAAGAATCACTTCCAAGGTCATTATTATTAGCATCCTCTCAGGGATTTTAACCGGCTTGGTTTCAGCCTTGGTGTTAGCTTTCTTGGTTCGTTGCATTGTCAATTACATGAGACAGACGCCAATTCTCAAAGGTCCTGTGGTGTTTTCCCCTAAAATCACACCTAAGTCTCTTCACGCAGCTCTTGGTAATGGTATTCAGTTGCTTGGTTCAGACCCTAACAGTAAATACTACAAGATGGTGCTTGATAATGGTCTAGTGGTTGCCGTCAAGAGGCTAGGCTCTCTTGAAGGTACTGGTTCACCAGAAAGTAGTAGTAGCAAGTCGGTTAAGAGAAGGTTGCAGAAGGAACTTGAGCTTCTTGCTGGGTTAAGACACAGGAACCTTATGAGTTTAAGAGCTTATGTTCGCGAATCCGATGAGTTGTCTCTCGTCTATGATTACATGCCCAACGGTAGTCTTGAGGATGTCATGGATAAGGTTAGAGCTAAAGAGGTAGAGCTTGGATGGGAGATTAGGCTTCGAGTTGCTGTTGGAATTGTTAAAGGGCTTCAGTATCTTCATTTCAGTTGTGAGACACAGATTCTTCATTATAGCTTGAAACCTACAAATGTTATGTTGGATTCTGAGTTTGAGCCCCGCCTTGCTGATTGTGGATTGGCCAAGATCATGCCTAGTTCACACGCAGCCGTATCTTGCTACTCTGCTCCTGAGTCTTCTCAAAGTAACAGGTGCTTCAAATATAAATACCACCACCATTTGAGTTTACTACTAATTCTTCTCTTTTACTAACTCGGTAATGCAAAATCCTTGTGACAGATACACAGACAAAAGCGACATATTCAGCTTCGGCATGATACTGGGAGTTCTTTTAACTGGAAGAGACCCGACCCATCCCTTCTGTGAAGAGGCTGCAAGTGGAGGCACCTTAGGACAGTGGCTAAAACATTTGCAGCAATCCGGGGAAGCACGAGAAGCATTAGACAAAAGCATTCTTGGAGAGGAAGTGGAAGAAGATGAGATGTTAATGGCTTTAAGAATCACCATTATCTGCCTTTCTGACTTTCCGGCAGACAGGCCTTCAAGTGATGAGCTTGTCCACATGCTTACACAACTGCACAGCTTTTAGTCTAATGTCTTGTACCATCATATCTGTGACACCAGTCTATATATCTGCAGTTACATCAATATATTTCTTTTTCTTTATCCTTCTGAGTTACTAGTTAAACTTTGATCCCGCAAATGGTCCAAACAATTGGTCTTACAACAAATGAAAGATGATAGCCAGCAGTTCCCGTGCCTAAAAATACGACAACAAGCAGTTCTTGATGAACATACGTACTACACTCAGAAGAAATACAAAGAACAACGCACACCAAACAATGAGCTTGTCAAGTCAGTTTTCTACTTGCATTGTCCTAACAGGTGACCCGTTTCCAAGTCTGGGTTGTATCAATAACTCTGAGAGGTCACCGCTCTCAAAGAAGGATTTGTGAAGAGCCTGAACACATCCTTCAGCTTCAGCATCATTTACTATAAAGGAAATGTTTACCTACAAGATTTCAAAACAAGAAAGAAATTTGTTAGGTGAGGTCCGTGAGGAAGGAAAGAGAGTTAGGTGATAAACAGTGTTTACCTTGGATGCTCCTTGTGATATCATTTGGACATTGACACCTTTGGTATATAGAACATGAAACGCCTGCCAAAGTTAAAAACAATTAAGTAAGAACCCAAAAGAAATATATCTTTCTTTGTTAGAATCTTGAAGTTATATAACTAGGAGGCATGATCTAACCCTCTCTAAAATCAGGGAGGAATGTTGAACATTCCCGATCAAAGAGATGATTGCCCTTCCTTTTAGAAGATTCACCACTGCAATTTTCTCCAGCTCTTCAACTACATGATCAAGCTCCTGTTACAAGGATAAGGAAAAAAGGCCTTGAAAGCATGCATATATGAATTGAAAAATAAAATGTTATGGATTCTACAAGAACTTGCCTGTTGAATCAGTTCCCTGCTCCAAAGTTTTGAAGGGTCCAATGTCAAAGATATACTGACTTCACTAGTGGCAACAACATCAACAGAAATGCCGAGTTCCTCAAATATCGAAAATACCTAGATAAAAGAGTAAGGAGACACAAAGGCTATTTTGGTTACCACAGAACCTATAAAATAGTAACCTGGAGCATACCACAGTTCGGACCTTGCCCCAATAAAAGAGTTCTCGAGAATGCACTTCTGAAACATTAAGATGTACAGTTTTACCTTCGCAAGGAAGCCAACCTGACCAAGCATTCGCGTGCTTGCTATATCCAACATGGTCACATTTCGTTTCAGGACAATGCTCGTTAAAATTGTCTGTCACATGAAGAAGTATAAATTTTGGTTTTCTATAAAGGTTCTCACATCTGCATAAAGAGAACACAAATTAGGACACTTATACCTTAGTCATGTCTCTTGTTTTAGTGATGATTGTTCCAGGAGCTTTAGGGTTATAAGAATTCTTAACCCTTACAGGAATCTCACCCTCTCTTGCTGGTCTCATTGATTGTGGGTGCAAGACCTGCAACAACAATTTTATTTCTTTACTTAAGCATTGCCATTGTACAAAATATTCATGTGATAGTTCTAATAACTGGAATTCAGTATTATTGCATACAAGTAGAGTGGGACCTGTGCACCAAAATAAGCTAGCTCGGCTGCTTCGTCGAATGTCAGATATGGTACTGGTGTAGCTCTTTTATAGATAGTAGGGTCACATGTTAGAACACCATCAACATCTTTCCACACCTGCGAAATGGAAAACAAAAATCCAAACTGAACAGAGATATCCACAACGTCTAAAACGAAAAATTAATCTTTTTAGGTTGTAGACGAACCTGAATCTCTTTCAAACCCAATGCTTTACCAATCGTAGTTGCCGTCAAATCACTGCCACCCCTACCCAAGGTAGTAACCGCACCAGTTTTCCAACCCTATTATTGAATGAAATAATGAGGCAAGCCACGAAAGCATAAATGAAAATCCTAATTATCAGTAGATTATAAACTGTTAGAAATACCTTCCCAAGGAAACCTGTTACAATAGGAATGGCAGGATCATGCATCCAATCTTCATATAATCTCTTGGCAACAGCTGGATAAGTTGCTTCCAGTATATCCCCATTTGTGAAATCATCCGTTGTAATGAATCCAATATCAAATGCATCGTACTGCAACGTAATTAATGATATATGAACATCTCAACAAGATGTTAACTAGAGTCGCCAAAATGCATGTGCAAGAAAACTCAAACCAAGGCAAGTGTAGCAAACAAAAGATAAACTACACCAATATGTGTTCTTTGACAACAAAAACCAAACTAATACAAAATTTCACTGACCAGTTCAAAGAGTATACACTTTCAACTTGGTTATCATATTTTCTAAACCAAAACTAAACCCAAACTGAAATCTGGATTCAGCACTTCTAGGTTAATTTACCAAGATATCAGTTGAACTAATTAGTCAACCAAATGAGATATTTATTTTTTTAAAAATACTAGAACTTAAATATGGTAATGGACATACTTGGCGTGCCTTGACACCGATTTTATTAAGATAAGCAGCGAAAATCCTTGTAGACAAGCACTCTCCAAAAGAGACTAGGTAGTCTCTGGTTCGAAGTGTCAACTCCTTCATCATGGCTATGCCTTTCAGGAGTTGCTCCAGTTCTTCCAAATAGGCTGCAAAATGTATCCAAAAATTACAAAGAGCAATGCATATAGATTCGTGAATATTACCAAACACATCATAAATCAAACATTAATGAGCCAACTCAAAAATAGCAAGAATGAAACTACATGTGTTGGAAGGTATAATACTTACACAAGATATCAGTGGGTTCGATGTCGAGCTCTTTCACTGTCCTGAAACAACACAAAAAAAAAACACATATTCTTGATCAAAACCAAAACCAACAGCAAGCACGGAAAGGAGATCTAAGGTTATCAAATATTCAACAAAGCCAAAACCTGAGATGCAAGTCCTTTATAATGCTCAACTCCTCAATCTCAGATGCATTAGAAACACCACAACTCACAGCCTTCTCTCCCGCCTTCACTAGCAACAAAATCAGAAGTTCAAATCAAAAACTTGAAACATTTGAATAAAAAACAGAGAAAGGGAGAGCATTTCAGCATTACAAGCAAAAGATTGTTGGTAGTTTTCCCCATAGCAGAGAGAACAATGACGGGACTTTCTTCCGGAAAAGTCAAAATCAAACCCGCAACTTCCCTCATTCTCTCTGCAGATGCCACCGAAGATCCACCAAACTTCATCACGCACGTGATACCCTTCTCATCTACCTCCGTTATCGCGTCTGTCTTCTTCTCATCCAATACAGCTCGTATAGTGTTTCTGCAGCCTGAAACTGAAACCCTTCTAATGGAAGAGCCATCCCCTATGGGCAATGACAATTTCTTTGAGCCCTTTAGCGCCGAGAAATCGACACGACTCGGAGAAATCGGTAGCGTCGGCGAGTTTCGGTGGCGGGTAAGCGGCAATCTTGTGAAGGGTGCATTGCTGTGACAACAACGAACCCTAGTAGCCGCCATTGGAGAAGAGGAGGAACGAGAAGAAGAAGGCCGAGAAGAATAAATTATTGATAGGTTTTTAAAGCAAGAAGAGGAGAGAAATCGTACGGCTCGATTTCAGTCATTGATGAGAGACGCCAAAGATGGAAAACTACTTTGAACCCTCTCCTTCAGTCCCTGTATCAAACGCTGTCGTTTTTGGCAACTAACCATTGATTTGACCCGTTTGGTTGTTGCAATTACTAAGTAAGATTTTTTTAGCTTCTCTTTCGTTTGTGAGTTCTCGAAGAAAAGCTATAAAGTATAAACATTTTTTTGTGAATTTATCAATCAACGATGACGATTCTCACTGTACAGTCTTCGTATATCCCATCTCGAGTTCCGGCTATGAAGAACTCGAATTTCGATCAAATCCCGTCGTGGGTTTCTCTGAAATCGAGCACTTCTTCTTCATCCCTTAAAATCGAGCATAAGCAAGGCCAAGTCGAGAATCTTCATTTGGTTTCGTTGTCGAAACATGGGAAGCTTAACGAAGCATTTGCGTTTTTCCAGGAAATGGATAAGGCTGGCGTCTCCGTTAGCCCGTACTCGTACCAGTGTCTCTTTGAGGCTTGCAGAAATTTGAGGTCTTTATCTCATGGGAGACTCTTACACGATCGCATGCGGATGGCTTTCGAGAATCCTTCCCTGCTTCTTCAGAACTGTGTGTTACAGATGTACTGTGAGTGCGGGAGCTTGGAAGATGCAGATAAACTGTTCGATGAAATGCCTGACTTGAATGCAGTCTCGAGAGTTACGATGGTATCTGCTTACGCCGAACGAGGTCTTTTAGATAAAGCTGTTGGTTTGTTCTCAGGAATGCTAGCGTCGGGCGACGAGCCTCCTTCTTCCATGTATACTACACTCTTGAAATCTTTGATAAATCCTGAGGCTTTAGACGTTGGTAGACAGATTCATGCTCATGTTATGCGTGCTGGGTTATGTAACAACACATCTATAGAGATTGGGATCTTAAACATGTACGTAAAATGTGGTTGGTTAGTGGGTGCTAAGCGAGTATTCGATCAGATGGCGCAGAAGAAACCAGTGGCTTGGACAGGATTGATGGTAGGTTATACTCAAGCTGGAAGAGCAAGAGATGCTTTGAAACTATTTGTGGAGTTGGTGATCGAAGGTGTTGAATGGGACAGTTTTGTGTTTTCAGTTGTTCTTAAAGCATGTGCTTCTCTTGAAGAGCTTAAACTTGGCAAGCAAATTCATGCATGTGTCGCTAAGCTTGGACTGGAATCTGAAGTCTCGGTTGGAACTCCACTCGTCGATTTTTACATCAAATGTTCCAGCTTCGAGTCTGCTTGCTGCGCATTCCAAGAAATCAGTGAGCCAAATGATGTTACCTGGAGTGCAATCATTTCTGGATACTGCCAAATGAGTCAATTTGAGGAGGCTGTTAAAACCTTCAAGTCGTTGAGAAGCAAAAATGCAGCGGTTCTAAATTCGTTCACATATACTAGCATATTCCAAGCATGTTCAGTACTTGCAGATTGCAACATTGGTGGCCAAGTCCATGCAGATGCTATAAAAAGAAGTCTGATTGGATCTCAGTATGGAGAAAGCGCTCTTATTACGATGTATTC